AAAGTTGCAGCTCCGTTTAATAACTGCTGACATAAGGGTGTATGAAACGTAAAACAGAATCAAGCAGAAGGTTTTTGTCTTATGAGTTTGCGTGAAAGAACAGCGGACAAAAATCTTAACTTGTACTCAGAGTCGCTCGCTGAATTATCCAGTGGCAGTTCAGGCACATGTTTGATTTATTTTTTTAAACTTTGCGTTCTTCCGTTGTCATTTCACGACCTAATTCACTGCTATAGCTCTCTTAACCCGTCTATTATGATGCTAAAAGATGTAGTCTAGTAACGTGCTCTAACTTTTGGGTCTGTGGACAATATATTCACATTTAAAGAACCGTTAAGAGATATTTTCTCTCGGTATAGTTCTGGCCCTGAGGAAGGCTAATTTTGTTAGTCGAAATATTGGCTTATAATAAATCAGCACGTTGCCGCAGTGCTAGCTCTGCATTCAGTTTTGTTTTAAAACTGTGGTGTTGCCATTCAAATCAAACTTCTTTGGCAGTTTTGAATGGTGCTATTTGTTTTTCAGCATTTTAAAAAATGAAATTTTAAAATTTTGTCTAACAAAGCAGCTCCACAGGGCATGTGACTGTCTGCGCATGCACCAACCATTTTCTACCACGCAGCCTCTGAACAAGTGCGCATTTTGCTCAGCAAACAGGAAATAATCCTTTGAATGAGGGCTCTGGGTATCTTCCGGTTGTCTCGAAAATTATCACCAAATTAGTTTTACTGAGCGACAAGTTTCGCAAAAATGATCCGAAAGCAAATGTGTGTTCCTTGCTCAACTGACGAGCGAGGGGGTGGGGGAGATCTAATACTACGATCGTTGTTTGCCCTCTCTATCTTGTTTGTGCTCACATAATACCATTACAATAAGAAGTTGTAAATGCAATTTTCATGTAAAGTAAGTAATTTCTATGTTAGATTAATGTTAAGACATGTTTTGATATACGACGATTACTTTCCGTTACTTATAAAGCTGTTTTCTTTTAGAATTAAAATCCAAATTTTTTCCTTAAAAAACAACCAACAAGCACGCCGCCCCAAAATATCAAGTCTGAAGCGGAAATATCAGGCGCATTGTTTTCCGACCAAGTAACAAGTTTTCAGGGCCCATGACAACTGGCACTATTTGGTTCTGCACATTTGAAGGACCTTTTGTTGCTTTGAATGCTGCAAAGGCTTTCAATTTCGAGTATTAATTTGTTAAATATATCAACCCTGTCCGGCGAGAAATTTATAGGATATAAGCCATATCAGAGTGACTGAACGTGATCTTATGGTGTGACTTAATTAATCAAACATGTTTAGCTGGGCTTGTCCATTTCTACTATTTTTAAAAATATTTTAGTCTGAATTTTTAAGGCTTCGCCGCAAAGGGAAGCAAATAAAACAAGACACTGAACTCTCAACGCCGCTTAAGCCTTGCTTCTGGAACGAAGAACCCACGCTTTTTTTGTTTATTTTGCATGGTTAAGAGGGAAGTTGTTACAATCCAGAAATAAAACAAAAAACAACAGCTGCGTGATAATAAGTTTTACCTAAATAAACATTTGAGGCTATCCGTGTTAAAAAAAGCAGAAAAATATAAAACAATGGTTATCTGGGTTAAGAAATGGAACAAAGAAGATTAGAACAAACAAATACAAGTGCAAACTTAACACCTATGTTTATGAGACGATAATTATACAGGTAGACAAAGTTGGCATCTGTAATCTAAGGAAAGGTGGATCTTTTCTACATTAAACCGTCGAACCGGAAATAAAGTTTAGAGTTCCACATTACAGACGAAGGTTTCTTAACAACAAATAAAAACTCATCTATTGTATCAATTTTTGCAAATTGTCGCTGAATAGGAAAATGCTCCTCACCAAGTTTGATTTAACTTGTTCTACTTGTTACAATGTTATAACACAAGGGGCAATATGCGAAATTACTGCCGCTTAACCACTTTTACTTATTCGGTCGGTCACTTTTTAGAAATTTCCGCAAAACGGCCACACAAGCCGTTTACATACCTTTTTACATACCTTTTTACCGCGACCGTAGAAAAAAAAGTTTCAAACCCCCGTTTGAGACAAATTAGATCATGACAAAAAACATTGGCAAAATAGATAAAAGTTCCTTTTAATCATGAGTTATTTGTTCGTCTGGATCTATTTTTGGTCGAAGGCAAAGAAACGAAAACCCGCCCAGGGTTAACTTTGAATCTCGGTTCTGTTTCTTCAAAACCCTGTTTCCTGTTTCTTCTTTTTGTTCATAGGCGTTTTTTCCCGTTCCGAATTTGACTCGTCGTTTTCAAAGTTAAGTCAAATTTTCCTCTTATCCCGCTTTGCACAACCGAAGCTTTGCTGTTTTGACGGCTACCTCCGATCAACACAATGTAAAACACTCATAGCAAACCCCATCAGTACATATACTACAAAACGGATTACAAGAAACTTGGGCGGGCTCCTGCAGATCTGCATGTGCAAACGCACGTTAGACCCATCTTGAATTAACTCAGGCTGTGTTCCTCAAACTCGTACGCCGTGCCACACACACACTGGTCCTAGTTTTCCAGGCTTCTTTGTCGGCATTTTTCAATTTCAGTTATCAATTTCTTTTTCTTTGCTTTGCAGGATAAATGGAACAGTGATGGTAAGTGAAAGCAGTTCACAAAAAAATACAAGTTTCTGCAGTGGTCATTATAATCACCCCACACCCCCATTTTTACCCCCTCTCCTCCTTGCATACCCGTCTTGCAGTGACGAGGATGCCTCGTTGCAGGACCCCATCTAGACTAGCCGAATTTAACAGATTTTTTGAAAACCAACCTAACGAAATTTGCAGTCAAAAGGCAGGATTCTTAAGCCCGAGAAGCTCCAAAATCACAGTAACGAAGGAAAAGGAAAGGAGAAAAAGAAAGAGAGAGGAGAAGGAAAGGAGGAGAAGAGGAAAAAGCAATGGCTGCACTCGTAGTTTTCATCATAGCTACTTGGGAGATAATTTTTGGCCGAGAAACACAGTTGGACGAAACAGGTCCATTTGGCGATAAAGTTTTCAAAAATCCGGCTAGATGTAAAAGGACTACAATAGTTGCGGACACTGGTTTTGAGCTATCGCACCAGACAATCTCTGTGCTTTGTTGAAAGTGCTAAAAAAAAATGAATCAATGAATAAATCAATAAATCAAGTAAAAAAAAAAACAGAAAACAAAAGAACAGAACAAACAAACAAGGACCAGACTTCGTAATTCTGCACCGTGCCCGATTCTTAATAATTTGGCCGGGCAGCCAAGACAAACTCACCCTGGAAGCTCTGGATACTATTATTTGGTACTTTGTTGTCGTGAAAGCTTAACATCATTCGGGAAATATTTTTGAAAGCTGGTTGGACGCCAAATATGATGAGAGGGTGAGAGTTTTGATCATGGAGAATGATCTGTCAGTTTGAAATATGAATCAATGGCGTAAAAACAGGAAATCCAATCAGTTAACAAAATCTCTTAAGTTTTCATTTTTCTTGCCAGATCGAAAGTGTCTATAACCACAAATAAGTGCAAGGTCAAAATAGTTGATTCTGAACCAAAGCCATTAGTAAGGCTCTAGAGCTCCAGGACCAAGACAACCAAACTTCAAACTTGCAACTATTTGCGTCGCTTGTCACATTATGCTCTTGTTTGAGAGGTTGAGCCGGAATCAGTAAACGGTACATAACATTTAGCAAGTATTTTTAAGCTGCTTTCAAATACACTTTGCCGTAGAGAAATCTCAAGCACCATGACAAAGTCTCCTACGTTTTAACAGTGGAAAATGTCAGAGACTCTTCTAATAAATGGGTTGTCAACAATAGGAAGTCCAAATCAATTTATAAAATCTCCCGGGGGGGCACTTTAGGAATTTCTGGGTGGGGATGTGCCGCTGGGACCCTGGAACCCTTAACCTATACCAGAGCTAGTTCAGCTAAATTTTGCTACCCTATACTAGAGTAAACTCCCCAAATCCCCCCTATCAACTGATCAGTTTCCGGAAAAATAATACCCTATTCTAGACCCAAATGTTCTGATTTATATACCCTATCCTAGAGTAAACTGTTTGAAAACCATACCCTTCACAGCGGCACATACCTATATAGCCCATATATGACAGTATCCTCTCTGAACCGCATTGCACATTGTAGTGAGCTAATCTCTATGCCGGACAAACGCTAAACTATATCCTCTTTTAGATCACATTTTTGTGAAAACCAGGATTATGACGTTACCGCTCCTTCTAAAACTGCTTCCGGGTAGTTCCCCAAAATGGTCCGAGGTGTTTAATTTCACGACACGTTTTCTTCCATGGCATCTCCATGATTGCGGATCTTGTTCCAAGGACACGCGTTATCCTTGTCCAGCGGACGTTGCCCGTAACATTATGCACTTGCACTGCGTGAAAGGCTTTCCGAAAGTCTATGAACTTAACAACCATGCCTTGGAAAATGAGAGAATTTCAAACTTCGAGCGTTAGGGCTTTCACGGCTGCGATATGGTGGATACGAGATGAAGTGCCTTAAGACTCTCAGACCACGTTAGCCCGGCTGCGTGCCGTGTTAACATGTTCCCCAGTTTCCTTGGCTCTGCGCTACCTTTCCAAGCGACTTTCGCGTTCACAATTGATGTTACGTTGTCGTTGCTAAATCTGGCTTTTGCCGTCATAAGCCGTTAATAACATCAACTCTTTTTTATCTTTAGGGGAACCTCCGAACATCACAGTGCACCCAGAGAATAAGACCATAAAAGAGGGTAGAGGATTAGGATTGATTTGCGCTGCAACAGGGAAACCCAAACCTCGAATCAGATGGAAGAAGAATGGACTGACAATAACAGAAAATAAAAGAATCAGCATAAGAATTACAGGCAGACGCTCTAAGCTGCGGATACGAAATGCTGTATTCCAAGATGGGGGTGAATATCACTGTGTGGCAAAAAGTCGCGGTTTTCGCCCCCAAATTTCTATTAAAGTGAGAGTAGAAGTGAAAAGTAAGTAACCGCGGTCTTGATCCTTGATCACTCCAAAAAGTAGCTAAGGTCAACAAATGTGTCGTGTGAAAGTACTGCTCAGTAGCTTTAATATGAATGGCAACACCATAGGATTTCGTCCCCAGACGCGAGAGTAAAAACTACTTACTCAGAATAAATAGAACCAAGTGCTGAGGTTTCTAAATAGATCAGCAACACAACTATGCCGCTTTTGAAGCCGTTCGATTAACCGATGCACAGACCCTGTATTAGTTAAGTCTAATTCCCGTCGGCTGGGCATTGTGTTTTGACTTGTTAAAACATTCCCACTCGTTTTAAAACCATGCTAAAACAATCGTAAATAGAGAGGACCCTCTACTAAATATGGTTTTAACATGGAATATCTTATTAACTTAAGTACAAATTTTCATTTTTTTTTTCAGGAAAGAATGAAACTTGGTATGTCACCAGATTTATAACTTTTTTATTTATTGGTAGTTTTCTTAAACCATTTTGATTATCTTTTAATATTATCTAGTGTTACTTTTCCATCAATTCAATCATACTCAGATCAGTTACGATTTTTAAATATTTCGAGCGACAAAAAGTTGCCGTTTGTCCTCTTTGAATACTCAACGAACTCGAAAATGAAGACAATGTGAACCTGTATCACAACAACAGAATATAGATCGAGGGTTACTGAACCCAGAGACAAGTGCAGTTGAAAAACTAGATTTTGAGCGCTTATTACAGTTATTTGTTGGAAAAAGCTGTTGTTTTTTTCCTTACTTCGATAACCCTGCTTTTCACTTAAATGTTTCGGAGAGTTCTGCGTTGTTGTTAAAGGGCTGCGCAAATTGTAAAAGCAGTATATTACTTGGTGCGGCGGAATTAGTGTATTTTTAATATGCGCTTATTCGTATAATTTTAAAGCACTGTTTTTTTGTTTTCATGCAGGTCGCGGGTTCGATTACCGCGGCCGGACCAATTCTCAGGGTCTTAAAATAACTAAGAAATGAAGGTACTCCCTTCTAGTTGTATTGCAAGCTGCTGGACCTTCGCGTGGCTCGGATGACCACGTACAAATAGTGTCCCCAATTAGTACTTTCGTGCTAAATACCTTGACACTAAAATAAAGTGCGTTTTTTTTTCAGTGGACGTTGCCAACCGTTCAAAGGAACAATTTGCTCCAAATATATCTCAGATATCTTCGTTCCTAATTTCAAACCACAAAAGCAGTCTGATGAAAAGATTTCCATTGCTGCGGCGATTCTGACAGACTACATGCGTCCTTCATGCAAAAGGTCATTTGTAAACGTTCTGTGTTACAGTCTCTTTCCACCATGTCAGCCTGGAAAGTGTCCCAAGCCACAACTTCTGTGTAAAGAGCAATGTGAAGTGCTACAGGGAAGAACATGTTCTAAGGAGGTTCGACTGCTGAGAACAAGACTAGGTGCTGTTGCTGATGAAATAATTCCAAACTGTTCCAAGGTGCCGTCCTTTCATCCGGACTGTAAGCTGGAACCCGTCGGTGAGTTTCCCCAGCGAAACAGGGAGCTTTAGCAAGGACAACGGCGACGGCAACGAGAACGTCAAAAAAGCAATAGGTTTGATCAGCAAAACAACAACTCTGCACGTGCATCAATCATCCTGTTTTGCACATTTCTTTGCCGTCACTGCACGACTAAGACGTGTAGTCGTTCTGTTATATGGAGGAGGTAAACAAAAGACTACGAATTTCCTTTTCTCTCTCCTAGCTTGGGCGCGGTCGAAAAGAAATCAGTTCCAGGAGAATCACCTACACTTGAGATCTTTCGCGAGTCGGAATAACCGCAAGCAAGGTCTTATAAATAGTGATGTTTTCGTTGCCGTAGAAGGTCGTCGTTGCTAAAGCTCCCTTAAAATATGTTTTTCGTGGGCTTATGATGACTTTGTTCATGTTTCCTTATTCATTACGAGCTATAAACCTCAAACTGACCATTTGCAAGGGAGTCATGACAGCCACAAAACAAAGACCAAAAACGCGGCTAGGACTCGATCCCTTGTAGTCTCTCCTAGGTCTTGAATCCGGACTTTCGATCCGCAACTTTCAGCGCAATAATTTATTCCCTATAAAATAAATTTATATGTCTTGTGTGGTCTTCTAATTTACAGGCCGGTCACATGATTGTCCGAAGGCGAAAGACAGTGGTGAGTGGTAGAAATGTATTTATGTTTGTTTCATACCATTTTTTTTCTTGAAATGATGATGAAACTGTCATCTGCGAGTGGTCGACGAAAAGTGATTTTTAGTGGGCATTTTTTGAGCCTCAAAAATGTCGGGAAAATATAATAAAGAGGTTAAAAAAAGCTGAATTATTTTATTCTTTATTTCTCTAATGTTGTAGATATTGGTCAAGTCACGATGAAACCGTTGAAAGAGACCTTTCCCGTATGCCGTGACAGCGACGCACTTTCAAGAATTAATGTACACAAGTACGACAACGGAATATTCAAACTTCTAAAGAACGTCTGGTCAGAGATAGTCAACGGAACGACGATGTTAACTTCGCCAAGCGGTGAGCAGTCAACATACTGTTTCTCAGCCTCATTACCTTTTAACAAACTCGTTCGTGATTGGAGTTTCTACAGCAAGGCAGCGCTTCTTCCTAATTTACAGAGACCGCAGCACATCACAGTGCCTGGACTGAAAGTTTCGATAGTGAGTTCAAGAGTGGTTGGAGTGTTGGTACCTTTAGGGACAGCGGCAAAATACAAAGTGCACGAGAAGATCGTGCTTAAAAACGTTGAATTTTTCTACAGGTATCAATTTGGTAACGGGACCTTCATTGCAAAAGGAGACTTCAATCTTTGCCAGACTGTTTTTAAATTGACTGTGGAAACACTGGCCGATGGAACCGTAAAACTAAGCGGTTCCTCCGAATCGCCTATTGACGTTAGCACCATCGAAACGGCATTCATATCTGCTAGGCCCTCAAATTGGCTACTCGAGTTGTTTAAAAAGATAGACTTGTTTGTTCTTCGTCTTATGAGACCGTACATGGAAGCTTACATAAACGACGATTTCATGGTAAAGTTCTCTGGGGACACGTACTTTGGTGCGAACGCCGTGCCAGCATCACTGGAGATCTTTGGCGGGAAATTGCGTGGGGATGACCTGCTCTTGGCGGGAATAACGAGTTCCAGTCTCACCATGACACAAGTATTGAAGATGATGACTAGCTTACCAATTCCTCAATTCGATTTCTTGAAGACTTCGTCAAATAGATCTAGCGTAAGTTTTTTTGAAGAGACTACCTTTTCAACTTAAATTTCATATAATACCTTGCCATTTAGAGTCTACCCACCAACTCAAAGGTTACATCAACAATAACACGATAAACAGTGGGACTGCATGGCAGGCGCATAACAAATAAGGGGCACAAGATAAAGATGTGAACGAGAGAGGAGGTCTCTCTCGCGGTCAGTGTCTACGTCCAAATTTCCTCCTTACTTTGCCTGCGCCTGCTGCCCATGAAAAATAAACCGTACCACTAGATACTAGAAGGAACTTCCCAATAAAGCCTTTTCACGTGACGTCACGTCCGTCATGTTGATGTCCCAAACCAGTCCTGTGAGAGTTGAACTCTTTTCTCATGTAAAGGCTTTCCTCTGTGGCAATTTGCATAGCTGTTGACCAGTGAAAACGCTCATCACCTTTGGAGGATTGAAGAGCAATTAATTCAATGTTAATGTTATGGTTTTTTTCCTAGGTTGGAATAACATTATCCACGAATAATGTAGACCTTAGAAACACCCCATATGGTGGACTTCAGCAGCAGCCGCTGTCTCTTGCATTGGCTGGCACTGTTCCTGTGGGTTTGAGCCTGATAACTAGAGCCCAAATCCCGAAAGAAACACACAACGACAGTCAAATTTATCAGTTGCTCCAGGTTTGTTATACTACAAGCAAACTTGCATTTGAGTCATGCACCTAATAAGAGACGCTTTTTACATACCTGTGGAAGGACTTGGGGTGTGAAGTATGAAATCAAGGAAGTGTTAAACGTTCAAGATTGTATCTGAAGACGCGTTAAACCGACACGAAGTTGTCGGAAGAGTTTCTAAGAATATGGTTTAGAAAGGTCACAGTCAATGGTATCTTTACTTAGCCTGATGAATATAAGTGCAGGCAGATTCTCATCTGTAGGCAATGACCTGAATACTCAAAATAAAGGAGAAAATAAACTTCTTGTTCCAATTGTTCTTTATGTTTCTCGTTTGTTTAGAATGTATTTGGCCGAGAAAGTGAATTTACCGTGAAAGCTACAACAACAGATGGCTGGCAAGAGATCATGCTCGATTGGTACTTCCACAATGTCTCAAAAGAAGCAATAACGTCATTTGACAGAGTGAAAATGAAAATGAAGGTAAAATTAACAGACCATTCTTGACAAAAAGTGATGTTAGACACTATCACGTTATAGTCCTTCAACGACGACAAAGAAATCCGTGCAAAGTTGCTGGTTTGCTGATCTAAACTTATTGCTTAAAGTCCCTATTACTAAAACTAGGGGTGATCATTGATTACGGATCCGCGTTCGTCACTTACAGAAAAATTACGGAAACGAAATCGAGTCGAAAGGAGTCCAGTTTCCCGGCCGAAGTGCCCCTGACAAAATTAATAGGGGCGGGTAATTTGCAGTCGCCCGTGATAGCTCGTAAACCCGTTTCTGCCTAGGGTCGTTGTTTAAGCTCTCTAATGTCAATATCCCGAAATGTTCGCAATATTTAAAATATGCCAGGCTTTTAACTCACCAATATCTCCTAATCCCGCCGAAGCCATAAAAATTGTTTGTATGATCAGCTGAATTGTATATTTAACATATAACTGCGGTAAAACTTTGATCAATCCTTTGCTTTGAAGGTCGTCTTTGGTTTGTTAGGGCCGTCAATGGAGTTTGCCGCCGATGGGGGTTTATACAGTAGTGAGCAGCCTTCGAAGACCCTTCCCTTTAGCGGACGACTTTCACTCCAGAATTACAAAAGATACCTTGAGGGAAACTTTCAAACCCATTCAGAGTGGAGGAAGGCTTTGGGTATAGAATTCTTGACTATGAAAAACCTAAGAATTGGGTAAGTGTATAAAAACGCCATCTATGTCATAGGAGTTTGTCAATCTGTAGGCGAACTAGTCGGGGGTTACAAGCGCTCATCCACACCAAATATTTTTGAAGATTGGAGAATCTCAGAATCACTTATCCTTAGCAACGATTCCTTTTTTATTCACATTTTGGATAAACGGTTGCTATCGTTACGATATGTGACGTCATATGTGCCATTTACGGAGATAAATTTTAAAAAACATTTACCAGTGAGATGAAAATTATTTACATGATCCTGTGATGTGCTTGAACTTGGTGCCTATGAGACTTTTCATCACATTTTCACACCAACTCCAGGCCTCTTTTATGTATACTGTACGTTGCGCACGACATATCAGTACTATAACGGCCACATCAAAAAGTGGAAAACCACTGGAAGAGTTAAGTCCACACGAAATGATTTTCTTTTCGGCCATGGGCTGATATTTATGACTCGCACAGTTGAATTCAACATTATTTTTGTGGCTTCTTACTCATTTTTCGCTTCTTTTTCTTAATTCCTTCCAGTGTATCACTACCAATCAACCAATCACTGCACAGCAGAATAAGAGGAGAGGCCGACCTTCTGTTAGGATCAAACTGCAACAGTAGTGACAACGACTCTATCAAGGTTAGCTACGATGACCGGAATATTATACCATACCAATCGCTAGCCTGTTCCATATTCCAAGATAGTGTGGAAAACGGGTCGAAAAACGTTGCGGGAACACCGCGTGACGCAGGCTAACCAGTCGCGTGCTAAACCAGGTTGTGAATTGTCTTAGAAGAAGTTCTTTCTTCCTTCTCATTAAATTTTTCGCTCGACATTTAACGCCTTTTTTTTCTTCACAGCAGCGGTGTGTCACTGGTCACCTCTTCTTGGGTTTTTCGGATGATTCTACAGGCCACTTTTTCTACGGCACGCTGTCTCCTGTTAGTTTGCAGAAACTCCTTGAACTTTGCAACATTCAACACAAACTTCCAGGTGCCATGGCAACGATAGGATTTCCAGAAGGTCTCCAGGTACACAAGTAATTGGGTTTACAAAAACTCACTTAATCGTTGGTTTAATCAGTAATTAGTTTTAGTGACGTCCCCATGGTGCTTTCATATCTTTGCAGATTTCAGTGGCCAAAGGAGCACATGACCTTCGCAAACTTGGTGGACCTGTTTTGCAACCGGGATTTATCATGAAGGGCAAGATGAGCGTAATGGGAATAGAAACAACCGGCGCAATTTCACTTAGTCCAAAAGAGGTTTGTCGTCATTAACAATTAATACTCTATTACTTTTTACTCAGAGTCGGGTACTTGAGAAGGCTCCTGATTGCGTTGACGATGACCCATAAAACAATTAAGCGGACGCCAAAACTGGAGATCATCGCACAAATGCTTATGTTTCTTTTGCTATATATAGTCTAGTCCTATTGTTCACTTTCGATAACAAGTTGTTTGCAGACGCAACATGTAAGAAGACCCTTAATTTCTGAATATCTCAGTTTCCCTCTTTCAGTTTGAGATCGATGCAAAACTCACTTCAGACAAGACTTCTACAGCCGTCGATGACTTCACATCCCTGCTTTTGCCCAGATTAAATCATGAAAGTAGCCGCAAGCTTTGGCTGGAAGCTCGTATGAAACCAGTACCATATGTAAAGGTATACAGCATTACCGTGCAGCATAATAAATAGTACCATAGGAATTACAGCTGAGTAGCTTTTATTTGAATGGTCACACCATAGGATTTCATGCACAGACTCAAAAGTTAGAACCACCTTGCACAGCATAATAAATAATACCACAGGAAAGTACGGCTCAGTAGCTGTTATTTGAAAGGTCACACTTTGGAATTTCATCCACAGACGCAAAAGTTAGAAGCACCTTGTACAGCATTATGATAATAAACAGTACCGCAGTACATTTTGCAGTACCACAGGAAAGTACATTCGAGTGCTCACACTTTTGGAAAGAGAAATCAGACAGAAAACCTCCGGAAACAGGGTAAAATTACCTGCCAGGGAGGTGGCAGTTCTGTTGGCAATTCGGTCTGTAATCATATGAGTGATTAACAAAACGAAATTCTGCAACCAATTAATCATAACTATAACAAAATTTGTGATATTTTTTTAGGCTTTTTTAGATCAAAACACAGGAAATTTTGTTAGTAGTGAAAAAAAAAGCCATTTAAGCGCGTGCTTGATGGCGCGTCTTTCCAGTTACTTAGGCATGACACGTACTGTCCTATTACACTGTCCTATTAGTGCTGAAATCAGGACAGCTGATAGCCAATAGGATTTTAAAATTTTGTTATAGTTATGATTAATGTGGTGTTTCAGTGATTTTCCAGCTGTTGTGGCTCGGTAGCCTTGAAAAGAAAGTAGAACAAGCAACAGCAACAATGCTCCACTGTTTGTCTCTTCTAGGCACAAGTAGATGGCTATGCTCGATTGTTTGGCATATTTGAGGAAACACGCCTGCTTGTCACCCATGATTCGTTGCAAATCTATCTTACAACTGACGTCAGCAAGTCATTCAGAATCAACGTTAACATCATCACAAACTACAGCTCAAACAGGAACGATACACTATTCAACGCTACGGTTGTTTTCGACAACGGTTTAACGAAGGTAAGATTTCGGATTCTTGGTACCCTTGAGCCAGTCAATCATTCTTCAAGAATTTTCTTCCACTTCGGCGGGACACTTTTTCATCCGTAACTTTAAAGCTGGAGGATGCCAATTGATTTTCCACTAATCAGTCAAAAAGTTCATACTCCTTAAGAGGGTCCTCAATAGGTTTTTCGGGATCCGGGATTTCCCTTATTTGAAGCTTGGGATTCGGGATTTGAAAGCAAAATCGGGAGGAGTTTTGGGATTAAAAGTATGCCCGGGAGGTGGGATTCCAAAAATAACCCTCGAGATTACGGGATTGCACGAAACTTTGGGTCGGGATTACGGGATTGAAGAACCCTATTCGGGACCCTCCCTTAAGGAAAAAGCACCTAAAGCTAACTTCAAGGACTTTTTCTTATCGTATTAGAATACTAAAACAAATAGCACCACGCGAAAGTACTTTGCCATAGAGGTATCGTTTGAATGGTCGCACAATTATAACTTCGTTCACAGTTGAGAACGTTAGTAGAGCTACATAGCATGCCCTCGTAGTACTTACGCTTCAGCGACTTGGAGTGGGAGAAAACGGCTTAAGACCAGGGCACTGTTACTCTCTGACGTGATAGATATTGCTAACGCTGTCGTCCGATCGACTATGCGACTTTTGGCCGAGAACAGTTTTGTTAGATGTCATGTGTCCTCGAAATAACCAATAAAGCGTGCTCCCTTGGCGAAAAAATCTCAGCTATTTAACAGCACATACCTCAATTGAGCCATTTTGTTTTACAGTTGACAAATTTGGCTGCAAAACAAGTTGTTGCGATGTTGGAACAAGAAATGTCGGAGCTGAATTCGGCTAAAGGAGAAGTACAGCGAAAGAGAACAGAATGCGAACAAACAGTAAAACGAGAATGCAGTAGCTGCATGAACAACGGAGAATGTGCTAGTTCTCTTGAGACCTGTCGCACCAGTGTGGGGAAGAAAACGCTAGCAAACAACCTTGGAGGAAAACGTAACCCTATAGACATCTGCCAACGTTTCGTTATGGACAGTTGCCTGGGATCCGAGATCGCATGCCATAATGTTTGCAGCTTCCTTAGCTCAAACACAAACAAGACATGCGCAACTTATAACGCCGCTGCCACATCTCAGAGGAAACTAGAGCGAAGGTTGAAATGGGTGAAGCAAGCAGAGCGGATGGATGAGAATTTGTTCCACATCCACGGGATTTCCTTCAAAACAAACGTATCTTCAGTTGTAGATTTTGAACACTTCAACATAGACACTTCTTTAGAAGTAACCATATTTGGGCAAAGACAAAGACTGGAAGGTTTGCGTATTGGTTTCAACGACTTTGTAAAGTTATCGTCCGAGATCGCAACTCACGCGTGGGACTGGTACCAAACGGCCAAGCCACAGTCCAAATCAAAGTCTCTTCATTTGGATAACCGACCCAGACCTTCATCGAACTAAATGGAGCATTTAATGACACGAAGAACGCGTATTTATAGGAGGAATTAACTTTTCCTTAATGCGGTTATAAAACGTAGCAAAGTACATGCAATGATTTAGATGTAAATTTAGTCGTTTTGTTCAGCATTCAAGTTGGGAAAATGTTTTTTCCATTAGAAGACATAACGAGGGATGGTTCCTTTTTTCGTATTATAAGAATGATACAACCGATTTCACTTAAGACTGCAAGTATTGGCTGTATTACCTATATTTTTCTGGTTAGTCGGGCTCAGAAAAGTATCAGAATTTCTAATTCTTGTTGGACGAGAAAAACAGTTGAGCGCCGTGCTGAGATCAGAGAGGGGAAATAGAAGAATTAGTCTTAACGCTCAAGGATTAACCGCATCAACTTTTGCATCAGGATGTACAAGATAAATGCCCTAGCATTCTTCTCGGATGCCAATAGTTGAGCACGAGAAATGTGGTTGCAAACTTACTCGTTTCGTTTGTAAAATATAAATCTAACACAAAGAACTTAAAGAACCAGTATACAGATATTTCAACTTTTTAATAATTACAAACGTTCTGAACTAAGAACAATGAAAGGTAAGCCTTGACTATTTCTAAAAGAACTTGTACAATCAACATTAATAAAAGTAAGAACCTGGTGAAAAGACCATTGATATTTAACTGAAACCAAAGATCTTCCTAACGGAAGTCGTGTACGTAGCAACTACGGAATGTGTTGGAACATGTTTTTTCTTAACACTAATAAAAGTAAAATTAAAACAGGATACGAAATAATGTGATTTTTCTAGACGAGGATGATTAAAATGTATTTTTTTAATTATTTTACGAAACTTAACTTAAACGTTTTATATTAAACCAACGTGTACAGAAATCAAGTCTGTATTCCAAAAAAAAAAAAAAAAAAAAACTCAATTCGTCGACATTTTCATAGAAAAGAAAAACAAGTGTAGAAAAAAAAAAAAAAAAAAAAAAAAAACACGGTCAGTTGAATTCTCTAAAGTGTCGACTCGCCTTTTTTGGTCAATCAAACAACTTTGTTTGGCCATTTTTTGCCGTTTTAGGTCCTCTCTCCCTCGCTCACCGCGCCAAGGTCTTAGAGGGTGTGGTTAACTCGCCTGCTTTTTTGGTGCTTTGGAATTTGAACCGTTTAGTTTTAAAACTGTTAGTTTTAGTACGCTTGCCACTGCGGGCTCCTTAACAAACAAAGCAAAAGTTGAAACTAGGCGAATAAACTAATTCTTTTACGAGCGTAGGCTGAATTAACTGATTCCTGTACACAAATGAAGGTTGTTATGATTAGTTTATGAAACCCGTTCGATCCCAACTTAATCAGTGTCACGAGCAATCCAATTATCAAAAATACAATTCAATCACTTCACAAAGAGTAAGTTAACAGGATAAGTCTCGTTCGTTCTTTCTTACAACAGCTACTATGAAGAAAACTACAATACCAACACCAGCGGAAGGAATGGATGCTTTAGATACTTCAGCGACTTTCCAGTAAATACAGTATGATTGGAAAACGCCTGCACATAAGAGGAAAAGCTTTGAGGAATGAAAATTTTTGCCCGTAGCTCCCTTGCTTCTTTGGCGGCCATGTTAAACTTGCCGTATTTCTTCTGTTCCGAGTAGGCCTCAACATCTAGAACTTGGAGAATTCTCAACCCACCAGTACATAGATCCCAGGAAAATATGAAGCCTGTACACTGCAACACGGGACTTAAAGAAAAGTGTTTGATACTGGTGAAAAATTAGCCCGCGTAGCAAGTGTTCCAAAGGGAGGGGAAAATCGGATGCACGACACCTCTTTCCCTATCTCGCGCGCGCCTTCCAACATCTCGCGCGCCTGCAGAAAATTTTCCCTCGATCCCCTTCCCTGCGTCACATACATTGATAAGGACAATTTTAAACAAATTTTAGGATGGAGATTCTCTAAGAAAATAAAGAATTTCTCATTCAATGCGTTGGGAATGCTATTATTTTTATTTAAAGGTTTATCCAATTGATTGCTTTCACTCCTTGTCACTAGTCTTCGGAATATTTTAAACATTTCAGATTTTAAGATTTAAATGACTTAAGAGGGTACTTTTATGCTTCATTTTATCTAACAATAATTCATAGCAGTGCATTGCACGCATATTATTTAACTTTGTGCATATAGCAGATCCACATCAGCCTAATTGGCTGAGCTTTCTACAATCTGCTTCATGAAATATATGATGTATGTTACGAGTGAAAACAAAGAACAAACAAACTAAAGACTGTCCCAGTTCAGGTGCGGATCTAGGATAAATAGCGACCGACTTCCTAAACGAGCGCCAAGGGCGAACGTTAGGGGACACCCCCGCGAAATTCTTACGGATTTTAACTCCCTTAAGCTACCTTATCTGGGTTTCTGAGTCATTCAGACACGAAATTGGCCAGATTTTAACCTGAAAAACTGTTATTTATGAAAAATCTGACCGACTTTCGTAAAACGGTGGAAACCGGTTTGGATCCGTGCCTACAGTTGACTTCACTGTCCAACTCTGAAGTGAAGGTCAGGGTGGGTTAGGGGAACTCATGCTTAAATAAGAGAGCTCAAAACTGCAGTCTCTTAAAAGCCAATATTTTCACTGATAAAGGTATTTCTTAAATGACATAGTACATGCAGTAATCCTACCTTGGACTGACTGGCAAGCCGCATGATGTAGACTTCTCCCTCGTACGAGTGTACACCAGAATTCTTGCCATAATGACAACCCGGCGACTGTCTGGTAACACATGTAGTATCTGTACATCATAGTCTTTGAGTGATTTATAGCAATCTCTGAGTCTATCATGCGCTTGGATCAACTCACCGATACACTGTTCCAGGTCAAGTGTCATCTGATGCACAACAAGTGTTTGTCCCTGTAAACAATAGGGAGTTTTAGGAACAACAACAGCGACGGCAGCGAAAACTTCACTATCTTAAAGTGTTTGCGTTTTTCCAGACTTTCTCGCAATTATTTCAACTCGATTAAAATCTAAATTGTAGGTTAATTTCCCTGGAATCTAGTAACCCAAGCGTGATGCACGTGCACAGTTGTTTGTTGTTGTTGTTGTTGTTGTTTTGTTTTACGTTTTCGTGGCCACCGTCTTTGCTAAAGCTCCCTAATTACCAGTGTACCAGCTGGTTTAAAACACCAAATAAAAAAAAAAACATTTGTCTTGTCTATTGCTGCTCTGTTTGTCTCTCCTAAACACTTATAAGCAAAGCTAATACTTCTCCATTATTTTTAAGTAGTTTTTAATGCGTTGCAGTGTTTATTAAGCGCTATGTTTTTTACCAAAATACGTAAAATACCGTCATGTTGATCCATCGCAAGGCATTAAATTATACTCAACAGTCTGCAGGTCGCACAGCTCCAATTTGTTCGCAAATTAGCCATGATACTTACAGTTTTTGTAGCGCTATGAGAATCGCATCCTGTGCTACAGGGATTACATTGCGTGTGACGAGAATCACATAGCGCGCAAAACGTTTGACCCCTCGTGAGAGGGTGGTAACTTACTTTTGAGTGGTACTGTAACTTGCTTGGTGCCATTTTGAGACTGCTTTGGTTGATCTTGCCAATTTGCTTCAGTGTTTTGCCATGACATGTTTTCACTGAGACTGCCAGTGACCCATCATACATGTCAAACTCATCTGATCTATCTGGCAGTTCACACAGATCACCATTATCCGGGTCTGCATATACCTTGAGTACTGATAATGTTAAATTGTTGTTTGTTGTCGGTACGACTGCATTACGGCCACAACAGCATGAATCAACCATTTTTGCGGAATAATCTGCATCTAAATTGTAATTGCTTTTACTGTCAGTGTCTGGAAGGGATGAATCTTTTAAGCTGTCATGTACAGCACTTCTTGAGGACACTTCAGTGACTATGCTACATACAGTCTTTGTTGCCTCAGTCTCATCTTTACTACAAAAAGACAGCTCAGAAGTTTGACCTGATCTAAATTTCTCTGTCAGTTGATTAGACTCACTTTTGTTGCTAGACTGGTTTGTTTGACCATCTAATGAGCCATTTGCTTCATCTGAACAAATTTCTGAATGTACTTTAGTATCCTTTTCATCAAATGTTTCTTGAGGAGTCAAAAGATACTCTCTATCATTGACTTGATGTGAATTAACGCACTCACCATGGATTTCATATAGTTCTCTTACAAAACCAAGGACTACCTTCTGCCGGCCAAGCTGTTTCTTTCCAGCATGGATTTCGTTAATGCTGGAGTCGCCCTGCACAGTCTTTTCACTGTCAGCTGAACTTGAATCTTCCCCAAGATGAGTTTGAGAATGATGTGTTCCACTTATCCCACCACATGCTTGATTCTCATTATCTTTGTCTGCAGCATGACATCTGTCAACTTCTGTGACTGCCAAGTATTGATTTGAAATGGCAATACTATCAGGTGCCTTATCACACACCTTGCAAAACAATTCATTCCGCTGATCTCCACAAAAATCAACACTTTCTGTCACGAGGCTGCTGTTTTTGTTAAATGTTGCAGAGACCTTTAATGCCATCAAAAAATCCCCAGTGTTGAAGAGAACTGTATCTTGCATCTTGAGACTTAGTGAAGGGTTGAACATAGGAAAAGGTGCCATAAGATCAAATTTAAAATGAACCACAAATGAATGTTTCAAACACTTGTCAGTTACTCTGCCAAGCGATGCATAATTGCAGCCAACACATGGACGTGGTGAGGGACCAGCACAAACTGTAACATAACACTGGTGACTTTGATCATAGTCATCTTTAACAGAGTGCCTGACATGATGAAAACATGACGAGAAAAAAATTAGTGCAATGTATGTGCAAATGTAGCTCTAGTATAAATAACAACAACAAGCAAAAACAAATATTTACAAACAAATAACAGAAAAGAAAGAGGAGATAACAATTATTATTTGGTAACAGGTAGATGAGGCATGCAGTAATCAAAGCTATTGTTTGTTTTCTTTAATCAAGGGTGTATGATACCGGGATGAATTTTATTTTGAAACGAGTTCATTCTATCTCCTTAAATTACACGAAATTTTGTTCCCTTACAATTCATTCTGGAATGAGTTCATTCCGGTTTTCAAACTGAATGAACTTCTCGTTCTAGTACGAAATTTCACTCTGGTATCAGGAAAACTGAAACTGAACTTAGTTCCAGATTCAAAAATCATGTAGTCTGGGACAAGTGGCAACATCTGGTGTGAAGACACCCTGAGTTAAGCTAGTTCATTTCTTCATCTGATTGCAGTATGAACTTCACTCTGGAACAAAACTTATTCTGGAATGAAAGTCATTCCGGTATTAACATAAACAGCCCCAAAGGCATTGTTATTGTGGGTACATACGTTTGACCATAGACCACAAATGTTGATTCATCTTGGCTCTCAGCAACTATTAAATGAAGGTCTTGATGTATTTCCTCTTTATCAAATAACGTCACAGAAAAAACCTTAGAAAGAACAAATAGCAATCAACAAATGACTTTACTTCATTTAGAAAAGTGATATTATTATATAAACACCAATGAAATACCAGGTGAGCTTTCGCATGTCACATGTGAAAATATCACCATTGCTATGGCTGCATACGCCTTTCACACCAAAAAACTATTAAAGTGAAATCGTTTGGTATTTCATTGGTGTTTATACAAAATAGAACATTACATTTGCTGCTTGAAGATACGAAATTTCTCTTCTCATGTTGAAAAAATATTTCACTCGTTCACTGAGCTCACTCGTGAAATATTTTTCAACACTTGAAGAGAAATTTTGTATCATTGCGTGGCCATGTAATATCCTCTATTTAATAAGCCTAAAAGCATCATTACAAAATTGTATATACATAAAGCTGTAGTAAGTACATTACAGATTACCTTTGATTCCAGGTTAAAACTTATTTGTTAACCCTTTAAGTCCCAATAGCGACCAAGATCAATTATTTTCTCCTAACAATATCCATACATTGTCAACAGATAAGTTATGAGAATTAATAAAATTATCACCCAAGTAAAAATGCCTTGATCCTTTATCAAATTCTCTCAACTCATTCTTTAAGGAAATTTATGGAGATCAGTTTGGAGAATTTGTATGTGAATACTGGGGCTTAAAGGGTTAACCTGGGTCCAGGAGAAAATGGGAATTGAGAATCACCCCAGGTTCTTAAGGTGGATCACTGGCAAATTTGACATGTAAAATCTCAAAAGTCATAAACAATGTTGAGAAAATATGAAAACTGAGAATGAAAATAATAATAATATTCAATATCAACAAAATTATCATAGACAAGGGAGCAAGGATATAATGATGACAGAGCAATATAATTATAATGATGACAGAGGAAAAAGTATGGATAGACTACTATATCTCTAATTAGAGCAAAATCACAATAAGACTTGCCAATTATTCCTAGGCTTTCAGCTTTGCAACAATCTTTTAAGACTGGAGACTTCCTTACAGTCAAAACAGGTCAAGCATACCCCCCAATATTCTATTAATGAATTGATTATTTGACAAATGATCCGTTAGTCGTTCCCAGAACTAGTGTCAAATTCCAATCGGAATTATTGCGTGTGTAATGAGCAGTGAATATTTTACGAGAACTTCTCTATATTTGGTCAGATTGAAAATCTTTGAATGGATTAAAATTCTAGGAAGACATTTACATCAAGTTCAGGGAAACTGACCTGGTAGAAATTTCTTAACTGAATCACGTGTAAATTCATGGCTCATGACACATGCATGAATGCAGAGATGAATCTGAAATCTGCAACTGCCAACGGACTCAACTTTTGAATAATAAATTCATTAATGGAATTTTGGGGGGTACGCTTGACCTGCCCTGACTGTAAATAATATGAGAAGGTGGTTTACCTCAACTAAAGGCTTGTGCTGATTAAACTCCCACCAATGAAGTGAATATACGTAACATAGAAGAGGACTACTGTCATCGTTATCAATTTTCAAAGAATAGGATACTAGGTATCTGCCATTCTTGGTAAATCCAAGAATAACATGCCTATAAAGTAAAAATCAGTATCAAAGTCAAGAAATATGAGCACAGCATTATTTTGGTTCACTCCTCTGCACTGCAATAGAGCTCTTTAGTTTGTATGTTTTATCTTTTCAATGAAGGTCGACATGTGATAACACTCTTGAGAACTATTTCTTTCAGATACAGTCGAACCCCACTATTTCGAAGTCCTAAGGGAAATGGAAAAAAGTTCCAAATAGCGAGGCTTCGAAATAACCAGGGAAGCGTAAAGGGGAAGGGTAAATCCAAGGGCATTCGATCTTCCTTCGAAATAGCGGGGACTTCGAATAAACTAAGTTCGAAATAGCGAGGTGCGACTGTAAATAAGTTGGTCTTATTGACATGTGTATATACCCATTATATATGAAAAGACAAAGACAAACATACAAGCTAAAGAGGTCTATTATTTGTGGTGGAATCAAAAAGTTATACATTTGAAAGGTGGAGGGTGAGCTTCTTCTTTGTGCATCTTGTATAGAGGCCTTATTTAATTACAGACCACAGATTATATTCAGAGGTGCTACATTGCACATGTAATCAACTTTTGCTTTGTGAAAAGCACATATAGACCAGGGAGTATATTCAAAGGTGCTGCATGTAATCAAGTTCCCCCGGACATAGATACCCAGCGTATCCAATCGATGGAAATCAGTGATTAAAAAACCAATCGATCAATTGATATCACTCAATAAAATTATTTAATTGGTATTGATTGGTATCGGTCAATCAATGATCAATCGATAACCACACAAAAACCTTTCATCGATTGCTATCAATTGGCACAGAAACCTCGAACAGACGTCAAGCACGCTTCCTGTCCGATCATCCGCCATTTTTAGGAAGCCCTGGGGATGAAATTCTAATCCAGTCTTCTCAATGCAAAGAACATACCCGGTCGCACATGTACTTGAATTACCCACTTGTCTTTCCACGTCATAATGTCCACGCAAAAAGTTGGGGAGGAGGCTTTACTGAATATAAGGTGCATCATCAAAGGCAATCATCTTCGCTCTTTTGAGGTGAACGTCGATGAAGTGTTTAACTATCGACTGTTATCGAAAATCGATACCAATCGATAACCACACGAACCTTCGCCATCGATTGGTCATCGATTATCAGTATCAATCAATTAATTAATATCTATTGGTATTGATTGATATCGATTGTCATCGATTATCGATTTCATCGATTGGATACCCCGGAATAGATAAGAAACCGAGGACTATGAAGATTTTTTTGTGTTAAAACACACAAGCCTTTAATTCAATTGTGTGTCCATTCTTCCGGTTCAGACGTTCAAAGTTAACAAATTAGAAACAAAACATAGCTTTTCTTATGATATATGTAAATAATATAGCTACCCTTTCTTTATAGCGCCATTTGAGTCCAGTATATTTGCCAGTGGAATACAAAACCGCTGAGGATATTTCTTGAAGAAGCGTTGTCGATTACCGCGCAAATGCGGTTGCATATTCCCTCTTGTCTACCAAAAAGGAAATATAATGGGTCATTTATCCAAATGAAAGAGTATGATGTTCAACAGCGAGAACTTACTTCTCTCAAGGCGAGTTTTGTTATCAAATTATCTTTCGTTTTCTTCATACTTTTTGATGTTGTTAGCTGATGTTGTTAAAAAGCCCGCGTTAGCGAGTGAGCCCGCAGACAGTAGAAACATCGTAAATTTTAAAAAATATGCGCGGCCATCACACAAGTGTTCACCTCCTCAGCGTAAACTACTTTCTTTTCTTTTATTTTGATCCTTTTCTGCAATGCCTCCTCCATCGGCTGAGTCCAAAGAGGATGATTTGTATGAGAGAATCGAAAGCTTTGTTTCTCTCCTCAAGCAAGGGTGAGTGGCGCCCAGAAAACTTATTCTTGGGTATTTTCTTTAGAGGTGCAAAATATGGCCAGTGTTATGGTGCAATGTTTTATCCCAGAAAATTGTAATTATTTAGTCTAGGAATGCTAAAACTTGACCCCATGTATTTACTTATTAAGATGATGAGCCATGTTATTTAGAGTTAAAATTGCGATGAAAGTTTTTTGACAAAGAATTTTTGTTTTTGAATTTTGGCCTTTTTCCCTTTATTTTAGAGAGCTTCATGGGTCATATGCTATAGCAACGCAGACATTGCAGTTGTTGCGAAGAATTGTTTCACAGACACGCTGGAGCACTGCAGGGTAATTCATTATACAGCTACATTTGTATTTGAAAGTTGTGTCTGGGTGTTATATGCACCTATTAAAGTTTAATACATATATGCCCATGGGATAGGGGGGTTGGGACCACAGGCTATTAAAGGGTGGGGACATCCCAGACTGTGAAGGGTGTAGCCAATCTCTCCTTCGCAGATACCTCTTTGTGTCATAGGGAGGCTGGGGAGATGCCCGTCTGCAGAGTATGGCAGAACTCGACGAGATCTCCCGCATGCAAGGCCGTTTTTAGGCCCCTATTTCTTATGTATTATTAAAAACTCATGCATGCACCTGCCATACTCTGCAGACTGGGGGAGATGGAAAAAGAAGGACTTTCATTGGGATACCCAGTGGGAGCCTATGCGGAGGAGAGAGGCATAGACAAATTAAATAAGACCAATTTTGGCAAACTTCAAACAAGCTGTTGGCCCCAGGGTAGGGAAGTTTGGACAAACCTGAAACTGAAACAAATTAACATCAATTCAAGAGTGTACCTTGCTTCAGGTACTTGTACTTTTTGTGCCAAAAGTTCTGCATCTCTGCTCTTTTACTGACCATGCCATGCTTTTTGTTTGTCCAAGACAGAATATAAATCATAAATTAGAGAAGTTAAAGGTGATTTACATAAAGCATTTTTCTGTTTATGCAAGAATTAACTATCACTTTAAGACAAGTGAAATGAATAATTAGAGTAGTTGGGGGGCAAACATTTCAAGCCTTAAGGTCCTGTTAGAATAGACTGGGAATGTGCATTTTTGTACAATCTGTGAAATAATATTACACTACTGGTACAGACAGTTAGTCCTTGAAAATTTAATGTGGTCCTTGAAAAGTTCTTTAAAAATGGTTGCAATTTTTTGTATGAACCCTGTGTAAGTCACATAGCTTAACTTTTTATATTTTGTGGTCATTCTATCCGATCACCCACCCTACCTGGGTGGGTTTTTGGACCCCCACCCCCCTCCTTAAAAAAGGAACCAATCTCCTAACCCCCAGAAGATGGTTATTTTTTTGTTTATTTTTTTTGTCCTCATATGAGATATATTATTGTTTTTTTTTCCCAGGGAACTCATGCAGTGTGTGAGAACAGAAGGAAAGAAAATGGCAAGTGCACAACCAACAGGTAATAAATTATTTTCCCTGATTTTGCTTTTTTTTCTCATTTTTCTTTCTCCTTCACTTTATCATTCAGCATCCTTTTTTGAGCTATACATATGCCATTACTAAAATTGTGATATTTTAATTATCTGTTATGGTTTTTATGCCTAATACCACTGTATTCTGTTTTAAGCGAAGGTACATTGTAAACTCTTATTTTGTAGATTCTGTTGTTGGAAATATGGTGCGGAGAGGTAAGTACTGGTAACCAGAAAAAAATTAATGTTTGACAAAAAGGAAAAAAAATGGTGTCAAGACCCTTGCAATTAATGTAGGTATTTCTTGGTGTCATGGAAACTAATGTTGGTTAGCTATTGTTTTGTGGGGTTGGTATTGTTGAGTGTCTTTTCAGTCTTTTGTGTTACATCATTTGGTGATGGTACCCATCCACAACACCAACTGAAGAAACTACATTGCTGAATATTAATTAGTTTTTGTTGCTAATAACTTTTATAACAAAAATGGCTAACTTGAGTAATCCATGAATTTGTAATATTTATTGGTGTTAACTGTTGTTTGCTATACATTTCATTGTGGCTTTGCATGTACTGTATGTGTAAGAATAGTCATGTCTGGATGCCATTTTCTACATGTAATTGCTCTCATTCTATTTCCTTTTTGTAAAGCTCTTAAGATTATCAGAGAGGAATATGCTGGGTAAGAGATTATTACAAAGTACAAAAAATGCTTTTTATTAACATTCATCCACTGTACATTATATTTTCATCTGATTTGTTAAATAAATAATAAGCAACATTGAACTAAAGAAAACATTGTATTTCAGGTCTGTTAGTGGGAAAACTGAAGAGGGAGAAACCGAAGAATCTTTACATGTAAGTTCTCAGACCCATGCATATCATAAAAATGACACTCAAACATTACATTTTCTCCGGAAGAGTATACACTGTATTTAACACAGAGTACATGCATGTAGCCTTCTTACAGTATTATTAATTACAGTCATGATAAAGAAAAGATTGGGTCTCTCTTTGTGAAAAATAAATATGTGGCAAAGCCACTTTCATTGACAGTAATTAATTTTGATTAATTAATAGTAGCTTCCTTGTTTAGTTATCAGAGTATACTTTCCTTTTCAGAAACTTCTGATGGCTGGGGGACCTTCCACTAGTGATTTTAATAAACCAACTCATGGACTAAAGGTATTATTGTCATGGTGTGTCATTTACAATGTATGTGAAGATTTTTAGATATTTAACAGAGTGTTTTCATTGCAGGCCACAGTTATTGATGCACTAAATGAACTTTTAACAGAACTGGAATCAAGGTGTGACATTTTATGTATTTTGGTGCACAAGTTATGTGCAATTTTTCTTTGTCTTAGTGAAGGTATAGCTGTCGTGTTTAGTTTTGGTACAGTGAGGGTCAGGAAAAAAGAAAAGAAAAGTCAATAAAAGGAAAGAGATAATAATTAATTAATATACATTAATTTTACACTGCACAGACACTCAATGCAGGACACTTGAGAGAAGATTGTACAATCACATCACTTTCTGAAAACAAAAGGTTCTCAAGTTTTTTTTTTTTGAAAAACGAACCAATACCTTTCATGAATTTGAGGGCTGTTTCCTGAGAGGTCAGGTGAGTTCAAAGGGTTTTATAGTGTTCAATGGTTGCATAGTTGAATACCTGAATTTTATTGATCCCTAAATGTAAAATTAAAAAAAAAAACAAAACTGGAGAATCCTTTGTTTTCAGCAAACATTGTGAGTGAACAATCTTCTTCCAAGTGTGCCAGCTTGAGTGTCCTCCCTGTAAAACACTGCCTTCTCCACACTGTCATTTTATGTGCAGAGGCTTAAATGGAATCATTGAGACAACGTTTGGTTGCCCTATAATGGATTTTACTATAGACTTACAGGGCACTTCAGTGAGAGCCATACCCTGCATGTGTTTTGTAATGATTTTGTTGTTTCCCCTTTTTAGTGCATATAACATTGCCACCCAAGCACTGGAACATATTCATTCTAATGAGGTTATAATGACTATCGGCAAATCAAGAACTGTCGAAGAGTTTCTCAAGGTGTGCAGTGAATAATTTTAAATGTAATATGATAAAGTCAGAAACTGAGAATTCAAGAAGTACAGTGCACATTGTATGTTGGTTTATTACCCTTTGGTCAATGCAGATTTCATGTATTTGGTTCACTGTACGTGTACCTGTTATGATTTCTAAGGTGACATTATCTTCTCTTTTTCCTTTCTTCCTTTTCCTTTTTCTTTTCTTTTTTTTTTCAAGAATGCTGCAAGGAAACGTAAATTCAGTGTCATTGTGGCAGAGGGAGCTCCATTTTACAAGGTTTGTAACCACACTCTTAAAGTATGCTAAAGTATTAAAATGTTTAAGTGTAACTGCATGCATGGAGTTGTTCCACCTAGACTGACTTTTTGTAAGATAATTCTCCTTTTAACTTTTGAATTTAAAGTATTACCATTCTAGTTAAACCTCCTTGACAGAACTTTTGCGTAGTAGTACATTGTATTTTTTTGTCCTCAGGATTTTATTAGAAGAAATTTAAAATTTCTTGTTGGTGAATTTTCACGTCAGCCACTGCTAGAACTAGGAGTAAAAGTGTTAATAGTAAGAGTCTTTATTCACAAAAAATGGAGTCACAACATACATTATGTGTGGCTTTACAAAATATGGTTGTATTAACTAGTTATTAAAAATCAATTACAATTAGACAAATTGAAAGACATCAATTATTAATAAAAGATATTTTAAAACATTCCATTTTGACTGCACGTAAAATAAAATTATGCCCTCAATCTGGCAAAGATCTCTGTCTTTCTGGGGACAGCAGCTGCAAAGGAGATGCGATCAGCACTAGATTCCCATCACTCTTCTATTCATGGCCCCCTCAATGTGTACCCTGACTCAGTCTCTGCCTTTCTTTTCTAGGGTCAAGACCTTGCTAAGAGTTTAGCCCAGCAAGGGATTGAAACCACTCTCATAACTGATTCAGCAGTGTTTGCAATCATGTCAAGAGTAAATAAGGTAAATTATTGCTAAATTAGAGATAAAGCTACTCTTGGAGATCTACAGTCGAACCTCCACGGATGGCCATATCTCCATACAACAGCCACTTTTTTTTGGTCCTGGCGGACAAAAAATCCATGCATTGACTCTTGTTTAAAACCTCTCTAGAATGGCCACTTTCTTCTGTCCCCAAGGTGGCCGTTGTAGAGAGGTTCAACTGTAATTTGTTCCCTATGCTGATTTTCACACACAGTCATGAAACAATGAAATGAATGAATTCCTCTTACCCCAGGCATGTGGTGGCCAAGCTACGGTGAACACCACCCCAAGCGAGAAACTTTCCTCCGCTTTCCCTTTTTTCACCCAGGGCCCAGTTGCTCGACGGCCGATTAGCGCTAACCCATGGTTAGATTTTAACTCAGGTTCTTTTTTTTTAAAAACTTTTTCTTGGATAATTTTCCCCATTCTTTTTAGATTATCCAGTCGCCAAATTGTAGACAAAAAGAATTCAACTGAATTTTTTTTTTTAAGCTGTCATATCTGAATTCAAATTTCACACTAATCCTGGGTCATCTTAACCCAGTTTTAAGCAACCCGGTCCAGGTGTATAATTTTGTATCAGTGAGGTTGTACTGCTGGCGTTGGTAAACATGTGATGGACTAGTATCCCATCAGGGCGGGGGAGGAGGGTGAGGTAGTACTGAATGCTGTTACAGTGTAGGTGCTCCTGCTTCATGCTACAGAAGCCAGTTTGACCTCTGTTTGTGTAGAATTCCATTTGGCCGTATGGCTTTATCTTATCATAAGCATGCTGTGAGGAAAGTAATGTTTTTTGTGTTATTATTGTTGTTTGCTGTAGGTTATTATTGGTACAAATGCTGTGATGGCAGATGGCGGGTAGGTCACTGATATATTGCCCACAAAAAGACGAGGAAATAGTAATAAATGAATAGAGCATACATGGTGTACCTGTAAGACAACAAAAGAAGTAACAAACTAAAAATGGAAGTGGTGATATCTGAGGAGAGGGTACCCGGAGAAAAACCTCTCAAAACTAAGAAGAGAACCAACAACCAACTCCGCAACCCACTTACGTGTGTGGTATCGACACCCTTTACGGTCATTTCGCCCCGGTTACTTAGCCCCCTCTTTTCGAGCCATTTAGCGCACTTCAAATGTAATATTTCTCGTTCTATAAGCCATATAGCAAAACAAGTGCGCATCAAATGTAATATTCCTCATTGTTTAAGCCATAAACCAAAACGAGCAGGCCTTAGATGTAATATTTCTCGTTCTCAAATAGGGGGCTAAGTTACCGGGGAGAAATGACATAAACCAAGGCCTCTGTTGTGGGATGTGGACTTGTGAGTGCTATCTCCACTGCGCCACTGTTGTCCTCCTGACTCTTGTGCTTCTCTGACCCTTTGACCCTTTCTTCTTACCGTGATTACTCCCTCAGATTGCGGTCAATTGTTGGTTCACACGCTTTAGCATTGGCTGCTAAACACCACTCAGTACCGGTAAGTCCGGCTATAAAGTAAGGACATGTACACCGTATTTAACCTAAATAAAGTCCTTCAGTTTTCTCTTGGTATTTTCAATGGTTCGAGACTGATGCGAGAGCTCTACCTGCGGGCAAATAAATGCACGCACAGGCTGTAAAATGAACGAGACATAACGTTATTGGCCTGCAAGCGTAAGGTCAAGATGACTGTGTTACCGAACAGAGCGTTTGGTATCAGTCAATAGTATACGTCTGATTTGATATCCTTCACCACATTTAAAGCTACCTTTCCTAGTGAGATAGTTCCGCTGCGTACCGTGAAGTATAATTTTGCTTGATATGCAGTGCCATTAATTTTTGGACATTGAATACGTTTTGTCCTGGAACCTAGTTTTGCCTAACTATTCATTAATCGATTAATCTGTCAGAAGGACTAATTGCCGTAATTACTATACTTACGACTGTTATTTATAAGTTAATACTAGGAATCAACTGATGTCGTATGGACAAGAGTTTTTACAGTACTTTTCTTAACGTACATGCCGGCGTACATGTACATCATTCACGAGGACGAGTATTTCACAGATCTTCCAACACCAAGTCCTGAAATTGTAACGACTTTTTTCTCCTTTTTTCCCCCAGTTGATCGTGTGTGCCGCTATGTACAAACTTACTCCGCAGTATATTGTGTCTTACGATCAGGTAAAAGTCATTACATTTTTGTCGACATACATAAAAAGCTGCATGTGAGCATACTAAGAGCATTGTTCTTCTGTTTACCACGGTAACAAGGTTTCTAATATTTATATATATATAAATTAAGACGAAGTCGAAGTCTCATCTCAGTATTAATTCATGTTGTAGGACAGTTGCAACAAGTTCGTTGTTCCACATGATGTTGTGAATTTCTCTGAAGGTAAGACACGAGTGAAACCCTTTAGGCCTTAATATCAGCGTGCACATTCTCCTTACAGTTTTCCTTGCATTTCATGGGCTGCGGACGAGGAGAATTTGCTTGAAGACCAAACCCTGTTCAAGTTGTAGAAAAATCTCGTTTCTCTCACGACCCTGCGAACACTGTTACTTCAAGAAGAAATTGTAGTTTAAATATTGCCATTTGGGCACTTCTCTTACAGGAGGAATCCTATCCAAGATAGATGTCCATAATCCTGTGTTTGACTACATCCCTCCAGATTTAGTGAATCTCTGCATTTCAAACATGTGAGTATTGTTTTCTAGATGTCGCTTCTTCCCACCATACAGGCAGAAATAATGTCCGTGGGACTGGCCCTTTGTTCACCCTGTTCTCCTCTGGAGGGCCTGCCTATGGGCTAACCACGCACTATCCCCCGGCCCCACCCACATCTCCTCACCCTGTTTACGCCTCCCTTTCACAGATATCTAAATTGGCTCTGCCACTAGCAGCCCAATAAAAATGCGCTGCTGCGATCGAGCTGCGTTAGCAACAGAGCGCATGCCGCGAAGTACACACTTTTTTTGGCCATTCGAAAGCCATGATAACTTAGTCAACTCAATTTAAGGAAGGCTAAAGCGATCTGAGAAGTTACTGTTCTTGGCTCACTCACTGTTAACACCTAAGTCTAGTTCCATTGTGTTTTCTTAATTTCCAGTGGAGGCTATTCACCTTCGTACGTGTACCGGCTTGTAAGTGAATTATACCATGCAGATGACTACTATTTATGATAAGGTAAGTATTGATTTACTGACCACCTGCTCCTCCCCTAAGTCACAATTTTGCCAAAAGTAAGAAGTAAGTGCTAATGTTGACTTAGGGGAGGAGTAGGTGGTCAGTTACCCAGAAACATCAAATGATCCGACATACTTTGACGTTTGTTCATTTTTGTTCTGGTCGTTAGCCTGATGGGAGGTTTTAGTAATTATTTTTCATGTTGCAAAAATAAACATCGTAATTACGTAAACCGCATAAACCTTTGGTTTTTCTTGCAGATCGCAAAATAAAAAAGAAATTATTCTCATTCAATCTTCGACTGCCATTTATTGTTCAAGTGTCACTCATTGATTGATGCCGACAGCATACTCAATTACAGGCGCTACTCTTTGACATCATTATCAAAATTTGTCCTACAGACTGTATGATCCACTGGAGAGAGGCTGTCTGGACTACTACTCCGTTCGCCGCTTCGTTTGAGATGCATACATACATACATACATCTTAATTATTTTCAAGTTTGAAGTACAATTTTAACATACCCGCAGGTAGCTACGCTACTCTATGCGGGCCATGTTTTCAAGAAATAAATATAAGTTATAGTGACTAGTGACCTAATAAACCTAAAACTGACATTGGTCAGGAAACAAAAGCGTTATCGTTTAAGAGAAGGTAATCTAGCCTCACGAATGCGGCAACTAGGAGCGCTAGCAGAAGCGTCCGTTTGCAACAACAACAGCAACAATTTTATTCTTTGTATGCAGGAGTTGAATAGCTTGCCCCGCAAATAGGTGGAATGCTAGTCCTGGCGGGGCAAGACAAGTACATGAATAACATATCTACTAAAAACAAAAACATTGAATTATTACAAAGCCTTGCAGATTGCAACTTAGAATAAATAAAACAAAGAAGTTCAGTGATCTAATTAACTACACAGCACTTACTGACACGCTTAATTTATTAATACAACAATGCACTAAGCACTAAGATATTATAAGGAGTCACTGACTCTTAAAAGATGAATAACACGGAAAAGGAAAAGCAGACATTAAAACGTTTAACAAGTGTATCTATCTACATAAACCGACTTTTTAAAATAATCATGGGGGTTTGAATACGGTCTTCCTCTTTTTCGTAGATATCAAATGGCAATTTGCGAAGAACTCTTTTAAAAATTTTCTTCGGCAGATCTGTTATATTTCGGCAGATCCGTTATATATCATGGTATCTCATTTTACAGCTTAACGTTGTCCCGAAATAGAGAAAGTAAGGTGGCCCACAACTGTCAAGGCAAAACCAAAAACCTCACAGCAAAAACAAAATACCTCACGGCAAAACCGAAAACCTCACGGCAAAAACAAAAACCTCACGGTAAAAACAAAATACCCCTCTACAAAACCAAAAACCTCACGGCAAAACCAAGACCTCACGGCAAAACCAAATACTTCACAACAAAAACCAAATACCTCACGGCAAAAGCAAATACCCACGGCAAAACCAAAGCTATTTTGCTTTTGCCGTGAAGTATTTGTTTTTGCCGTGAGGTTTTTGTTTTTGCCGTGAGGTTTTTGGTTTTGCCGTGCGGTATTTTGGTTTTGCCGTGATGTTTTTGGTTTTGCCGTGAGGTATTTTGTTTTTGCCGTGTGGTTTTAGTTTTTGCCGTGAGGTTTTTGGTTTTGCCGTGCGGTATTTTGGCTTTGCCGTGATGTTTTTGTTTTTGCCGTGAGGTTTTTGGTTTTGCCGTTAAAGTCGTCCCAAGAGAAATCGAAGAAAAAGTTCTGCAATTTTTTTTTTTTTTTTTTTTATTTGTTTGTGTTGTGGTGTCTGTGTGATTGTTTGGTTTTTTTTGGTTTTTTTTTTTTTTTTTTGTTTTTGGGGGGGGTGGGGTGGGGGGTAAACAGGGAGCATCATGGTCCCTGTGAAAATAGTGAATACCAGTGATCTATTTTGATATTTCGGTAAATTATTTGACGCCAGTGTACAGAATGAGTCCAAGTTTGGCCGGTTCTTGTTGGCATGACTGCGGCTTCGTTCAGCATGCGTCATTAGACTTGTCTGTGAAATAGAAAAAAGCGATTAGAATTAAAGAACCTACCGCCTTCTTTTTCGTTGCTCCTCCGAGCTCGTGTGACGTAAGATTGCGAAACCGCTGATTGGAAGTAAACTAAAATGACTAATGAGCAGCTTATTCACTCCTCGATAAACTCGCACGCCGGACATTTGTTCGCTTATGAGATTATTCTGTTCCCTTGACAAATCGCCAAATTTTGTCATTCGCTTGCGTTGAGGAATCGAGGTAAGGTTACAGTCAGTGTTTGAAACAATGGTAAAGAAGAATTAACATTTACGCTCTTAAACTTCTACCGTGGAAGGATAAGCTTACCATGATGAGGTAACATTTTTTGATGACCTTTCTCGTTCCAAAGTCGCATTTTTTGCCTCGTCTGAGCAAACTGAGAGAATTTTCCAGTTGCTATTAGCGGTAATCGTTGAAAGGTTTAAGAGAAAAAATAGTATTAACTCCGACATCAAAATTTAAATTAGTAGTGAACACGTAATGCGAAAAGTAACAGTTGCGGTGTCCGAAGTTCCCGAGACTCTTACCGTTCATTTATTATCGCATGTGCAGGGACAAACTATTCAAGTATTCATGATTATTTAGAACTACATAGCCCTAACTGGCCAGAATAGCGTCAGTTTTGTATGGACTATTTGGAACTGATGTGAATCTAATAGATGATTCGCAATGTAAAAGACAGCGGTTAATTAGAATGACAGAATTGAAATTATTCTGAAATACCTTTGAGTAGTGGTTTTATCTAAGATTGCGCCATGAAATGGTATAATTTTTAGTTTTATTATTTTTTCTTTCTTTTAAATGTATGTAAATCATGAATCCTTAGCTTGTAACATCTGTCATTTGAATTCCGTCACTCCGTCGACCAGGGGCGGATCCAGGATTTTTTTTAGGAGGGCGTGCACTCGTCTCTTGCTCTACTTCAACACCAATAAACCACATAGTTTTTTTTTTTTGCAGAATACCAGTTGTATTAGAAAACCGCAGGTCAACCCTGTGGGGGGGGGGGGGGGGGCCCCCCCCCCCCCCCCCGCACCCCCCCCCTAGATCCCCCCCCGCCCCCCGTTTTTCTTCTTGAAAGGACAAACCCCCAGTTTTTACTGGGTGAACCCTTAAACCCACCAGTTTTAGAAGAGAATATTTTCAGGGGTGTGGGAAAAGGTAAAAACTGAGTTTTCTTCGAGCTTTATTTGTAGTTTTATTTTCGCTTTCCTGTTCACCGGGGGTGGATTCTGGTTTTTTTTTTTGGGTGTTTTTCTTCTTTTTTTTTTTTTCTCACACCCCAAAAAACCCATATTTTTTTTTTTTTTGCAAATCCCCGTTGTATTAAAAAACCCGGGGTCCACCCTGTGGGGGGGGGGGGGGCGCACCCCCTGCACCCACTGCACCCTCCCCCTAGATCCGCCCCTGCATCCCGTATTGCTTCATGAAAGGACAAACTCCCAGTTATTACTGAGTGAACTCTTAAACCCATCAGTTGTAGAAGAGAATATTTTCAAGGGTGTGCGAAGAGGTAAAAACTGATTTCTCTTCGAGCTTTCAACTTTATACAGTTAAAACAGCTCACCTTCACCACCATTTTCTTTCTATACAAATAGAAAAAGCATTTGAAATTTTGTTTTCGAAGACACGTCTCGTGAATCCCGCCATTTATCTAAACTGAGAAATTGCCATGTTTGTTGAAAATCTGATAGGTGTACTGACAGAAAACTCATAGATGAAAATGGAAAAAAATCATACTTACGGTATACTATACTTTTGATACCCTAAGTAATGAGTATAATGAGAGATAAATTTTTCTAATTCCACAGATTTTTTAATGAAAAGAAGACTTTTATACGTGCGCATGTGACATGTTCACCTGGTCTACAAACGCAACACAACCTGGTTGTCCAGGAAATATCCAGGCGCGCGTTGTTTAACCTCTTGGTGTGCGAGATATTTCGGCTTGACAAGCGAACGGCCAGGAAGTACTACCAATTGCTTTTTGCTTGCGTAGTCACACTCCAGTCTCACTAAAGGATTTCCTCCTATTGGTTGAAAGCTCTGGATCACTCTTCGCGTCATAATAACAAGTATCATCTGAAGTTGCTGGTAGTTACATAGTTTTTCATCATGAGCAATTCAACGAACCACACTCGACTGGTGACCGCGACATCGAAGCCGGAAAGACAGGGGCTACAAGTTAACCACGTGATGTGTATCACTGTCGCGGTTACAGCTTTTCTAGCAAATTCCATGTTGTGTTTAATTCATGCTTGTTGCAAAAGGGTGCAGAGGAGTAGCAACATTTTCCTCATTACTCATTTTACAGCCAATACTGTGCAAACATTAGCAAGCATGATGTGTTTCGCTTTTCCCAACATCGGTGATGTCTTGGTCTGTGTACTTAATATAGCGTTTTGCCTGTCAATTTTGTCTGTTCCTGTAATAACGCTTATCACTTTGATCAAGACATTGTGCGTCACTCGATACACGGCTTTTATTTCAGGAAAGCTGCCTCTTCTCCTGTTAACACTATTGGTATTTTTAGCATTGGGTGTGGCGGTACCCCCTTTTGTTGGATTGGGGTCACCCGTGTTATTCTATGAGCACTCAGAAAACGCCTCTGTATCCTATGCAGTATCAACTGCACTCATCTTGAGTGTGATCCCGTTAGTAATAATCTGTACGTCAAACTACAGACTATTCAAACGTGTACGAAGCTACGAACAGAGTTCAAGAAAGGAGAGTGTGCCTCAACTTTATCGAGGAGGAATTGCGCTGCAGTTTGATATACGAAGACGAGAGGACGAAGCGAAATGGATTATGTTACTTCAAGTCGTTGCGTTTTTCGTTTGCCTAATTCCAATCGCAGGGGAAAAAATTGTGTCGTCTTTTCTGCCACGAATAATGCCAGCAGTGGTGGAATACATATTCAACTGTCTTGCACAAGCGTATTGTCTGTTCTCGCCACTCCTGTACGGTTTCTCTAACAGGGAAGTTCGTCAAGCGTTTAAGTTTCGCTGTACTCAGAAAAAGTTTGTGCTTCAAGGTTCGCGATTAGAGAGACGCAAGCAAAGAGTTCCATTGGGTGAAGGTCGTTATTTATCAGATAGAAACGACGTCCGTTTTGTCGTTCCGCGAGTAGAACAATCGTGTGACGCACTGGAACTCAATTGCGCAGGACCTGAAAGATTAGTGCGTTTTACAGGGGTGTCACTTTTATCCGTGGATTTTTCGGTGGATTCTAACGACTCGCGACCGCAAAAACCGGTGAACCGAGGGAAAAGACCAATTACGACAGAAGTTTCCCCTCTAAGAAGACATTCTACACTGAGAAGAAATAAAGAAGGTCCTTCTACAAGACAGGTTAACGATAGAGTGAAAGTCAGATTTGACAGTGAATACAGTGATAGACAGCGAAAAAAGTACATTGCTACTCCTTCCATAAAGCGCATGCGTCAGATTAAGAGGTGCATGTCAGACATGTCTTTAGATGATCTCCAAACCAGTGTAACTGGATCGGAATTTGAGTCGCAACAGCACATGATGCCTCACTATACAAACTATAGCGACCCCATGCGGTCTTCCGGGTTTAGACAGGTTCTGACTAAGAGAGGAAAAACAAAGCGCGCATGCTCGCTTTACAGGGACAGAAAGCACAAACCTAAAACGAAGAACTTCATGGAAAGACGGTGCAGCATTGAGGCTGACTATGCCATAAAGAACAAATGCTGCCAACACCGTAACAATACGGTCAACCCTCTTTAAAACGGAGATATGACTGGGATGGGTACCAAGACGTTTTGCCTCGAAGGGACTGTGTCGATTTTGATTTAGCAGTAGCAAAGAAGTTACTTCTAAAGGACCAAATTCATTGCTTCATGACAAACATATATGTCCCTCAGGGGATATATTCTCTTTAAAGAGGCCCTGCAGGGGTAAATTCCGACAAGCGACATTACCCAAAAAGTAGCGACAGAACGGAAAATGAAATCGAGACGAGACAACCTCCCTCGGCCAAATTGCGACAGTGACGGCAAAGCCGAGAAAAAGCGATAAAGAACCGTGGTTTGGCTAATTTATCACCAGTCTGAATGCCAAGAAGAAGTAAGGTGTTCGATACTCGAAATGTTAACTGAGAAATTGCAGAACGACAAAGAATTTTCCTTCAATTTCCGACAGCGAAGTGAAGCATTTATAAACACCGACAAGAAACGTTATAAAATTCAGACGAGCGACATGGCCCCCGCGCTTCCCCGGCAGGGCCTCTTAAAATATCCTCAAGTTTCGTACTTCTGTGTTTTCTCTCTCAGTCGCTGTGTTATTTAAATGCTGCTAATTGCTTATTGAGGTTTTATTTTCATATTTCGTCTCAGTTCGTAATGGCTGAATTTAGCTAAAGTTCGTGACACAGCAGTGACACAGTTCCTTTGAAGATGATAACTGAAGAACAGTAGCTAACAGTAGGGCGGACATAAGTCGATGTCCGTCTTAAAATGGCGTTCTTAGAGGAGAATTGACTGTTCTAGTTACCAATGCGATTTTCCGTCAGTGAAACGTTGTACTGGTTCGTTTTGGTTTCCTTTCCTGACCACTAAAACTGGACAGTGATACGAAATCTCAAAATTCAGGTTTCGTAAACCCCACGGTGGTGGCCTCCTTTTAACCTACAAGCAAACTATCAGCTGTCATTTGCTATATTTCTTTATGAATCATTTAACAAGAGCTTTATTTAAAAATCAAACAGTGTAAACTTTACACTTCAGAGTAACCTCCTTCATAACGTCGTTCTATAGACTCATTCTTGATGACCATTTACATCAGTTGTTAGATTGAAATAATGCCTTCTTCCTTTAGTCATGATAACATGAGTAATTAGAGTTTCACGGAAAGTTAACAAGCACGTGCTTCCTCAGTGATCTTGAGTTCCGCCAAACCCCCAAGTCAAGTGATATGAAAATGATTTACCTTGACCCTATCAGCGTGTGCTTTCTGTCTCGTTATTTTACGATAGAGCCGTTGTCGGAAGCAGCTATTGATTGGCTAAAAAAATCTGGTTCCACTTTCTAGCAATCAGAGATAAAACAAAAGCCAATCTTGTCTTACGTGCGCGGCTTTTTCCGCCTTTGACGCGGACTCCATTCTGTCCGTTGGTTTTCATTGGTTTTTATTGCCAGTCTCTGCACTGTCTGGTTTGACAAAACTCAACTGTATGTTGACGTAACTAATCGATAAGGTTTCGTCAATAATTTTCTTGAGTTATGCCACAACTGTGTACTCCCTAATATGGGGTAATGTCGACTGGAATGAAGGCAATTTAGTCCCAACAAGAAAAAAAACACATTTCCAGTGATGTTGTGTCAAATAAAACAGTGGACTTGTCTAACTATAGGTGCATTTTTTTTCAGATTTTAAGACCTCGTTAAAGGATATAGGCTAGAATACCGATTTTCTCGACTCCTCGGTTTCTCTGATCTACTTATTAATTGGAATCATCTAAACTGACGTCCCTTACCTAATGGAAGAGGGTCCCCAATAGCGATCTTCAATCCCGTGATCCCGACCCGAAATGTCGAGCAATCCCGTAATCCCCATGGTTATTGTTGGCATCCCGCCTCGCGTGCATAAGTTCAATCCCGAATCACCTTGATGATTTTGCCATGAAATCCCAAATCCCGAGCTTCAAAGAAGGGAAATCCAGGATCTCGAAAAACCCACTGGGGACCCTAATAAAACATTGTAATTTTAGCCCCAAGTTTTGATCGCCCCGTGTAAGGTATTCCAAGACAGTCTTGGAGTCTGGATTCCAAGCTGTGGACACAGGATTCCTTGAGCTGTATTCCGAATTCCAAAGTCCAGGATTCGGGTTCCACAGACTGAAATTTTCCGATTCTGGATGTCAGTTTCCGGATTCGGAAATCCAGATTACCTTATATGGGGAAAATTCGAAGCAATCCTTTTCCTATGGAGGAGCGAGAAATAGATATTTCACTGTCGTATTACACTGAGTCATTTACATTTTAGTTGACTATTTTCTAGCGTCATTTGACCCAGTCCATATGATGGACGTGTAAGCCTTGCGTAGCATTTCTTTTTTCCAAGAAAACTGCTTCCTTAGTCGTTTAATGTACATTGTAAAGGTGGAATAATATGACCCTACAAAGTGGTCTGCATGAGCGCAAATGAATTGTTCGCAGAGCCCCAACAGGTCTTGGACAAAGGCACTGTTTACATTTTTAAGTTGCAGGGCTTCATTAACGTCCTCAGCGAAGAACAAATTGTACCCCGCGTCTCTAAAGGGATCGAACCAAGTTTTGTTTCTCTCATCCGTTGCGATGTAGAGTGTCTTTGTAAGGTTTAGTGCCTCCCGCTGCTGTAATTTCCATAACCAGTAGTCTTGCTTTACTAGAGCACTTGATGGGTGGTCCGTTCTTCTCACGTGAATGGCGTTATATGGGCGTTCGAGTATTTCTAACACGTTCGCGACTTTTTTCCTTATATTTGGCGCGAAACGAATAAATCGCATAATCCACTCATGCGCGTTCAGCACGGTTTCCCTCTCAAAGAATAGCAATTCTCTGCTATATAAGGATCCTTCGGCAAAATATATCAGATCTTCAGTTCGATAGAACAGTTCGTCCATAATACCCCACACAGGTCTTTCGATAGAGGCGTTGGCTTGATATTGTTTTAGTTCCTGATTACAAATGCGGCGATAAAGGGGGATGGCCCCGTATGAGGCTGATGACTTCCTCATATGTCGTCGAAGAATTCTCCACCTCGTATCATCAGTCTTCTTTGGTATAGCATCAATCCAAGTTCCAAACAGCCCATTGTGGCAAATTCGAGCCCATTTTAAGTTTTTGTATAGGTTTTTGAACTCGTTATGACTAGAAGTGATTTCTTTTATGGGAGTCAGTTTCGACAGCAGTTTCAGATCGATAACCCTGGATAATGGCAGTAGTTGATCTTTAGTTAGCATATTATATATTTCATAACCAGCTGATATTCTTCGAGTTCGTTTGAGTCGAAGAATTTCCTGATGTGGCGCCAGAGGGTGGACCATGAGTGTTCTATTCAGCAACTTTGCTAAGACAACAGCATTTTCAAAGGCAACTCGTTGGTTATTCCATCCCCCGCCAGGCGGTTGATAAGACAGGTATTTAAACGAATTGTCGTTTTGACAGACCAGCCTCCCGTTAATGTAAACAGTTTGTTCTTCCGAACAAGGCTGTATTTCGTCTTTGGATTTAGTCCATTTGAAAGAAGATTTATAACGAAATTTCACGACGATCATGGTAAGACAAATCAAGCAAACAGTGATGAAACCTAGTAGCACCTTTCTCCTCAACATCATAATTCGAATAGCTTTTAAGAAAAACTTTAGTTTCCATATTGAAGCCAAACATAAGTTTGTAATCCATGCGATGAAATACCTGTCTGAATTTTTTTGGAGCCAATGAGTCCAGTCGCGGTTCACGGGTAAGGGCAAATATCGAGGCCGCTTTGCCTTTCGTTCCATTGCATTTCAAGTGAACCGTGGTTTGTAGAGAGTTTGAAGCGGAAAATAGCAATTCATCCATGACCTCATTGCATTGACCTCTCGCGCCTTTCCACTTCAGCGGTTCTAGGTCATCAATTTCAGTGGCCAGTTGCCGCCCACATTGTGATGAACATAAACTGTTCTCTTTTTTCACGGATAAACGTTATCACGTTTTTACACCAGTGTGTGTTTTTTAAAATCTATCTGACATTCATTTAGCTAAAAGCATACTTAGCGCTCACATGCTTGACAGAACCGTGTGTTTTTATTTTAAGCCTATTTGCGCAGGTGTCCTAAACAGGTACCTTTCACTTCAACTCACTGGTTCTGGCGGTAGACAAATCTAAAAAACAACGAGAGTGTTTCTAGACTAGTTATGTTTAGACACTCAAATACTGAAAATCTAGCCTCGACATTTTCTTTATTTTCGTTTTAAGCATGCCTCTCCACCGCCATCGCTCACTGCTTAACTGAGCGTCAAAGGGACCCGAGCAGCGGTGATGATTAAAGCCTAATTCATTAATTACTTGTAGTCGACGCCAGTTGGCAAGAAATGAATTATAAGATGGAGTTCCTCTTCCTTTCTATTTGAACAGCTTAGGTCGGTTAATGACCATGGTTATTAGTCTCTCTGATGTTCATGTTCCTGCAAAATTGTACATAATCAGATAAAACGCTCACAGGCAACCTCATTATAACCTAAAGAAGCACAATGTTCAGCGTTCTTAAAAAACCAAGTGCCAAGGTTTTCCTCTAGCCGTTGTGCGCGTCTTCATTCGTTAAGACTGTACTTGGTTTGCCTTTACGTAAATCCTTTCATCCGTAAATCAGATTCGGCCAACCTCGTCCCCAGGGCTTAACGCACCCATTTTCTTAGAAAAAGTCCTGGAACGAGACGGAGATTCGCGAAGAGCTTCAGGTCCAGAAAAACAGTTGATGTGAAGAACTTTTGAAGGATTCAAGTAATAATTCTCAGAATAAAAGCAGAACAATTTTGCGTGAAAGAAACTGTTCTAGTGATCTTAAAATCCGCATGGGATGTTATTTTAGCAAACGGCACATTTTTGTGGTTTGTTTTTGTGTGTTCTTCACGAGACTATTGTGTCTTTCGTCAACCAGTTTTTTTTCCTTTCTTTTTTTCTTTTTTTTTCTTAACCAGACGTCTACGTCAATTTGTTTACCCAGACGATACGGAAGACAAAATATGCAGTTTGATCTTTTTTGACGTCCCCCGTTGCGGCCAGTTTTGCACAGCGCGAACGTATGTCAATTTTCAGGAAATAGACAATTATTTCTCTCCTATGATGTAGATGACTAAAACCTTGCTCGCTCCGCTTTATGGGCTCCTGCCGTTCGTAAACTGTAACAAATAAGATACGGACACTTGTATTTGCATGACAGCTGTACAATGCAACCGATCGCAAGGAATGAATTTTATATCAGCCTGAATGAGTTTCGTTCGATTATAGGAAGTTGAGATTCAACGCGTCCGTTGATAACTACCCTCCGAATACCAGAATCATTTTCACGTTGCCCAAAAGCTAATACCAAGCCCAATCGGGAGGTCAGCGCGAACCACCTACGCGAGAGCTCCGCTCTTAGGCTTATCATATGTTAGGATCTGACTATCGGAGATACAGACACAGCGGGTTATATTTATTACGTCACCAAGGTAAACAGCTCGAAAGGTCTTGATATGATCTCATAGTCAAATAACATGAGAGACCGCGGTGCAAGGAAATGGTTTTTTGCGCCTCCCTCAATCTCTGTTTTGCTCTTTTTGTCTTGTTTTTCACCATTATAATCACCCTCGGTTGCTGTTCGTGTTGGTTCGATTATTATTCGATGACTGTTGTGGAACGAAGCAAGGAAAACGATAACTGGTAAGCAATTGCACGAAGAATGGATAATTTTTCAAACTCAAGTAAAAGAGCTGACGTTTTCTTCAACAGATTAGAACTAACAATATTTTCGTATTTGTCTCGACAGCCAAATTCAAATAGAAGACGATAACGTTAAAGCCATATCCAAGTGATTAAACAGATTGAAAAACCTGAGGGAGAGTTTTCAGCAGGTAAGGCCCAATGATTTTATGTCAAAAGAAATAGCGACTATTTGTTTAAAGATGATATTCAACAGGTAGCTTAGTAACTGATACCATGATGATATTCCACTCACACTAGCTTGCGAATTTTACTTTATCAGGCATTTTCTGTCAATTATCCCAAATTTCATGGTCATTGTATATAGATGTGCCTCTGTGAGCGCTTGAGTGAATTAAAATGACTTTTGAAATTCCGCACCTGTCATGGCGTTGATGGAGAAAAAATGACACGCTTTGAAACCTGCTACCTCAAGGAACAAAATCTACATTGTATTTAATAATACGGTAGCAGATCTAATCAATCGTGTAATTTGAAGGATGATTCAAGTTAAATGGCACGATCTAAAAAAACTGTCTTGCAGTGAACTTTATAACCAAACGGCGCAAAAACATGTTTTTGGTTTTTCTAACCTTTCTCTGCTCAAAAATTAGAAATCGTAGCTGCAATAAAAAAAGAAAAAAAACAAACGCTATTACAGCAACCCAGGGCAGTCTCATCTCTCGTTAGCCCCAATTCCTCTAGTCAGAGATCGCGCTTTCATCACAATTTTTGGTACCTTGAAATTTTTTTATTCATATCAAGCATGGACATTATTTTGAATCAACAGTTGCCTTTGGTTGAGTTAAACAAAACTTATCAGCAATTACAGCGTTGTTGGCAAAGAGACCTGGACAACAAGGCCAAAATGTTTTACACAATCAAGTAACGATAAGATTTCCAAATGCCAAATTTTGCTCTTCGCGGTCGGTAAGATGGCTTGCGTGATTCAGACGACTGTCAAAGGTGTAACCGCTTACAAGTCTTAGACGACGACCGGCAATTATGTGGGTTAGCGATCTAGTCGAGTCTGAAGTTGGTTGGTAAAAAAATGGGGTTCTTGGGTTTCTTTTGCCAGTGAATTAACCTCTCAGGAAATGCTGTATATTACCACCATATAAAAATTTTATTGCTCATTGAACGTTTTGCGGTTCTGTGTCTGGTGCAGGCTTGTCTTCCCATATATTTTGCCTTCCGTTAGAATAATTAGGCGCGCCCATTTTTGGAACGGTCAACTTTCATTAAGCGTTTTTCTGTTGATTTGGTGTTTATTTTCGGAAAGTGGGCGACCTGTGCATCTTCTCCAATGAGACTGTTCGCTTGACACAAAGTGAGTAAATGGAAATTTATTTTCCGTAATTGGGTTACCTGTACATCTGCTCCATCGAGACTGTTTGCTAGACGCATTAAAGTGAGTAAATTGGAAACGTTTGGCGAAATAATGACCCTTTTTATACTCTTTGAAAAATTAGCATAATTGAGGGCGCACCAGAAAGTGTATGAGCCAGTTCTGTGAACCAGTGTAGGGGCCATAATCTGATAGCCTGTTCTTTGTTTCCTGGTTTTGAATACTCTGACGACAGACGGACAACTACGCTATATCTGTCTTACAGTATTCAAGACGAGGAGAAGTCTTGCCCTTTAATTCTAGAAGCTGCCAACGTTAGCATTAGCGAAAAAGCCTGAATTTAATTTTGTTAAAACCTGAGGAATAAATTGCACCAAGTGAAAGTACTTCTTCGTAGGTTGCACCAAAAAGTGACAAAACTGAATTTCATCCACAGACTCAAAAGTTATCAACCATGCACCTTGTACGTAAAGGACAATACATAGTACTACAGGAAAGTATTGCTCAGTTTCGTTGAGTAGGTAACATCATGGTATTCCAAGCACAGACTCAAAAGTTGAGCTTCATAACAAATTAACAGTACCAATTGAAATGACTGGTCGGTAACTTTCATGGTCACACCATAGGATTTCGCCAGTGGCTGAAAGGTTTGAACCACTTTCCATCTTGCAAGCCAAAAGGGCTACACATTGTTTAGCGTTTTTCCTAAGCAAATAAAAACATGATATTTGCCGTATTGAAACTAACACTCCTGTTCCGCCCTCTAATTTACCTGTTCATAATGGAGGCCTTATTAAGTTAACAATTGCTTTCAAGAAAATAATTGTTCCTGCAAAGGTTATTTATCGCATCATTTCCAAAGGTGGAAACAGTGTGACCACCTATAAATACATTAACGCCACCTGCTGGAACACAACACGCTTCTCCGTTCACCCAAAGTGAACTAGCGAAACCAGTTGGTTGAAGGAAAGCGCACACGAACAATGAGATTCGATTATCTAAAACGGCTGGCAAGTTATTCCCGAAAATGACAAGAAAAGGTTTGTGCATGCAATATAAGCTGTCCTCTCTACTAATTTTCGTCATTCTAGTAAATATTTTGGTTTGCAATGCCTGCGTTTTGATAGATAATCGGTCAGTTACCCCTCATTTAAGTCTATCTTTTAGGGTAGATAAATTATTATATTCACTGACTGATTGTTGCCTATAGCATAACATGCGAGACACGGCTTCAAAAACGACGGTTCGTTTAACTTCTTTGTAATTGTCTACTTAATATGTAGATTGAAATAATCGAGTGTGATCATTCAAACGAAAATCAATTACGTATTTTCAGATCTTCAAAAGAAATTTTGAAGTTCCTCCGCACTTGAAGTGAAGTGTAATCTTATTAATGTTAACAAAAATAGCCAGTGGACTTGTATATTTTTTATTTAATTTATATTTAGGTATGTTTCACCTCTTCTTATAAGCCACGTTTAGTGACCGGTGAAACATTTAAGCGTCAAACTTATCTGCCCGTATTTTAGAGGTGTTAGAACGTTTGATAATTGAAGTCCTTTGCTCTCTTGAAATCTTTGGTCCAGTACGCGAACAGGCAATGAATTCGGAACGGAAAGATCTCCTTGCACCATGGGGATTGACTATAAATACCAAGCTGTGATCTTTGTAGAATATAATAAAACAATAATACTGACAATTAAAAAAAACAACAACGACCATAATTCATTTGATATCTACCAATACAGTAATTAACTTTTTACTCTTCGGTTTAACGCATGAAAAAACTGCTTAGGTATAAAACTGAGTGGTTGGATTTGCATTGGTTACTACATTGTACACTTGTTTCAAGAACTTGCATTGGCAATCTTGCATTTTTTTCTTGGTTCGTTCGTTCGTTCTCGCTTTCTCTGTCCCAACCCAAGAAACCATGGATTCACATGTAATGCAGGACACTCATAGGACACTATTTACCAGTTGTAGCTTTCGCTAAGTGCCACGAGCAAAGATTTTACCTTCACGCGCGCTCGTCAATTTGTTTAGAAATGTCATGAATTTCCGTTATTTACGACAATGCAAGCTGCAGGTTAGTCATGTGTCCGTCATGCATTTACCGTCCATGGAACGCACTCATGCATTATGCTATGCACATGTTCGCTCGAAATCAATGCATTGTCTGTTCTGCATTACGTCAGAAAAGTTATCCTACACTACTTCATGTTACATCGCTTCGAGATTCATTCTGGCTTAGAACTTTTGCGCACGGCCTTATTCAGTGCTGCCACCTCGCAGCTCTGCGTCTTCGCGAGGCTGCTCGTTGGCGAAAATATTTTTAAGATCGGAAAGTATTTCATAAGTAGCCATTGTGATGCGGTCTCTTTTGTCTCTTGCAGATTTGTACAATTCTTGGAGGACAGATTCTGCGCGTAAGCTTATTAACCACGAGAAGCAGAATCACTGGAGAGTCCTACCTGGGCGATCGGCCCTGCTGTTCCTTCTGTTTGCGTTTTCTATTTCAAAACCTTTCACGCATGCCCATCATTGGATTCCCAAAAAGCACGAGATGAACCACAATGTCCGAGTGGGACCACCACACATTGTAAAACGACAACCATTTTCACAGAAAATGCGATTTGAAGTTGTATACGATGACAGCATCGGCGACTTGGACGAGTCGAAATACGGTTTAATTACGGGGAAATTGATCCCCGAGGCGGTAGATTACTTCCACCAAGCGTTTAGCGTTAAGCCAACCAATCTGCCGATAAAACTGCAAAGAACGTGCAAAAATAACGCTTATTTTTTGAAGGATATAAAAGGTCAATCCGCTGGCGATGTGCAGTTTTGTAAGATGGATTGTGTAAACACACAATGCGGACCTGTCAGCGTACCATCTGACCATTTGGATCAGTGTCGGGTGTGTGATAAGGATGGCGTTAAATGTTTCTCTGTTCCGGGGGAGGAGTGGGAAGCTGGTATGGGGGTTGAATCACGTGATTTCATACTGTACGTTTCTTGCATCCAAACAGATCACTGCAATACGGCCAATACTGTGGCTTATGCATCGTACTGCCAACAGGAGCATGCGCTGGACAGACCTGTTGCTGGGTTTGCAAACATCTGCCCAAATCGTCTCGATACCGATCCAAGACATTACCCGAACTTGTTATCCACCGTAAAACACGAAATCTTTCATGCTCTAGGATTTAGTGCTGGACTATTTGCCTTTTACAGGAACGAGAATGGCGTTCCCTATACGCCAAGAGAAAAGCATGGACTTCCGCCGTACAACGACAAGTATGGCTTATATCAGTGGAGTTCCAAGATCGTGCAAAAGATGGAACGAAAACAGTGGGCAACACGACATGGCGATATATCTCATCAAGTCCACATGATTGTCACACCCCGAGTAAGAAGGGAAGCTAGAAGGCATTTTAACTGTCCAAACCTCGAAGGTGCAGAGATCGAGAACCAGGGTGGTTTGGGAACTGAGTACACACACTGGGAAAAGCGGTTGTTTGAAAATGAAGCTATGACCGGGACTTACACGCAGAATCCTGTATTCTCTAGAATTACCTTTGCTCTTATGGAGGACACGGGATGGTACAAGGCAAACTACAGCTTGGCGGACGAACTAGATTGGGGAAAAGGGCTCGGGTGTCTCTTTACCAAAAGTAGCTGCAAAACTTGGATGGAAACACACTTGCGAAATAGAAAATCCGCTGTACCGTTCTGCTACACGATCAAGAAAAGCCCCTTACGCATGCGCTGCACGCACAGCAAACTATCTGTGGCTCTTTGTAACCTTCGTAAGTACAACAGAGCATTACCTGAGGAATATCAATACTTCAATCATCTGCCAATAAGCGAAACGGGCGTAGATCACGATGTCCAACAAGATTTGGTTATTCGGGATACTGCATCGTATGGGGGTGCAGTGCCGCTGTCGGATTACTGTCCGTTTTATCAGAAGTTTACCTTAACAGGTACGGACGGTACAAAGAGAGAAACAACCTGCACAATGGCGGAAAACGCACCCGCCTTGATTGACAACTACGCTTTGGAGTCTTATGGTCCTGAGACCAAGTGCATGGAGCAAGGGCGCCAATGGATGGCGAAAAAAGGCCTTTTGACGCGAACAATGGTTGACTGGGGTAGTGGCTGCTACAAGTATCACTGCGATGGGGCATTACAGGTGGAAGTAGGAGGAGAGTTGTACACTTGTCATCGTAAAGGGCAACAGTTGGAGATTTCCGGATCAATAAACGAATGGAAAATTAATGGCTCATTGATCTGTCCATCGTGTGAGGAGTTTTGTGGCGCGCAAAACGGTTGTCCTCAGAAGGTTAAAAGCTCTTCAGCTGGAATCGTGTTTGTTGAATACAAGCCAAGAAATGATGCGTGTAGATTTAGAAAGACCTCTGAGGAACTTTTATATTTTGTCTTTTCCAGAATGATTCTCAGCATTAGCTTTATGATCTGTTTTGTGCCTGGTTTTCAATCTGTTTTTTATTGAAATTGACCAACTTATTATATAAATTATAAGGAGATGAATTCACACTGAGTTGGTCACTAGGCAATGTCCTTTCGCAAGCAAGAAGCAAAGGATTTTAGAGGTTACCTTGTAGGTTTTTTTAAATGAAATTAGGTATGTTGACCATAACTACCAAGCTTTGTAAATTACCCACAGGTCAAATTCACCAGAAGGCAATATAGACTTGCAAACATAAAGTAGCAAAATTTAACATTAATTGAAGGAATTTTATAATAAATATAAAATATATATTCAAAATATTCATTTCTTTGGATCTATACGCAATCTTTTTCACAAAAAGTTAATGTGCGCATAAAACTAATGACTACGTTATCTCCTTAAACGTGTGCCACTTATTACTCTTAAAAGCATCAAGTTAAACTGAACAGTTCTTTTACTGCAGCATTAATTAAAAAAAAAACACCAAAAAGCAAATTGCTGCGTTGAAGGGACACGGACAGTCTATATTAGATTTTTAACAATACGGAAGGTTGGTCGATAACATGAATGCTACTTGTGCTTTTGTTTTCGTTTCTACTCTTTTTGCTTTTACATTAATTTTTAAATAGCTCAGAAAAATTCGTGGTGTTGGAACTGTCGTTCGTCTTTGAGAAGTAACATTAAAATATATAGAGGGTATTACTAGGGCTCCTCCGATGGAGTTTCGGCTGCGAAAGGCGCGATTTATTATGCAACTACAGGAACGGTGATCTTTTCACGTGTTTTATGGTTTCGCGCAAAATCTTATTGGTATTTCATTGGTCGTTATATAACAAAACAGGTTTTAGAATATAACTCCTTTGAGTACTTCCTCAAACAAGGCTTTTTAAGGTCCTTGATTTTAAATACTGGAGAAGCTTAGTCTTACGAGCTTGGAAAGCATTGCTCATGGAACTTAATTACAGGATCTATATGTTATGTCAGAAAATGTCCATCTAAGGGTATAAATGAAAGTCCTGATCCACCAGATTGGATTTCGTCATTCCAGGAAAGTAAGACCTGGGATAACGTACTTTTAAAAAAAAGGCTATGAAAAAAAAAAACATTAATTGGTGTCGTTGAAATGTTGCCGGATAGATTTTACAAAAATTCGCGAGGTTTAGTTGTTTTGGCAGGGACTTCTACAGTTATCAATGCCCAGATTGTAACAGGGCGCTTTCTGCCCAACCCGGTGTGAAGAGGACTATACTGTGTATTGACCTGATTATCCAAAGTCCCCCGTTTTACGTAATTTTAAACTACACTAAAGAACGTAACGTGAAATTTCTATAAGGCAAATGTATTAATCTCCGATTAAACAAGTAAGTTCCGTTTAAAAAAGATTAAACAAGACAAAACTAACTGACACGTAGCTTCGAACACTCGCTCAATAGAGGAAAACAGAGTTTATGTTTCTCTGTCCCTTGCAAAAATTTACAAACTGTGCAAGATATGTAGTTTGCCTTCGAAGTTTGAAAACCCAGTCCTGTGTAATTGAAGGAAGTTTTAAAGTGGTGCATTCTTTTGATAGTGTGCAAAGCCCATCGTACGGTTACATGGTCGACAAATAAACTATCTTTTGTCTTGGCTTCGTGGATTCGTCCTCGTCGAATGAGGTACGGATCAGATGGTCCTGCATAAAGTCTTGCGTACTTACAAATCATCAATCCTAATAGGTCCGTGACGTCATACCTCACCAACGAGTTAACGCCTGAAGGAATAAGGCTCTTTGTGAAATATATTTCATAGCCTTTACTACTCAACGGCTCAAAAGATGTTAGATTATCCATGTGGGTTATAACATACAAAACTTTGGTCAACTCACGGAATTTCATTTTTTCCATTTCTCGGAGTCTGACGTAAATGGTTTTGTTGAGATTTGCTTCTTCATCCTCCTTGGAAATAAGAAGGGCATTAAACGGCATTTTAACGCTTTCTATCATCCTTTGGATCTTTGATTGAAGATATGGGGTAAAGCGGATGTAATCAAGGGCCCACTTCTGAGCATGCGCGACTCGTTGCTTGGAGAGGAACCGAATGTCACTGGCGGCGATAGACCCCTCCCGGAAGTAAATAATGTCTTCTTCTACCATGCCTAACTCAGAGATAATTCCTCGAATAAAGGGAATTGGTTTGTAAGGCTGAGTCTGCATTTGTAGTGCATAATCACAAACAGGTTCTACTGTAGGAACATTGAGGAAAAGAGGAAAGAAATCTTGAAATTCAAGAATTTTCCAAGCCTCGTGATTGTTAGCCGCAGGTATAAAATCAACCCAGAAACCCATGGAGTCTCTGTTACAAACCTCATGCCGGGTCATGTTTTTGTAATTGCCCAAAAACTGTTGATACGTTCCGCCGACATCACGAACCCTCACCAGCTTTGACAAATGATTAAAATCAACCACCGACGAAATTGGAACAGTGAATTTTTTATCCAGAAGCTCATAAACTTTCGAGTTCGGTTGCAGAGTTTTTCGCACAAATCTCCTCAGTCGCTTGAGCTCAAGTTCACTTGCCAACGCTCGGGCGAGAAGAGTCCTGTTTAATAGCTTTGATATTATGACGGCGTTTTCGAAGGCCTGAAGTTGTTTACTCCAACTGCCAATAGGTGGTTCGTATGAAAGATATTTTTCTTTGCTATAAGCGGTTGAAAAAGAAAAGCCATCGTCAGCGAAGTCACTCGAGAGGATGATTTCTGAAACCTGGTCTTTGTTTGTGCGAAAATTTGCACGTCGCCGAAACATGGCTGCCGGGCGGTAAACCAAGGTTAGTGACACCAAAATCAAAACCATGACAGCAACACCATCTAAAAGTTTTTTCAAGGATGACAATGAACACCCGGTAAACACGATAGTAACACAACATTTTTCAGCAGCGGTACTTGTTCTGGGCATGTCTTCTTGCGGGCAGCATTCATTGTTTTTCGCCCCCGATAAATGAAAAACCAAAACAGTTTTTCAAATCAGAAGGCGGTCTTCGAGAGTCTTTGCTAATTTGATCATATCTCGTAAGATTCTTGTCAACAGTATTAGAAGAGGTGTCAATTAATTTTTGAGGGTCAACAAAACTTGACGTCAGTGACTTTGGGAAAGTGGCCGCAGTGAGTTCTGATTGGTTCACTTTTGACGTAGGAAAGTGACCAACGGGTTCGATTGATTGAACCAGCAAATAACCTGCTGTTGAATTTAACCCTCCTGTTTAGACAGAAATTTTCCATTAATTGTCAAATAAACATATGTCATAGCGGCCAATTATAAACCGTGAGATAATTCTGTTCTACGCATGCTCTGCGACGAAATATTGCATCGGCAGGAATTTTACAATGAAGGAAGGACGACCAATTGTAATTATAAAAGCTATAATTTATAGGTTTCCATTGTTAATTATTTACCTTGTTATAGGTTTTGTTTTGGAAGTTAAAGTGGGAAACCCTTAGCCTCGGACTAGGCTCCACAGTTCAGGAAACCCTGAAACTGGCGATCAAAGTATACTTCTGCCCCGAACCAACCGCCTTTTGTACAGCAGTATCCGTTAATTGTTTTACTTAAGTGTTAGAAAATGAAAATGAATCTTGCTTTCTCTACGATTAAGAACTACTTTATTGATTATTAAGTGAATTTTACAGATTTGATAAAAATAAATATAAAGCAAGAAATCAATAAAGCTACTGTCTTGTTGATATCATAAATCTCTTTATCGTCCAGTGTGACCTGCAATAAAATAACGACATCAGTTTAAATCATTTTTTTAGCCTTTAAAAGAGACATATGGGATTTGACTCGAAATGATGCATCACGCTGCAAACGTCTCCTGAACTCTTGAACCAATCGGTTTGTCCAACGATATTTTGAATAAGTGCATAACATTCAAGGTGTCAGCTCAGACCGTCAACGTGTTCAGTGAAATTTTTGCTTGTGGAATGCGGAGTCCGGAAAGTTTTTGCTTATGGAATCTGCAATCTAAGCTTTGGAATTCTGAATTCAGCTTAAGTAATCCGGAATCCCGCTAATGATTGGAATCTGGAAGCCAAGTATCACTGACAAGTGATCCTGAATTCAGTACCTGGAATCCGATCCACGGCATTGAATCTGGCCAAAAAACAAGACTGTCTTGGTTTTCCTTACAAGGGGCGATGTTTGCCAATTGACCCAGTGTAAGAATATCAAACTAGTGTATTAATTCAAAACATCTTACGTATTTTAATTCAAAATGATATCCTTTATTACCTTAGACGTTTTGCGTAAAACTAGTTTCAAGACTTGCATACGTCAGTGCACAGTTTCATTTTTGGGTCAGGTTTTGGCACGGGGCATTTGTCCTCTTGTACTGGTTGATTGGATACGGTGAAGATGCAGTGCACCAACGGCATGGATGCTAAGTCTGTAAATTGTAAATAATGGGTTTAATCAGCTAACACGAAATGACAAACAACTATCCTTCAAAGAAGAAAGAAAAACAGCAGATGTATGTCGCTAATCATTTTCGCGGTGTTATTTAAATTTCGTCAAATGTTATACGTATTAAGTTCAAGATAGAAAATATGTGTGCAACGTGAGGAATTCGACCTTAGGCACGATACAGTGAGAAAAAGACTCGATAGGCGGGTATTGGGTGCATGGTGGAGGCCAGTAGTGCTGGTCAGGGATTCCTCTTGAACAATTTTAGGATCAACGTGTTTTGATAGAAAAATATTAAGATTAACTTTCCTTCTTCAGGCTCTGTGTAAACGTTCAGTTGTGACGTTCGTAGGATATGCACTTTTAAGGGCTGGAAGGACCCCTTTGGGAAAGACACCTGTCGGTTTAACTGCAGACCTCTTTACCGACCCTTCATTTGACCAGCAGCCTTGAGAAGCTGTTTCACATTTTAACCTTGTTTTCCTCCTTGGTATTGCACCTTAAGAACCCTGCAACAATTCGCCAGCTTTCGAGGCCTCCTCTCAAATTTTTTACTCAAAGTAGTATTGGATATCAGACGTAACTTATTTTCTCTTACTTGTAAATGCATAGACATAGTTGTTCCTCTCCTTTCCGACTCCTTCCCAGCACCCTATTTTATTGAGGCCGTCTTTGTCGTACGTCTTGTAGCTTGACGCTCCAGACCAGCATTCTCCGTAAAACTGAACTCCAAACACGATGTAGTTCTTGGCCCAAGCGTCCTTAGCGCATTTCATCACTGTTTCTCTCATATGGTACCAGTCGATGTTGTTTCGATGATTTCCGATCATCTCTGGAAGAGGCCTTATTCCGTTGTGCTTGTCTTTGAAGCAACCGATGGGAGCATAACTGAAACTCGTCCCTGAAAAGCAAATGATACACCTGTGATTTTCAGCGTACATTCGGCCTGGAACAAAGCCGTCTTATCACCTGTGAAAGCCAAACTGCACATAATACGATATAGCACAAACATAATGTTAATGAAATTACCTCCACAACTGAGGCACGGATACTCGACTCTCCATTTAAAACAAGGGATTGAGTTACATGTCATGCTTGTGGGTGGTTTCTCGCTTGTTCTAACATTGCATTGGTCATGTGGTACGTTACTCCATGTTCCGTTGGCAAACGTTTTTCGACACTCCACTTGACGAGTTTTATTACCACCACCACAGGGTACTGAACACTACAGAGGTTAGAAATAATCGTATAGGTTTATAAAAGGCTAAAAGCGAAGCTCTCTTTAGTAAATTCATAATTTACTTTAAACAATAGGTCATCTGATTCTGGTCCGCGGATACACTGACTTGACAGCTTTCAATTGACCACAGTTAACATGGTGAGCAATGGTTGCAGGCTTCCACAGTAGCTAAAAAGTGTGAGATTTCACATTGGTTGTCCTGTGGTGCAGGCGGACGGACGAACGGACTTACGTCACGTGACTCTCAAAATTTCTCTGATGGATAGATAACCAAATTGTCTTAGTAATGAGGCTCCGCTTTAGGTGTACTTAACCTTTACCTGCGGTTGTTCAACTTATACTGATACTGATTTTGGATACTTTTAAAATCATCGAATTATCTAAAAATCTAAGCTGCAGTCTTGACCAACTGAAATGCACATATTAGTAGAGAACGGCTAGTCTTAGAAAACAGCAGGAGCCCATAACCTGGAGCAAGCAACTTCAATGTACTCGTGTCACGGCGTTTTCATGGACAGTTTATTTTTAGAAGGGTTTTGATGCGAATTTAGAATATCTTTAAAGTCCCACAAACCAGTCAGCAAAACCTACAGACCTAAAAATGATAATTGTTGCCTTTTAATGACGTTACTTTTTCCTTTTTGATATCTTAGACTTCGAATGCGTTCATAGACGTGGCGGAGATTCCATTTTCGCGGGAAAAATTGCCCTAAAATGTGTCTAAAAATAAACCGGTCCGTAAAAACGCCGTGACATAGGCCTAGTATATGGGAGTTGCTCGCTCCGGGTTATGGGCTCCTGAAGACAGTCAACATTTCGCGATCCCACCGCTGATTTTCCAGCGAAATGACGTCTGAAGAACGAACGCTGAAGTTTCATGCTGATGACGCGTCACTACCCTGATCTTCTGATTGGGTGAAGCAAATTTTCAACCAATTCACAGAGAAAACAGTGGTGGCGTCGCGAGATGTCGTCTGTTTACACAAGACAAACGTGCTTATTGGGAGGGTGAGTTAATGAGCCATTTCCGTGTCCCCTGGAGCCTCTATATCAAAACGAGGTTATTATAAGTGCTGAGCTTTTGATATGAAATGATTTTTCATTCCCATACAAATAAAACTCTTTTTCACAATAAAAGTTGTGCACTTGGCCTCATTTTGAAAATGAGGGTTTTTGGAACTCGGAAGCAGCCCAATTCTTTCTGCCTCAAGCTAAATACCTATAATGATCTTCTTCTGGAGAAAAATCTTGATTGTAGCTAAAGTAATCAAACTACAATTAACACAACACTTTTACGACTAGAAATGTTTTGAGGCCAAAAAGCAATTGCGAAAGTTGTGCCTAGCCTCTCTCTCTTTCTTGTGGCCCGTTACAAACCTGAGTCCACTCTCCGACTGTCCATTCTGGCAAGCAATCTTTGTTTCCACACCCCTGTGTCCCGGCAGGCCTTGGTAGGTGTGCGCATTCTGACTCAGGCAGAACCCGTGTGACGTCCTTAGAGACAACTTGTGCGCATGTCAAGTTTCTATGCTGCTGGCCACCTCCACACTGCTTTGAACATGGGCTCCAGACACCAAGCTGAAATCTGAGGATACGCATGAATCTAAATATTGGATTTTATCAAATTTAACTATTTTACTGAGAGAAAGGTGTAGAAAAACGAATCTCTTAATTGTACATTCAATTGAAATATGAAAAAATGTGGTGAAAATCCGATAGATTGTCAATACCATTCATTAGTATATTTTATGGCAGTTACTTCTGAGTAAGCGCCATTATATTATAGCGTAAACTGGCATGCAAAGCAAGAGCTTACTCTTTGGGGCATGGAGCCATATTACACGGTAAAGATTCCTTTGGCTTCGCGCTTTTGTCGCAGTAAATTGGAGTTACTTGGGTATCGTCATCTTGACGATGACAGGAGACCTTGATTAGTTGATTTCCTGACAAATTGAAAAATACAATAACAATTTAAAAATACTATCAAAGAATACTAAAACAGTAAATGTTGCTATATGACGTGGAAGTAAACTGAGCGCCATCTTAATTTTCTGTCAAGTACAAAATAGGTTAACGGCATTCAAAATTAACCAACAGGTACGAAGGTTGTTGGAGATCGGTAAATGAAAACTTTACTTGCATTAAACCGAAAAAAGTAACCTAAATTCCACCACATTAATGTCAAAAAAAACTAAGGGGTCTTACGTGAATGTTAAAGCACGGAAGATGGAAAAACAAAGTGAACAGTTGTGATCGGTCTTATTCGAAGCGTTCCATGGTCTTTGGGGAAGAACTGGTTAATTATTAGTCTCGCAGTTCATTATCGGGCCGGGGGTTCGATTAACTTTATTTGATTCATTAAACTAGCGATCTTATGTTCTTTCTCCTTCTCTTACAAAATTTAACGCTCAGAAAAACAGTATAAAGTAAATTGGCGAAATTTCTTCCAAATGCTGATTCATTTCTCACCTCCTGCACACGTTGCACTACAGCTGCCTTCATTCCTTTGCTTCCAAACAAAGGTTGTTCTTGGTCCATTTCCCGGAATATAGTAACTATATTCAATCCCTGGGTTGCGGTGTTGTCCAGAATAGACAAACTAAAAGAAACAAAAACCTCTTACCGAGAGGGCAGCAGAGTTCTGCGGTAGGCCCACAACCTAAACTATCAAAACAGTCCACCACTGGCAACGTTCCCTATATTCTATTAACAAGTTTCTCATTTCATTTATTTTTGTCACTATAGTGGACAGCTACGCTAGTCTGTGAAATAGTCAACGTAAATATACTCCTGAAAAAGAATGAGAGACCGAATCGAGAAAGAGACCCAAATTATCCACACTATACTACTTTGACTGCCTACATAGACTTGGTTGATAGACAAATGTGGGCTTGTATCCATCGCTATTCAATTCACCATGAGCTGACATAGCAATTCCTTTAACTAGAATTAAACATGCTGTTAATGATTTCAACGAAGCCATACTTAAACCGCCGTTTAGAAGTGGGTAATTGAACAATGCCTTTTTCAGTGTGCACAGTAAACAATGTCATTGCGTTTTGATGAAGCGGTAGGTGAAATTTAGCATCGCTTCGCGCAATTTCGATTCGTTTAATATCTTTTTTTTGTTGAGAGTTGTGCTCCGATGACTACTGGTGATCTGCCATTTTATCTTTAATGAAATTCACTGTCTAGTGCAGATGAACACAGGTTATATACGAGGTGAAAAGGATTGTATATGCAGGGGGAGAAACGTTGTTGTGCAAGGACACTTGTTTTAACACCTTCACCTCCACCAGTATATTCTCCCCTGAAGTTCCTAAACTTCATAGCGTTTATTATTAAAGTTCGAGGTTTTTTCCTTCGTCCTTTCTTTCTTTTTGCAAGCTTTCTATGGTGGAGATGTAGTTCATTATTTTAAATCACCTTTGCTTGAAGGGCCTCATTCGTTGGTCCTCTAGCAGATATTATTTCAGCATCAATGATTGTCTTCATGTAGTGATAAATAGATGTTCCAGCAGCTTTGAATGTTTCTGTCCAGCTCGGTACTGGGACATAATATTTACCAGTTGAGTTTGACACAAGACCTATAATGCGTGAGATAAAAGACCATATTCGTATGCTTCGTAATAGTCGGAGCATGTAGTCGAGATTTATCCTTTTGCTCCAGGAATCAAAATCTTATTTACAACCACGTGACATAGCCACCATGTTGGTGGCCAATACAATAGAAATTATTCGAAAGAATTTACATCAAAAGGGATTCAACTGAGATCTCTTCAGCAGTCCTTCTACGTGGTACTAATTATCAAGCATTCAGTTCTAAATTTTGAATCTGTGGATGAAATCTTATGGTTTGATCAGTTAAATGAAGCCTCATAAGGAAGTTGTAGTATTCGTTGTTATATAGAGTCAAACCTTATTTTTTATTCCCTTTCAATTTTTACTTCGCCTTCCTGCGCATGTGATGAGCGTCGAGGCATATTGTGAGCAAGCTAATCAAAAACCTTTAGCTAACAGGACAAGTCCCTAATTAATTATTTATTTATCTATATATTTATTGTTCATACTTAGAAAGTTGTATGACTTGCTGATCTCTTTAATGAAGATTCTTGTGGCACCCTTGGGTATGACGAACATGGTGTCTCCCTTATAGCGACCTTAACAATGAGAAATCGAGTAAATGTGATTATTAAAAACTGAATCATTGGATAATGCAATTCTAGAGCTCTGATTGGCTTAGTGATCATGGTATATGAGCTATTACACCATTGTCTCCAAATATGGCAACTGTACGCGTCTGCTCAAAATTGAAAAACAAGCTGAAAATTGCTTGTTTTTATAAATAATGTCGGGAAGAATTTTCGATATTTTGTGGGCGCTTTTAATAAAACAATTATTTCACTCGCGCTTGTTGGATATGAGATGATTTTAGCCAACTTATATCCAACGCGAATTGGTGGAATAATTGTTAATTATTATCATTATCATTATCTTTGATGTTGTTGTTGTTGTTTTCTTGTTGTTGTTGTTGTTGTTGTTGTTTCCAGACAACAATGAGCTTCTTAAGCTTATCACTTCTCAGCGAGTTTAATATTTACAAAACCAATTCGTCAGTTTAAATCCGACTCTGGATTGTTGTTGCCGTTGTTGCCGTGCCTGTTACCTGTTTTAACTTTTGATGCCATTTTGATCTTACCATATACTCGATAGTTCTTGTTGTAGAGTCCTTTTATCAGAACACAGGAACTTCCATCTCCTCCACAAATTAAGCATCGATCTAACAGCTTCCCGGATAGCAGTTTTTTATCGCATCCAACCATCTGAATGTCAAATTTTGATTGAAAAGATGATTTAACTTATTTACGAGCTTGGTATTACTTATTTATAAGAAAAAAAGAAAATCAATTCATGATTATTTAATAAGATGCAGAGTGTTTTAAGATGTAGAACACGGTTGAGTTTTTACCCCCTGATTCTCTTGGAAAAACAGGGATGGATGCCAGCAGAACTTTTTGACCGTCCAGTGTACTCGAAGTTCGTGTTTGTATAGGTCCAAACACTCACCTCGTGTTTTAAAGTGGTTACAACATTCGTTAACTAAACTTTTATATAAACCGCGGCGATACATTCACTTCAGTGCCGTAGCCAGACCAAACGGCCAACCGAGGCAGGCGGGAGTTGCTAGGGGGGTTCGGGGGCATGCCCCCCCCCCCCGAGAAATTTTGAACTTTAGTCTCTCGGAAATGCGATTTGCAGCGTTTTCATTTGAGTTAACGTACGTAGCCCCTTGAGATCGATGATATGGTAATTTTTTCATAGTATATTGACTGAATTGCTGAATTCTTTGTAATATCATGATGCGTTAAAAATATCCGATGATCGCTTATGTAAAATTAATAAAAATGATCGGCGAAATTCGTCAAAATTTTACCTAGGCGAGTGCCTCGGTTGGCCTCATACTAGCTACGGCGCTGCACTTGACCACTCCTTTCTAGCTTAATTGCAAATTTAAAGAAAGTGCCCAGAATGACTTGATCAAACCATGTTGTACTTACCTGACATTTCCCATCAATACAGACGTCATAGTCGTGAGGGTCTTGTGTACATCTTGTACCATCCTTTACATTGCCAAAGAAACTCCCCTTGTTTCCAGAGACACAGGCTAATGTGCATTTGCGAGCTCCTAATAAAATTGATTTCAAAAGGGATTTTTAGGAAAACATAACCGTAAATAAAGAAATGGAAAAATAAAATAAATATTAAATAAAGATGAATATCGGAATAATGCGCATCTTGAATCTAACGTTATTTCGCATTGCGCTATTTGGATGGTAAAGAATGCTTTTGCCAGTTTAGATGTAATTAATCAGAAGCGAAACCCTAACAATATCACGCAGATTCTGCATTTCTTGGCATCTTCATTCACGTATGGGTATGTGGGGAGGGGGCTGGGGGGTGGGTGTTGGGCAAGGTGGCGCATTGGTGAGAGAACTCGCCCGTGCTACCATCTTGGTCTGTGTTCAAATCCCGGAAAAAAAATAAAGAGCAGACAAAATCAATTAATCAAGGATGTGGAAGTTGTTTGATCATTTGATTGATTGATTTGTTTCTCTGAAAATCCTCTAAGCACTGGCCGGCTTAAGCTCCCTAAACAAAACTTCATACGATGTAACGTCAAATTCATGCATAACGCCTTGATAATGTGTACATCAGTGATATTAAATACTATATTTTCAATACCTGAAAGGTAGTGGGCGTGGTATTTCTTAGTGTCACTGTTATGTTGCTCACACTGCTCCTGTCGAAAACGGTCAACAGCACATTCCTGGAAATATAGAAATGATTACAAAAATTGAATGTTCCAGATATTTTTCATGATGTCCGGATAACAGTTTCTGTGACCTTTAGCCTTGTAACATCGTCAAGTATAACTTTCGGTGCTGGTACAAAATTGCGCAGTAGACTGGGACAGATTCATGACATCATTTAATCACTGTTTAATGATATGAAAAACCGCGAAACAAGTGGTATGAAATGACTTTACAAACCTTTCATGACCCTACACTTGATGGTTCATGGTTATGAAGTGGTCTACCGGCAATCAATTCAATTAAGCTTTACAAGTGTAAATTACAAGAATGGCTGTTGTTTTCAGAATCGTGTGGACAATAGCTACACTTCACCAGATTTATAGATAAACCTTGTTAATGTTTCCAACGAACAACATTTAACTTTTTCAAACCTCCGTTTTACAAATTTCAAAATGTCCTTTGCTTGATCCTATGCAATCTTTGCCAAAGTAATGAGGCCTAAAAGAAATCACTCATGTTAAAATTAAGTTTGTTGACACTTAAAACAATTTCTAGACTTAAATACGATACACAAAATACCCAAACACACAGGGCTTGCCTTGGATTGTCACATTGTCGACTTCTGTATTTTACCCCTCCACCACACGTCCTTGTGCATGCGCCGTATGAACCCCAGGGTCCCCAGTTACCATCAACTGGCGGAGGTAGACTAGTTCCAACCTGTGTGCATGTTCCTGCCATGCACCACTTAAAAAAAAGAAAATAATAACAAAAAATGTTTTAGGGAACTCGTTTCCAGTTCATGTCATTCTCAGCCAGTCCTCCTAAACCGGTGGGGTCTGTCCTCGCGCGTAACGCCCCCAGAGGCAAAGAGGAACAGGAGGCGAGAGTGAATTCCTATAAGAGAGCCTGTCTCAAATTTATTTTATTAAGGTTTGGCTTGTTTTAGAACTAGGTCCGCTTTGAAACTAAGAAAACCAAGAAACCGAGCCTACTGTGGAGTGTCTTTTAAGTTTCTGTCATATTTGAGAATACATCACACTTACCTTTCTATACCCGCATGCAGTTCCCTCTGCAACTGGAGCTCCTCTGCTGTAACAGCTGCTTCCAGCTGAGCAATACAAAGCACCGCAGCTTTCCTAGAGTGACAGATAAGACTCCTGTAGAAGAGAGATTATGCTTGCAGACGTTTCTAACATGGTAAACAAAAATACGCACTCCTACACGTTGGGTTTTTTTTATTTATTGGAATAACTCCATTAGACTTTTTGGCATTTTGCTATAGCAAAATTAACACCATGTGTCAACACTGGTGCACCCACACGACATGGACAGGAAAACAGCGTGGGCTGTGAAAGCTCGCGACCATTTTGGTAGGACATTAACGAATACACCAGAAGATGAGATTTGGGTCGCTCACCAAATTTTTCCGGAGCTTTTTTTGGACTTCAACATTCATTTATGAACCTTAAATTTTGCGTTTAAACTGGCGCTTACGAGTTAGGTGACCCATCTTTTTTGTCAGTGGATTACACAAAGCATGTAAGGGTTATCGGAGGTTAAGAGCTGACAAACGCTTTAACTATACCCTTGTGTAGACTTCACTTCCCATGCTACGTCGTTTCGTCTTCATTCGATAGCGCGTTGTCATACTTACTGTAAGTGATGGACAAGCTTTATATTCTTCCCCGTAGGCCAGCTGACACTGCTTGTCGATGTTATCGACGTATCCTGGTGGAAGAGAGGGGCTGGGAAGGCTCCTCGGAGGCTTGTTGTGAAAACACGCGAGTGACCTGGCAAGAAACGACCAAAATTTTATATGCTAGTTTTGTGGTAAATCTGCAATCTATTGTCAACCAGATATTGAACAGTTTCTAATGGCAGTGATAGAAAGTTGTTTGGAACCTACGTAAAGATCTTCTGAAGTTTTGCTCTGCTGCAACGAGACCATTGGAAGGCGTTGGGCCCAGAAGCCTGGACGCTGTTCATGATGTCCCCTTTCGCACATTCACCTTTATCATGTGGCAGACCGATGCTAAGAAAACAAACACAAAAACCGTGCATGAGGTTATCATAGCCTTATATATGACGAATTAATCTTGCAGAGGAGGGACGATTAGCTTCCCACAATGCCACGCGATCCTATTTCGGTGATGCTGTGAAAGATCGCGCTAGCAAATCACGTCTTAGATGTTTTATTAAAAATGAGACCTGATAATCTTTCTAATCGGCCCCATTTTTGTTCATCTATTTTTGAGTCCGCACGAGTTTAGTTCCGAAAACAGACGAATCCGACAGAAACCTGGTAAACGCACACTAACTCAACCATAAGTTCACAGCTATCGGCACACTATTTACTCGTTCACGAAAACTCCGTTGAAAACGTATTCAGGTGGTAAGCCATAAACGAAAGTGTCCTCAATTAAGGGTTTATAAGTTTAGTGAAAAGGTTGCGGATTCCACCATCACTACTAAAAGACCAAAAAATGAAAGTAAATTTTCAAATGAGCGGCTTACTTGTGTCCCATTTCATGTGCCACTGTGAACGCTGCAGTTAAACCACGTGCCTCATTCACGCTAACTCCATACTTAGAACTGCACGGTGTGTTAAAGTAGGCGAGACCTAACGGGGAAAATAGAGGTGGAATACAGTAAAAACACGCTCTTTAGAACCTAGTTGTTTAAAAATCGCTGGCACAAATTTGCCACTTTAGTTCCCCAAAATATAAGAACCTGTTTAGTCTCCCACGCACCCGTTTTTGTCACGTCACGCAACGCTCCTCCCCAACAAGGGAGGAGCATTGCGTGACGTGACGGCACAAAGAGCGGCTGTGCAGCAGACCAGAATCTAGTGTATAGCCACGCAAGATCCCGCTTATATCCGAGTTACAGTTAAATTATGATAAATATTTTAACCAAAGAGACTGACTCAGAGATGTGCAAATCTATATGCTAATAATTACCAGAAAATGATGTAACAAGCTGTAATTTTACACATAAAAAAGTGTTACTTTAATTCATACAAAACGTAACAGATTTACAAAAAGTACAGACTGTAATTTCCTTCATAGAAATTAACAACCTAACTTCGTTTCGGTCCATAAATACGCAAAAACCAACATGGCCAATTTCCCGCCATTTTGACCGCAGGCTGGGTCAATAGCGCATGCTCACTGATTATCTAGTCGTTCTAGGCTCTTACCATCAATGTAGCAGTCACGTAGGCCACAGATTCTCCTACAAAATTCAATAACATCAAAAGCATCAAACATTTTAAGGGCTTAATAATATTAAGTAGTCATGCAAACAATTTTGAACTGACAAGTGACGGTCAAATAAGGAACGATATCTTACCTTGTTAGCAAAGCGGCTTGATCAAAATGTCCCTCTGTTCCGTCTGGTGTATTCTTCTTTTGGCTCCATCGTCTAAATGTTCCAATATACTTTCCTGCTGACGTAACCTGGTTCGCTGTAAGATCCATGTCCGGCTGAGGACGAAACAACCATGCATGAATTTACACGAAAAGGGGCCATGTCACCGATGTCTAATTCATTTTGTTAATAATGCCAAAAACGCGGAAACCTGGATTAAAAGTTAACCCCAGGTTTAGGATCATCAGCCTTTGAAGACAACTGATCCCAGCAAACTCGACTGTACGATTTTCTTTTTCTTTGCCTGTTGTTCTATCCAACGAGTCTGAAAAGTTGACATTCCTTCATTTGACTTTAATAATGACATTTTTTCTTCTTTTTGCATGGAAAGTATTTCGTGTCACTTAACTTACATCAAATCCTTCCAAGAGGAAAACTTTGACCAGTACCCACGATACATTCATTCCCAGTGATTTATCCTTGTAGAGCCTGCTCACCTAAAGATAATTACGAGAAAGTAAGAATGTCAGATGAGCAGTTTTTTTCAAAACGAAGTCCGAAGTTAATACCGCTCAGTGAAACACCTAATCTGAGTTTTTGAAGGGAGCGTGTTTTAAGTTAATAAATGGGCTCCCTCGTCTAGGCTTCAAACTCTCTTGCTGGAAAAGCCAGCATTATCATTGCTAGCAGGCTGTCTAAATTCTTGGAGGACAAACTCGCTTAAACCCTCGGTTTCCATAACTTCGATCCTTATTAGTGTCAGTGACGAAGATATCGTTGAACACCAAATGCCTGCTAGTAGTTTAGACGGTGTTAAACAAAACCGCGTTCTAAGCCGTTCCAACTTAATTGATCAAATGCCACAACTTAGGGACTAGATCAATCAGCCGAAACTTTGGTTATTTTAGTGCAACGGTTTTGACATGAACGGAAATCGTTTTGACGGTGACCCAAAATTGAAAGCACGTATGTATGGTAAAGAACGCTATAACTGAAGGAAATGAGTTTCTTTGTTTCTAACCAGATTTGCCGTGTTAAGGAGGTAATCGAGGGTGCCGTTGCCATAGTAATTACAGGTTGTTATGTCCGCTGTCAACATAGCTTCAATGTAAACAGTTCCGTTGTAGCTGCTGTCTTGACTATAGTCATCGTCTAGTTTTATTTTATCGACGCTCCTTTTGTAACTATGTTCAAATCCTGGGACTGGAGATAGTAAACAAAGAAACAAAACAATACAAAGATTTAAAAAGCATGTAGTAATGAAATACTACAGATAACTACAGGAAACACACTTAATTACATCGATCATTTCGTTTTTCCAAGCAGCCTAACATTATACCTTTAACCGGAACGGACTTGATTCGTTCTTTCATAAGGCTATTCATACTTCTTCTAGTTATTACATGGTGCCCAGTCTCTTGCAGAGCAGTGCGTTGGTGAAGATGATCTGGCAGTGGTTCAATTTGGTAAAAACGCCCGTCACTCATAAAAGCGCCACTCTGAAAGAGAAAAAGTATTAGGTGGATAGTGCTGTAAAAATAGCTGAAAATAATAAAAACGTTTTAATTTGCAACGATTAAGGTGGATATAACACTGAAGTAAGGAAAACAAGAGCCCGCATCGAAAGCTGGCCCCTCCACCAGTCTGGTCATTAACCTCGCAAAGACCATCAGCAGTGGGAAAACACCTCAGATACGCTTTGTATTCTTTTTGGTTTTTACAAGAAAATGGAAAGTTGTAAACTTCCATATACCGTAAAATTCCGAAAATAAGTCCCTCCATGTATAAGCCCCTCCAAATATAAGCCCGCCAAACCGGTAACGCAAAAAACCTTCCGTTAAATCGGCCCTCCAAATATAAGCCCCCGGGGGCTTGTACTTAGAAAATTGCCCTCAAATACAAAGTAAAACAAAGCAAAAACAGTAAATTTACTTTTAACTATAAGGCCCTCAAAAAGGGCCTTTGAAAAATATAACCCCAGGGGCTTATTTTCGGAATTTTACGGTATTTTTGGTGAAATTCTTAGAAAATCACACGCAAGTCCGAGAAAGGAACAAAACCAAAACCATCAAGTCCATAGTGGTATAGACAAAAGCTCTCGACAGATGATTGACGCGGCGATAAATCACTGAATGATTTCAAAAATGCTTTAATGATATGATAGTTTCAGAGTAAGCGTTGAATTTGTTGCAATTGTTGTCATAGTAACACTACTTATTTCCTTACCAAGTGTCCTTTTTCTTCGTCGATTTCCCGCACGGCTACATGGGCATTTGGATCAGAAGCTATATGACCGACATAAAATCTTCCTTTGGGAAAATGAATTTCCTTTTCGAGCGTTCCTCCAACTGTCCTCCTCTCAACAGACAGTCCTTGGTCAGTATCAACGACATCGTTATTTGGTTCTACCAGTAGTTCTATATCTTTCCCAAAAGCTGACAAGCTAAATCTCTTCTGGCTGGGCTGGTCGCTCCTTTTGTTCCTTTGACGACTGACTTTAATCACGTTGTATTCTGGAACTAAAAAATCGCAAAAATAGAATGATGTTTTATGTATTTGTAGTTGATGAAATCCATAAACTTAAACAATGTGGTTTAGCTTGTAGGAGGACTTTGATTGAGTCATTGCCTTGTTCGTCATTTTGCCTCACCTCGTTTCTAACTCTCACTCCCTCCATCTCTCGACGCAAAAGTGTGTATCGCATATTATAAACATAAAACATGATTTAAAGTTTATAACATTTTTGTTTTTGAAGCAAAATTTTGTCACGGAATCAGCAGTGATGTGGCCGCGACAACACAGAGATCTCACGAAAACGACAAAAGTAACCGTTGTATCACGTGACCATTAACCTTCCTTTGCGTACTTTCATGTCAGAAGAATTCTTCTCGCTCAGTTTCATCTGCGCACCCTTCCTAGTCTGAGAAATAGCCAATTTCATTCTAGCGTGTGCCGTTAACCGAGACAGTGAAAGATGCTAAATCGTTCTTATGTTTCAGACCCCGCTTTCTTTTGTTTTCAGGCTCTCACCTTCCTCCTGGGAATCCGCCTGTAAATATGTCCTCATTTCACTGTTTGAAAGCGTCGCATGCAATTCTTGCTTCAAAGAAATTGTCGGCTAAAATAATTCAAGAGGGGAAGAAATGGAATAGATAAGTGGAATAACGTGTCCCTTTTTCCCCTTTAACATCTGTTTAGTACTGTACTCGAGTTTTGTCTCATCTATATTGATTGAGAACAGAATTTTCACATTGAACGTATACTCCTGCTTGATTGGCTACCCAATAGCCATAACACTACACTAAAATCCGAAATATTTAGAGATATATTTAGGTTTCAAATAGACTATTAGACATTACGTTTGTTAAATCGCATTATTGGGATGTGCCAGTGGGGACAGAACACTTCGAAGGCTAGAGACGCTCTTCATAGCCTTGGGTAATTTTCACTAATTACAATGTACTGCTAAATGAGAATTAATGAGTATCTTACCTGGTAAAAAGAAAATACAAAATAAATCGCTACAAAAATAAGCCGCCTCATCCTTCTGTGTTTGGCTTGACCTGATTAGTGTCTTTCTGCCAGTTGAGGAAGAGAACTCAGAAATAGCTAACCCGAGCTCATTATTTAAAGCCCGCCATTATTAAATTCCTTAAATCGTGTATATCAGAACAAACCGGGGAACAAACCCAGGAAATCCTTCGGAAAATAAATTTCCTTTGAAATTTGATCTGTATATTCCGCGTGGTCCATTTTATCATTTAAAAAGAGAAAAAAGGCGACAGTAAAAATATACAAAAGGGAAGTGAATAATGGCTCGTTAACACCTAGCCTCCTATTTCACTTAACTGTATTTAATTAACGAATGAAACTCAATACTGCAATCAAAGCCAGTAACTTTCTCTTTTGTTTTTTAAAGTTTCTTAAGAAACCTGTCTTCGTATTTTACAAAAACATTTTAATAGGCTAGTGAAACTGACCCTATTACATTTCCTTTTTTACAGGTAAAATTGAGAAAAACAATTTTAAAAATGAGGATATTTAGGCCAGGCCATAAATTATTTCAATTTTTTAAATTTCATTTATTTATTTTTTCTAAAGAAGAACGTTACTTGAAACATAAATTCAAAACAGGTATAAATACTCTATTTTCGTACATTTTAATACACTCAAAAATAAACCGCAACGGTGGCACTTTTTACTAATTACTGTGAGAAAGAATATTTTGTGTCATATGTACAGATCTTCTAATACAAGTCCTAGATGTTTTCTGAGCCAAAATTTCTGTCTGTTTGCTAATACTTCTCACATGAAGGAAACGAGAACAAAATACCCGAGAAAAGTGATAAACGAATGAGAGAAATAGATTGAAGATGAAAATGTTAACTCCCCAGGCAACGTGCTTCGTCCAATTATTAAAAATCATTTTTCTGCGTTCCCAGTCTCTGCAAGTTATTTTCATATATCCTAAACGACAATAAGAAAAAGATATAATTGATTCATTCCTTTCCATAAAACAGTTGTTGAGAAAGGTTTCCTATCAAAGGTTTCTCAAAACTGTTTCGATAAACGTACATTTCTGGTGTCTACTTTAAATGTTTATGCAAAACCTCATCTTGATATAATAATCGGATACGGCCGTAAATAACAGAGGGAGAAAAAGAAAACATCCTTGAGTAAACATTACAGCAAGATGAGAAAAACGTGAGTCACTCTTAACAGTTTTTTAAAAAAGGAAGTAAAACAAAGATCAGATCAAGGTAACTGTACGCCAAGTGAGTCCACTTCGACGGAGTCACAGGGAAGTTGCTGTGTCAGTAAATTTCATCAGCCAAGTAAAATAGTTTAATTAGAAAAACATAAAATGCAAGACAGAAAATGTTTTTACGTTTAAAAGACTCATTTCACATCACTCTTTTAACCGGTTCAAAAGTGATTGAAAACATGTATATTCTGTTTATTTCTTAACTATTTTATTTGTACGTATGTCGTTTCCGTGGACGTTCAAACCTACAAAGCGGGTAACAAACAGTGACAAACACAAACACAACACTGTTTCTTAGCTGCGAGCCTGAATAGCTAAGTTTTAAATAGAAGGTAAACTTTCCCAAAGTTTAAAAGAGGGTAGTCATTGTTTGTCTTGTAACCAATTCAAAAGTTTTTTAATGAAAAATCGCTAAATAAAAATCATAAGTCGGTTCGCTCATATTTTACATCAGTGATCATCCACCCATGACCATGCCATGTTGTTTTAAATATTGTGTATCAGCCGAAGTATTAAGAAAATATGAAAGAAAAGAGAAACTGCGATTGCAGACCAATATCGCGTGACCTATTTTAGTGTCAGAGGTACAACTATACTCAACAATTAACGGATGAATGCTGAATACAATTTTGCTAAACATCTAATTCTTTCACTATGTTTTGTATACGTAAGCTGAGCAAGACAACTGATCTGAGATTTACAGAAGTTTGTAGAGTTTATCTGATAAAAGTCATTTTTGGGATCGGTTGGCACAGAAGTCTGGGCTTTATAGCAGACAATCAAGCTCCATGCTTTTCGATATGATAGATCAAACTTTCGTTGAAACGGCTCTATACCCTGTGAAGTTATTCAAAATAAACACCGAACACCGTTGCTACCGCAAACACGGTGCTGTTTTCCACGGATGCTGTGACCTGCGTGTCGTGTTCGGCGTTCCACAAGCATCTACTCGCCACCCTGAGTCCTTGGTCATTCTTCGAGCCAACATTAACAAAGCACACAAGCTTATATCGTTCAATATTTAGACTCTTTACTTGCTCGAGGATCCTTGAACTCAGAAGCTTGGTTAAAAAGCCACACGTTTCCGCTGTGTAGGTTTGTGTAGCGAACATACCTTCCAAGCTATTTCTGATAATTTCTCTCACCTCTCGCTCTGGAAACCTTCTCTTGGGCTCGGTACGATACGTGTTCTCGACGGTTTGTCCTTCATTGTAGCCCAGCTTTTTTTCTTGGATGGAATCAGAAAGCTTTCGCCATAGACGATAAGGGGAGACATAGGGCTGTGTGCCTGCTTTAGAGGCTTTCCGTGCGGCTTGTGCCCCTAGCGACACTCGGCGCGCTGAAGTAGAGCTGCTTACTGATGTACGCCTCGTAGAGGCAACAGCCTCGTCGTCGTGATCGGTAGATGACTGGACAGACTGGAAACTCAGAACTCGAGGTCGTGGCTCGAAATCCATGCTTCTACTTTCACGAGAAAACTCGCAACGTAATTAACTTAGAGCCTATTGTAAAGTATGTAACAAAAGCTTTGCCAAACCCCTCGCCGCGCCCCCGACTTGTATGATCTCTTTGCTTCGGCTCAGTGGATAAGTGCTGAACAATAATTACCTTTGATAGTTCGGATACATAACTAAAGCGCTTTTGTATTTATAACGTCACTTTTATTTTTTGCAATTTAACTCTGCTGTTCTTTTAGTAAAAAAACAGCAAAATGTTTTCCCTTCATTAAAAATTGCGTGATATCACAAAATAGATTAACAGTATCGTGATCGCAAAATATCGTGACTTAAAAGCTCTTAAAGGAATTTATGCAAAAAACTGAACTACTTACACAAAAGAGTTCGTCATGCATGATCTCAAACAACTGATATAGCAAATGGCTTAAAGTTTCATCATACTTCAGTTGAATTTATGCAAGATATTTCGCAATCGGCTGGTTTTGATTGTTTCTTCTATATATGTGACGTGACTGTCCCCAGTATATTTTAGCTGCTTTTGAATTCTTTCTTGAGCGAATCTTTATCGAATACCTGATGGAAGTGATAAAATGAAGTAATAAAACGATCTGAAAGAACTGAAAGAAGTCCCTAAGCATAATAATACTAAAATCGCAGTGAGATTTCTTAACTCCGTACGAAAACGACTAAATCACACTTCTTGTACCCAGGATTTCCTTTCACTCTCGGCCAGTTGAAGGATGTTATGAAAAATACCCGAACTAGAATAGTGATATAGCATTCATGGTTAATCCAATTGCAAAGTTGTTAGAGGACAATTTGAGGTTTTTCAAAAGTACTTATGGAGTAGTAATTTTGGTGATTTACCTGAATTTTAGAGAGCTAAAAGTAGCATGAAAGATCGACTATGCGTGACTGATGAGACTAATGATGTCACATCTCGAACCCATGGTAACCGATGGTCCCCTGTTTTTTGGTTCAAATAAAGTGTCTGAGAAATAACAGAACAACTTGGAGAAAACCCTTCGACGTGTAGTGTTCGCCCCTCCGATCCACTTTTTCAGTTATGGATTAACATTGGACAAAGAAAATCAACGGACCTTTCCAGTATTGAACAAATTTATTGCTTCATTTAAGACATGCAAGTTTGGTTGGCAGTGGTTTGGTACAATTTTATCGTTTTCAACAGGATACGTTTCCAGAAGACAGATTTTTCACAACACCCGTGAACCCCACATAACAGTTGAAGCAAGCCGAACATCTGTAAAACAAAGAAGAGGAAAAACGAAGATTAAGTAAATCAGTTAAGACATCTTACTAGTAAACTAATTCGAAGAACGCTTTCTTGGATCCGTAGGGATGCCTTGTCCCACTCTTGCGAACCCCAGGGGGAATTTTTTTTTCGGAAGGCCCAGTTTAACCCCTTGACCGTACTTGAAAATAACCAGATTGTTTGCCTCCTGCCAGTTACCGGGTTTTTTTCGCGTTGTGATTTTGATTACGATAACTGATTTCTCTCTGACTCAGAGCTGAGTGGTGTCATCCTGTAAACAATTAGCTAGCGGAGCTAAAAACAGTTCCAAAAATGAAAGTGAAAAGGAAAAAATACAATATGCAATTATCTAAGTGTGACGTGATTGCCCCATGTAAGGGAATCCAAGAAGTCTAGGATTCCGGATTCCACGCGCGTGGATTCCTTATTCCAGGTACTGGATTCCAGTCTTTGCCAGTGGAACTTGGATTCTACATTCCAATCGTTAATTGGATTCCGGATTCCAAATTCCAGGCATCCGGATTCCACAGGCAAAATTTTCCCAGGTTCCGGATTCCACAAGCAAAAATCTCCCGGAATCCGGACTCCCTGACATGGGGCGAGACTTACATTTGTGTGCTCCTTCCGCTCTGCGCTCCTGTCCATCCGGGACTTACGGTGACCTTTTGAAGTCTCCACTGCTGTATCCAAGAGGAGAATGTCTGACGAACCTTGATCTTTATAAGCTTGCCGATGTTCAAAGAGGTGGGCACCACAAATGTTTCAGTGCTCTTCTTTTTAAGTTTACGGCTGCAATCAAAAGAAATGGTATTCCATAATAAACTAATACGGTCATATCTCCCTTAAGCGACCATCCCAAATGCGAAGATTTAGTTGTCGTTTACGTTAGGTGGTGCTTACGAGAATCGAGTAAAAGGGGCTCGCCTCCGATAAGAGGTTTAGATGCATTTGCCCTTATGTAGTTCCATGTTGTCCCTTATTTACGTCCCTTGTATCCTCTGAGAAGCATAGCGCCGCCTGGTAAGCTCAATTGGATAAGCGCCGGTCTGCCGAGCGGAAGGTCTCAGGGTCAAACCCTGGCCGGACCAATACTCAGCATCTTAAAATAATTGAGGACAATGTGCTGCCTTTGTTGTACCATTTACAAATGGTTAGACATTCTAGTCTTCTCGGATAAGGAAGAAAAACCGTAAGCCCGGTCTCACAGCTCTTTGCTGTCCTGATTCTTGTGGGACGTAAAAGAACCGACACTGCTGTTCGAAAAGAGTAGAGGGGCGTAGACCACGGTGGTGTGGTACAACCTTTCATGGACTGGGTGGCTAATTATAATGAATGGGTTGACATCAATTGGGACGCAAGTCCTGTTTCATTCCCTTTCACCGGGATGAGTCACTGTGGCGAATTTAAGAAATAAGTAAATAAATAGAGGTCTGCTAAAAGCATTAAGATCAAATATTTTTGGGACTTGCATTGTGTCTGCGGTGCAAATATCTGGTTTTGCTGGTACCTTGTAGACGCGTGTAGCTCCACGCAGCCCGTCGTAATGTTACGGCCTGATGTAAATCGAGGCCGGTAAAATTAAAACTGAGCTTAAATAATGATACCTTTTTAGTTGAATGGATTCTGTTTCTCCTCCATCGCCATACAATATGACAACTATATGGGCTTTCAGAAGAGATGACATCAACGACCAACTGGTATCGAACGTAATCGTAGTGTAATAACGAACTACAGAAACATAAAAACGGCTTAGAGCCATCTGCATTGTAGTCCGTAATTTGCATTGCTAGAAGGAACTCAGTCTTATATTTACAATACCAGCTACGTTTATAATGCATATTTTCATTGAACCAGCAACATCCATCATCATCATCACTTCATCATCATCATCACCATCATCAAACATAAACGAAGTAACTATTATCAGGGGCACCCAACGAGAATATAGTTCAAAATCTCTTAAACATAGCATCGTTAAACGTATTTCAGTATTTAAACGGGAGGTATAGGCAAATTTTTTAACCCCTAAAGATTTTTCGTCAGTTCGGATTTCCTAGCTGAAAGTCTCGTGATCCGAAAATTATAGGGATCAAAACTTACATTTTCGAAAATTTCAGCCTGAAAAAAGGCTTCCGAAAATTCTAGGTGACCTTTTTAGGGTAAAAATCCGCTAGAAATGGGCAATTATAACATTTTTTAGATGTTCGAAAATCCTAGGAGAGGCAGGCAAGCAAGAAATTTTACAACAAATGTTCGGAAAATTCTAGATCTCAAATCGTCTTCCGAACAGATATTTTACGAAAGTGGACGTTGGGTGCCCCTGTATAATACCGACGTCTGAGTTCTAATTTTCCTGATTTGCTAATCCAGCCTTTTTCTGAGAGCTGGAGGCTGGAAGAGGGGGGAAGAGAAAAGTGATTTTGCCCTTCCAGGATCATTTTATGGGTTTGCCGAGTGTCTCTTTGCATTGTAGTCTGTTAGAATTTCATTATAATCTAATACAAATAACCCTTTCACTGCCAAATGTGGCCAAAGGCAAATTTCGACCAAATTTCCAAATTTCATTTTCAAAAATTTTGAGAAACAAATTCCATCAGGCGAAAGTACAGGCAGAGAGCTTTCACTTGAATGGTCACATCATAGGATTTCGTCCACAGACTCAAAAGTTAGAGTCCCTTTACAAAACTCTATCAAAAAACTCTGGCAGTGAAAGGGCTAACAATATAAAACTAACTAGCTGGTATTTACCGCAAAATGGAGAGCTTTTTTCAGTGTATAAATAGTGACTTCCATGAATTTGATGATTTTTACTCTTCAAAGCTTCGTACCCCATGATAGGGCACTTTCCATTGCATTTAAGACAGCGACCGCGGTCAAACTCATCAGCGTTACTGCAAGGGAATCCTTCCATGGCATGCGTGCAATTTGGTGACAGCGAATCGATGAAATAGTCTGTGGCGCGAAAGTGATCGCACACGACCGGATTGAGGGGTCCCCATTCTGAAACAGACGATCAGTTCTAAAATCAGTAACTTGATAGTACCGTTAATTAAAAGCAAGTGGTCCATAGGCGCCTTAACGGATCAGGCGGATAGAACGGCGCAATAACGTTTCTAAATATTTAACGCAATAAGACGAGATATCCTTTAGGTTTGCCGTGTCTCATGATGCAGATAGTAACCTAAAATTTCAAAACATTTTGAAAACAATACTGTGATTTAATTGAAAAGTAAAATCAAAGTCCTTCGTCCTTTATATTTTAGTTTCGATGCAATTTTTTTGAAGAAAAAGAACCGGAGGGTAAATTACCTGTGGTTACATCAAGGCAGCCCACTTGGTTTACCCCTCCATTAGGATAGAAATCTATGTGTCCGCAAGGCTGCTCTATTCCCCATCGCTTGGCGTCCGTATGAATGACGTCAACAAATGTAGCATCACTGGGATCCAGTCGAACCGCTGGAGGAGTTGAAGCAAAGAGTGGTCCTGCTGGATCTAGTCCTACAGTCATACAATCATAATTTGTTGAAACATTTAGGTGAAACGTGTTATGCTGAACGCTGAATATTTAATTAAACTGACGGGTTGACTTCTCCTTTAATTGTCAACAAACGTTTGGTGTGAAAGGAGTTAAGAGTTGCAGAAATTCAAAGTAAGAGCAGTACTGCTTTCCATATCCCTCAAGGCAAACACGCTGATTATAGCAGTTTTTTTTTTTTAAACGTGGTTACCATCTACACGGACCTTTTTTTAGACGATCTATTTCTTTTTCAAGCCGTCATGTAGTACAAGTACAAAGGGTGGGCTGGGCCTTGCAATGTTTCACACAGCACGAAAAATAGGAAAAACACATGGATAGTTATTACCTGTAATCCGACCTAAGGTTATTCCCGCCTTCCTCAAATGACTACCAGTGTAACCAGCGATTTGACCTCCAAGACTGAATCCCACCACATGGAAAAGGTCCGCAGAACCTTGGGTCTGAGAAATGAGGAACTTAATCAGCTCTCCTATCATGGCTCCTACCAGACGAGTGTTCCCTGTGGCCTGAGCATACGGAGGTAAGCTTCCTTTGGGCCAGTTTACAAGAATAACATTACAGTCAAGTTTTCCCAACAAACCATCTTTCATTCGCGTCATCCAGCTCGGATGGAACTCTGCAAGATTGCCCATAAAAATAATTGTTGAAGAATTGCTTGGTTGGTTTCAACGTTATCAAGTAGGATTAGGATGGGTGGGATGAGTCAATGCGTCGATCTGTTAACAACCAACAAAAGGCCAACCTTTGGTTCTTATTTTTGACGTTCTGCACGTCTTAAGTTCTTTTCTTAAGGTTGCTTTGGAAACTTCTTTGAGCCTTTCGTCAAATTCCTTCCCGGCAGAGATCATTGTCGCTCGAACTATTAGAAGGACAGGTACGAGTTCGGAGGGTTGGGGTCTTTTCTATACATAGCAATAATGTTACATACCAATAAATCCATGCACGACAATCACAGTTTTCCTAGTTTTATTGTAGTGAGACAGCTGAAGCATGTTTAGGTCATAATCGTTAATTGTCTCCTGCTGTTCCAAGTTGGACCTGGTGTAGAGGTCAAACGTTGGCGAGATCACCGATGGTGGTAATGGCAGAAAGGCAAAGCGATGATCAAAAGGCGCTGCATTGCTAAAGCATCCATACTTATCGTAGCAGACTTCAGCTTAAGGAAATAATGAAAGTAATCAGAAACAAATTAGTACAGCTATTAACTGCTGATTTTAAATAGTCTTCGCTTTCTGACAAAAGCCTTTAGAAAATATTAGTAAAACGACCACGTAAACAAAACAATTAATGGAAGCCTCTATAGTTTATAAAAATGTAATTTACCGGATAGTCTCTATTGGAACAGCTGAAGTGAATAGGTGGAAAAGAAAACCAACACTGACTTTCTCTAAAAAATATTGTCAAGCTCAATACTACTTGAAAAAAAAAGGAAAAAAAAGGTTTCTGCGTAACTCAGAAATGACTCACTTCAGGAGACATCGATAGTAAATATTAGAAAATATTAAAGTAATAGCGGAGTTCTGGCGCGCGAAGCGTGCCTGCGGATCACCATGGGTAAGTAAATCTACCCATCCCAGAAAATTTGATAATCACGTGACCGTACACCGCCCGCCCGTCCGTCCGCACCACAGGGCAACGAATGTTCAATCTCACACTTTCTAGCTAGGTTGGGGACACAGGAAGACTGATATTGCACACATATTGCACACCAATGTTGTGATCAATTGACAGCTGTCAAAACAGGGTATCCGCTGACCAGTATCACCTGACCGTATTGCGGGCTGAGGCGTTGACCCATCGAGGTCGAGTATCTTTTTGAAATAATCCGCTGACAAGTTACTAGTTTTCAAATGATTGCAGGCTCAAGTTTAATCTTTTTTAATTCATATGAAATATGTTGTGTTTTATATGTGCCGCACAATTAAAATTTTGATTTCAAACTGACCTCGGAAGCTAAAATTCAGCCAGTTTTTACAGGCAGGGAAGACATGCCGGTTGCTTTTAACTTTTCACACCAAGTTCACACGTTGGTCACGCTGTGCGTCCAATTTTTATACTCTGACTGGTCAAAATTTGACAGCTGAGTTCATGCGGAAAATTTATGCAGCATCTTAAATCTTGTTTACTTTGACAGCTGAAGCTGAGAGAGTTTTGCTTCAACTTGTGATGCTTTTAACTGTCTTTTTCCACTGAATGTACAAAGTGAAATTCAGCTGCTATCAAGAGTCTTCTGTTATTCACGGCTAGTTTGTTTATTGGGTTTTTGGTTGAGAAATACGTCGCTATGGCAAAGTCGGAAATCCGATTTCGGATGGCATCGTTTTCGTTTTTCACCTTGCTTGATGCGTAAGACGGTTGAAAAGTCTGAAGCGATTCTGGCCTTACTAGATAGTTTTCAGTGCAACTCGAATGGTAAGCCTGAGTAATTATTGTATTTGATGTTTGTTTTTTACATCTAATTTAATAATAAAGTCGAGCGTAGTTTATGCGGCTATTTGGTTTATGCGCGTTTGTAAGATTTAGACAATGATCTGACCGAGTATCAGGTTTGATTATAAGCTTATAGAACTTTAAAAAGCCTTTAGACGTTTTCTCACTGCAAATACAAAGCAAACGTTCCAAAGAATATTTAGTTATAATTCTGGCTGTAAAAGAAAGCTTAGAGCGATTTTCTTTCCTTGAGTTCATCTTTGAAAAAAGGAAACACCGGCAAGCCGGCTTAAAACATAAACAAGGATTTTCAGAGACACTTATATACTTGTCTTCGTGAATGAAAATTGTGGTCTCTGTATATGTTTCATCGCATTATTTTCCTTTTATTGATTGTTAGTAGTCTCTTTTGTAATTTTAATCGCTGAGCCGTTTGTTTTCAGTCGCTCATGAACATCGCTTGCAGGAGTAATCAAAATGCCGAGCGTATCAAAGGCTGTGCATAAAAGTGGGAGGGGGACAAGGGGACGGGGACATCGGGACGCGTGTGTGGGGACTTGGGGACGCGAGACGAGGGACTTGAGCACATCAAGTATGGGACGTGAGGACGTGTGGGACGGGGACGCGGGGACGTCAAATACAGGGACGCGGGATTTGAATAATTATCGCAAAAGTTGGACGTAAATGCGATATCTCGTTCTTCGTGAAAATGTGTTATTTATGGTCAACATTAGATTCCATCTTCCAAAACCACATTGGACACCTTATGATGTGTACACAAAATATGTCTCTTTAATAGGCGTAAGCGCACTGACTATCGTGATTAGGGTTAAGGGTTGATTTCCACTGTCGCGTAATTTTTCCATGCCTACGTGTGTGAAAATTGGCATTCGCAAATAAGATAGAGACAATGTATGAAAGGTCGCACGTAAGCGTAAAAGTAGAATCTCGCTCAACTTCACGTTTAATCTCAACAATTTATATCTAGCCTATATCTTAGTTATTTACGTGGTTAAAATTTACTTGCGTTAACGTGCATAGCCAAAAACGCGTCAGTTGATATCAACCTTTAAACACTGTTAGCAGGCATTTACTGTTAGGTTTGCCACTAAAAATATATTTAGAACAAAATAAATATTGCCACAATAGTTGAATCCCTCGTGGTTTTAGTGGTACAGGCGGTGGATTTCGGAGTTAGCACTTCGGGATTGAAGCTCACTTATGCCACTTAATCATAAATTTATTTGGAATCGAATGCTGTTATTTTACATAATTTTTGGCAACCGCAACCCACTCTACCATGCTTTGGGCTCCAATGATCCATCAGCAAGAAGACCAGGACAACGGTTTCACTTTCTTCAATGCAGGGGGTCTTCGCCGAGTCTTCGCTTCATAAACAGGCATGGAGGAACCCTAAGGAGTTCAGGGTGGGTTACCTTCACCAAAACATATTCACGAGGAAAGTGACCGATATCGCATTTACCTCCAACTTTTGCGATAATTATTCACATCCCGAGTCCCTGTATTTGACGCCCCCGCGTCCTCGTCCGACACGTCCTCACGTCCCATACTTGATGTCCTTAAGTCCCTCGTCTCGCGTCCCCAAGTCCCCACACACGCGTCCCGATGTCCCCGTCCCCTTGTCCCCGTCCCACTTTTATACACAGCCCGTATCAAACGCTTTTGAAGATTACACATCGTTATAAAACCATTAAATAAAAAATAAATATAAAAAATTCTTTATCATGTTGAAGCGTATAACTCTATTAATCTTAATTTAAACAGTCGACTTTTGCGCTTGTCAAAAGTGAGAACCGGCTAGCCGTATAGGTGATTTTGGAAATTTTTTTAACGGTTTCGCTAAAAGCCCACGTGCTTCGAGTCGTCCTGAATATTGAATGAGTGCAATTTGTATTGCAAAATTGTGAAATACTGCATTCTGTCCGAGGTCTGTAGGATAAAAACAGCGCCTTATGGTACTGTTTCACCTTAGATGTGATGTATAAAAAGTATAAAAGGTTGGTTTGCACGTCCCCAGACTTGCTGGCAAGATTTTGTAAAGTAAACTTGTCGAACGCAAAAAATTCGGCCTGATTTATTTTCCAGGCCTAATCTACTGTGATCAAGAGCCATTATGGCTCTTAAATGTGATCGAAGATGATTGCTATTTTTTGGGTGTACATATAAGGCTATCAACTCGATGTAAGATTAAGTTCACTCTTAGATGGACTTTTTGCAAATTATTTTTCTCTAAAATCACTTAGCCTTTCTCTCAAAAGTCACATGAGTGTGCTCTAAAGTTAACTGATTTGTGGAATACAAGTCGACTCCCGATAATTCGAACCTTCAAGGGAAATAGAAAAAAGTTCGAGTTATCGGGAGTTCGAGTTATCGAGGGTAAAATTATATAGAAAATGATCTGAAGGGAAATGAAAATTGCTTCGAGTTAGCGAGAGGTTCGAGTTATAGAGGGTTCGAGTTACCGGGAGTCGACTGTATTAGTTAATATTAAAGAGACTTTGTGAGAAAGTACGGTAAAGCTTTCATTTTTCTTCGGAGACCAGAGAGGTGGTGTTCGAGTTTTTAAAAGGCGAGTCGAAACGGGCTCTTTGAGTTCTAATATTAGCATGAGAGACCCTTGAATTTTGACCAACCAAAATACTTAAATTTGCGTTCATCCTCTTGGATCTATTACAAAAGAAGGTTCTTCGTCTCTCGCCATTCTCTAACCAAATGGATAGCTTGATCTCGGACTATCAAAGAACTGATTGTACAAACAGTCACTATACTTACCACTTAAAGGCCCAGCCAGGCAAAAGACAACCATATACAAGGGGAGCATTATTTTTTATGCCTTACGGCGAAATGTGATCCGATCTGATGACGAACAATCTTGGTCGATTTTCGTTACCTTGACCTGCGAAGGGTGACAAAACGATATTTTTTTGAAAAAAAAATTGGGACAGCTGGGCAATCAGATAATGGTTAGTTTATTCCGAAATGTTAATGTTTGATAAGTTAATTTTAGTTTAGTTAATTTTACTATTCTTACAGTTGCCTTATAGATCTTCGGCAGATACAGACAATATTCTAATCTACAAACCACAATATAACTAAAGCGTAGGCTGGAACGAAGTTCTTACTTGAGCTGATGATACTTCAGTTAAACCTACAAACACGTGGCAAAAGTTTAAGTCACTTCAAGAGATGTTACGTTACGATAGGGCGTACTAATTACTTTAAATTATTTTAAATTACAGTTTTGCTTTGTCTCATCCACTGACAACATTGTCGGTGCAGCTGAAAGAAACCGATTCTGAGTTCGAGGAATTACTTTGAATAGAAGCACGTTAAGTTATTTCAATAATTGTACGCACTAATCGTTAGCAAAGAAAGAAGATTGTTTGTCAGGTGGAGGAAAATGTCAATAACAAAAATAATTTGAAGAGTATCTGGAAATGAAAACTATTGGTACAGCTTATTCGATGCTTTAATCTCTTGGCTTTGAAGCTAAAACTACATTTACTTACGAAAATGCATTACCGATGGATTTTTTTCTTTTGTTACGATATAAGAGAATTTACGCGCATTCCTTCTATTCCCATCGTTACAGGTAATGTATCTCAAATGGGAAATTTTTTATTAAGCATGCGCAGTTGCAATTGACCGGCCAGGAGCGTAAATTTTGACTCCGACAATAAAAATCGTCTCCACGGGTGTGTGTACATTCAAGTTGGCGTTAGAGAGAAAACAAAGACAGCTGATTAACTGAAATTAATATTATATTATTTTTCTTTTCATTTATTTCTTTGCTTATTTTATAAAACTGACTGCAAATGTGAAATCGCTGGGCCGATTAAAAACGTACAATGACAGCCTGACAGCAACCAGCATAAAATGACTCTACTTAGCGTTTTGTACCGGGTGCTTAAACTGACTGAATGAAAACTAAGCAATTAAAGACAAAGTACAAAATTGTTATGATTTGTTTTATTTTGTTCATTGTTGTCTGCGTTCTGGGAAAAGAGAGAAATTCAGAAAAAATATCCTAGGATTGAAATATATATTTTTGTTCGCCTTAAGAATGGTCTTCTGAGATCCGAAAAAGAAAAAGGTTACAAACTATTATTCATACATGATTATGCACTCAGCACGATACTCTGCTATTCCACTATCCACAGTTCCGTTTTTATCGGCCTTGGGGCTTCCTTCCTGCAATAAAATGGATAGTTGAGGGTTGAATTTTATTGGTCCGTTTGCAAAAGAAATAATAACTTGACTCTTTTGTTTTCAAAAAAACTTTGTGATTGGATAATCTATTCCGAGTGGCCCGGTTCGTGTAGTCGCACTGTGAATCAATACATCAGGAAATGTATATGCAGCATGGTGTGGAGAATATGCATTCTGGTGTTTATAGGGATATTAAGAAGGACAGGGCAGTGGCGATACCATTCAGGTGCCGTTCGCGTTTCAGAAGCCCTGTTGAGAGAGTGCTCCGGGCAGTATAAACCCCACCCATGATTGTGTACAACTTGGTCTCTGCGTTACCTCTACTATTTTGAATTTAGTGTACGGAATTCCGACGTAAACAGATGCACTAAAAAATCCCCCTCCATGCTGACTACCACATCTTGGAAATCACGCGAAACTTAATTCAATGCGACCTGTATTAACAGTACTGTGACAGTCACAAAGGAACTGATGTCAAACGACTTGTAGGGATTTGAATAATGAAAGAAAGCCGTAAACTGAAATTCCAGGTGTATTATAGGCCGTTTAAAACGTTTCAATTTTTTTTTCCTTTAAAGAGCAAAGCGCTTGAAACTGAAGCAGATCTAATTTCATCAATGTGCCACTATGAAAAAGCACACTTACAGCAAAAAGGAGCATTCGAGGTTGTTTTTAAGTAGAACTTTCCTGTCCTTTTAGTAAGATCAGCATCATAACCCATGCGTGGACATGCACCATTACAGCTACGGCAACTCCCTCTCTTAAATGTGTCATAGTTAACACACGGATACGCCCTCCAGGTGCAAGATCTTTTCACAGACTCGATGTAGTACTTTAGTGCCCTCATGTGGTCACAGTCGTCTTAAAAAAAGAATAAGAAAAGAGACACGTGTAAAAAACTAACACAGAAGTGGATATCTCGCCTTAAATGACATGGGGCAAAAAAAGCGAGGGTTATCAGCCTGAGGCAAGGGTTATAATACATAACATATTCACCAAGGACACAGTCTGAGGTTGAAATATGTTATATCACAAAACCACGAGCTAGAAAGGCGTAAATAACCAGCATTTCCTCAAAAAGCCATTTTCCCTTATTATCGTTAACAGTTAAACAATAGTAAAATCTTCCACTTGCTGTCAGTCCTAACTGGTTATAAACGGCTAAATTAGCTGAAAGATTTAAGCCTATCATCAGACATAATATTTCCAATAGCTAATAATTGTCTGATCGAAGATCACTTACGAATTATGTTAAAAGGGCAGCCTGGCTGGTTCTTCCCGCCATTTGGATAAAAGTCTATGTCCCCGCTTGTTGTAGTTGTCCCGTAAAACCCAGCGTCGGTATGGATGACATCAACATAAAGGGCATCACTTTTATCAAGTCGAAAGCTCGTCCGGGCGTTTTTAAAGTACAGGCCAGCGGGATCTAAACCTTTAAAAATGATTATCAAATGATTAGTGTACGTTAGCTTGTTATTGGTTCTCTCCTTGGTGCTCCGAGAAGTCTTCAAGTTCCGCGGGCTACTCCGGTTTTTCCCTCGCCTCAAAAACCAACATTTTCTTATTCCAACTCGACCAGGAATGATTTAGGCGAAGAACCACTACGTGGATGTGCTACCTTTATATCGCATTTTTTTTTTTCTGACTTGTTCATTTTAACGCAAGTTTGACTATTTACCTGTTATCCGGCCCAAACGCATTCCGCGAGCCCGCAAATAGCTCCCGGCATATCCTGCTGTGTGACCTCCAAGGCTGTGCCCCACGATGTAGAATCGATGAGCAAAGCTGGAAGGGCTCTTCGTACTGGTGATCAGGAACCTTATGAGTTCTGCTATCTGAGCCCCAACAAGTCGAGTATTCCCTGAAGCCTGCCAATATGGGAAGCCAGCACCTTTTGACCAGTCTACTAGTATGACATTCAAGTCTTTACGATTCAGCAGTGCATCTTTCATTTGGATATTAAAGGCCTTGGTGCTACCTTTTTAAAGAAGCGAACTTAATCAAATGATGTAATATTTTAAACGTAAGTCTGATTTTAAGGTTTCGGCCGCACCTCAGTGGGGACATGTAACCGAGTTATTTCCAATTCATCTAATTAAAGTTAACTCGTTGAAAAAAACTGCGAGTGCGGCCGGCTTTTCTACAGTCTTAATCGAGTTCTAAACGGGTTATGCAAATCAAGAAAGAATAATAGAATTTCTTAACCAGATAGGTTAAAAACCACCTCGCGAGGAGGTGTAAAGATATACTCTATACCCGCAACGGCAATTTTACGCAAAGATAGCTTTTGGCCTTATTAAGAGATTTTGAGAAAGTAAAATGTCTAGTCCGTCTGTATTTGCCAGAAAACGAGGTGTTTCTAGTCACGCAATTCAAATTTTGTGCTACAGCTAGAAAGCGGAAATCATATAATATAAAGAAGATCGGGGTAGCAAGAGTTTACAACGTGGCGTCTAGGTTTCCAGTCTGTTTTGAACAGTCAATCAGGATTTCAGGGTTGATATTTCGATAAGAATTTTATAATGCCACACCGTTGCGTCGCTAGTGGATGTTCTAACACTCGCAAATAAAAGTCCTTATTTAAATCTCTTGATAAATAATACGTCGGTGTTTTTTTTACAAAAGAGTACTTCTCCGAAACAGATAATAGTCCCGGGGGGCGGGGGGGCGCATATGAAAGGGGTGGGGATGCTCGTGGGAAATTTTGAATTAAACCCCTAAAGCAGACCGATCTGGGCGGGGCCCAAGCTTTTTTTGACCCCTAAAAGAGACCATGTTAAAACACGGACAATATATATATTTTTATACTTTTTTGCCTGCAACCCTAAACGAGTCCTTCACGGCTAAATATGATAGCGTTTTGCCCAGAACACCCTAAGTGAGACCAAAATCCGAAATTTATACCCCTAAGCGAGACGACGAGCACCCCCACCCCTTTCATATGGGGAGTCCCCCCCCGGATAATAGTGAACTTAAGCAAAGACGTTTTTCAGCGACGCACGTCAACCGGAAGTGGATTTTTTTCCATTTTTGGACGGTGGTTTTGCCCAAATTTTTTGACAAGTCTTCTTTATAAAAGTAAAGATGCTAAATACCAATTTGTTAGCTTCAAGGTATTTAAAATGAAAAAGACCTCACTTCCGGTTAACATGCGTCTTCCGGTTGACATGCGTCTAAGCTTCTGGGAGGCTGAACGCCTTGTTAGATCACCATCATGTTTTCCCGTCTTTTAGACCTTCACAAAATGTTGATAAATGTTCATATTTGAACATAAACTAGTTCATGCTTTCACCTGTAACTGTAAACCCATGAACAAGGAGAATTGTTTGTCTTTGAATCTTGAAAAATGATTTTTTGAGCTTAGTTACGTCTCTGTCATCAATGCTCTGCGCAGTCTGCCTGTTGTTCCTGGTAACAGGTGAAAAGATGTTCCAACCCGGGATGGTCGCTGTGGAAGCCGCACCAGAAGAGTTGGATGCCGGTAAAAGCAGCCATATTTCCCATGGCAGACCTTTGATCGCCACAGGAAACCTAGTAATATAAAAAGTGACTTTTTTATTCGAGCCTAATAGAGTGGTTTTCGTTTGAGTGTCGTAAAACCAAAACCAAAGTAATTACTCTGGCCAATCACATAGGACACAGACAATACACTGAACCAATCAAAACTCGAAGGAATTACATGTGGCTGACGCAAAGCGCGGGAAAATGCATGCGAGCGCGTCACAATTGGCTTTGGTTTTACTTCTGATTGGATGAAAAGGTGGCGCAGAAAAGTGCAAAACCAGTTACTTTTCGACACTCAAATGAAAACCGCTCTATGACCATAAATATACAGGGTCATATATCCAGGGACAATATCCCAGCGTGCATGCACGTATGCACGCCTTGAATGGTGATAATGGCGTAATTATAATCTGCATGAATAAAGGCATGAATTGTTATGAATCGTCTTGTTACAGAAGATGAACTGCTTCCGTTTGAGTACTTCATATGTGGCACGTCTTCGCAGTTTCCCTCAGTTCCGCCAGTGGAACAGCACAGAGACTTTGTGAAACAAATCGAAAACAAATGGCGTGTTAATTTGCTTTATCTCGACTGAAAAAGTCTACTTAACTTATATCACCAAGATAAATAATCTTTTATAACCGCATAAAGTGATTGATTATGAAAGAAGACATGTCTAGTATCATTTTATCTTTTAATGTGACTTTTTACACACATTCTTTAAAATATAAGTTTAAACTTTAAAACTCACCACTGGATAAATCCAAAAGGATCAAACAGGCCAGCGAAAACAGCATTGTTGTGAAATCACAAGTTACAAAACGATTTCAAAGATAATTCCCCGCGTAAAACCGAGCTTCAATTACTCGTCGATTGCTATTCAATAGAATGATATTTGGTAAGTAAGCACTCGAAATTAATTTGTTAGGCTTCATGACGATATAACTGCTAGCCAATACCAAAAGCTAATAGCACTTAATCGCTTCTGATCATAAGGTAATCCAAGACGGTATTAGATTCTGGAATTTCTGAACTTCAGGAACTGGATTCCGGATTCCGGATATTCACACTTTGTGTGGAAGAGGGTGAAATCGACCTAAGTGTCCCAACTAAGATTTTGTCCGGGGTTTTAGTAGAATATGACTGTTAGGTTAGTGTAGTTCTAAATAGGATTGTTGTTGAAATTGACGGACGTCGTTTCGAAAACCTGCGAGTCATCTTCAGAGTCAAAGTGAGTTGTATCACGTCAATGGTCATTGTGATATTTTAAACTGCGGTTATTGGCATAGTTGGATAAATCACGATGACCTAATTGGTTAAGCTGTGATTTATTGGGTCTGAAGACTGATCGGCGCATTTCGATTCGACTTTAGTTACAGTCATAAGCCACAGAACAGAATAAACGTATAGAGACTCTTCTGTCATACCCATGCAGAGGAAAAATAGACTTTATATTTAAGTAATGGTCCAGCTAAGAAGGAGGCAGAAAAACAATAGCCCGCGGCAATAGCGTCAGTTCTTTTTCAGGCGCTTATTTCTCTAATCAAATTAAATCTGAATGCTCTAAGTGGTCAATGCAGCGAAAAGCGCGAAATTTGAATTTTAGAGTTGAATTAAGACAGCTTAAGACTCATTCGAACAACTTTTTATTTCGTCTGTTACTTTGTTATGTTGAAAAATATAGCATATCTAAAATTTAAAAGATTTCTATGCGCCAAACCCGAGGAAGTTAAACTGGTATGAAATTGCATGAATGATGATTACAGGGTTACATCAATCAACGACATTGTGAACAACGTTTACGTCGGGAGGCGGCGCTAAGGAAGAATAATAGGCCTTTTTTTTCCCTGCAATTAACAGCAAAAAGGAGGAGAGATTGGGGCGGAGAGAGAAAAGGGGATTATTTTGTCTATGCTCCCTTTTTTTTTCCTTTGCTCGGGCACCTCCCTCGTTCCTTGAGGCTTTGCATCGACGCGTGCCACTCGCCCGTGAAATTCGATCTATTGCCGAATCAAAAGAAAATAAGAGACAGTCTAAGATATACCTGGGTAAATGAATACATTTACACTTCAAAACCTTTTATCTAGTTTATTACAGACAGGAAGACACTAATCTGGAATTAAATTTCACATTTATCAATCCAGTTCAACAAAGCAAATAAATTGCACCATTTGTCCAGTCGAGATCTACTCTTTGATTTCCATCGGCGTCAGGGTGACCTTCCTGCAATAAAGGAGAAAATAACCTATTAAGCTCTTTCGCCCACACACTTAGAGCATAGAAGTGTAGGCACACGTGATCGCGCTTTTGCCAGTTATGAATTTATCCTTTTATTATTATTTCAATGTTTGGAGTGTTTCGTTTGCCATACCTTAAGCAAAAGTATCGATTCCATATCTCATGCACCAGACCCATAAGATGTCAGTACTAGTGACAATAATCAAATACAAGAGAGGACCTTTTATCTTTTATTATAAAAAAAATCTTTTTACGCATGATCAGCATCTTATTTCTCCTTGGAGATTCACAGTTTAATCAAACAGAACGGTCTTGAGAATATAAGAAATGATCACAAATTACGGGAAATTGAGGACAAGATCTCCTTAACACCGGAATATGGAATGAGCATGCTGACTTCGGTCGACTCGAGTAAATAAAAAAAAGTGGCAATACGTACTACCTCTCGCGGTTTCGATGTAGCAGAAACCCCGTTTAAGGGGCAGTTTGTTTGCTTTTTGGGAGGGAGGTGGTGGGAGTGGGGTTGATTTGAGAGGGAAAGAAATTAGGGTAGAAAAGTTATACACACTAACCAGTTCGGTCAGCTAATTCCCCACTGCCAATTTTTACTCTTAAAAAAATGGTATATAAAAGTTGAGAGGTCGGACTTTGAGGCGGAGCTTCCCCGTATACAGACCCCTAGGCAAAAAAAGCTATAACATTAGCAGATCAGTCGAAAGGCCGGCTTACACGAATGTGTCATTATTAATAGAGTACATACCACAAAAAGGGGCACTCGAGGTTGTTAGTAAGTAGAAGCGGCCTCTCCTTTTAGTACGATCAGCTTCGTACCCCATGCTTGGACATTCACCATTACAGCTTTTGCATATTCCGGTAAGGAATATGAGGTAGTTAGCACACGAATAGGCTCTCCAGGAACATGATCCTATAACAGAGTCGAGGTAGTACGAATGCGCCCTGCTGTGACTGCAGCCTAAAAGAATAACGAGCACAATTGATTATTAACCAACTTCTTGATTTTATCAGACCCCTTATTATTAAAGCCTCTTTGAAGGGAAAATGTATTCAACCAATAAATTCAAAAGCGTGGATGGCATAAAATGTCTATTCAACCTCTAATATGGTCAACAAAACTGAGAATTTGTAGGTAGATGGCAGAAAGCTCTCAATTGTAGCGGCCGGTCTCAATACCTTTCTATCCGAAAAATTTTGGTAATCATGTGACCGTACGCCCGTCCACCCACCGGACAGGGCAACTAATGTGAAATGTCAAATTTTCTAGCTAGTGTGCGAGCCTGTATATCTGTGTTTAACCTGATAATAAACATCCATATTATGGCCAATTGACGAGTGTTAAAAGGTACGTACATCATGTAAAACAAGGTATCCGCTGACCAGTGTCACATAGCCGTATCGCGGGCTAAGGTGCCAACTCATTGAGGTCACGTGTTTTTTAAGTTTACAGCTGACCAGTTGCTAGTTTTTAATTGATCGCGGGCCCAAGTTATATATAGATTTGTGGTCTTTTCAATAGTTTAAAGTCCATTGTCTGCAGTAAATTTAAAATGTTCAAAAGGGAGCTTCTTTTTTTTAGTTCTGGCTAAATCTATATATCAGTAAAGTAAGAGTCGCCCTATGTAAGGTAATCCGGATCCCAGGACATTTTCGCTTATAGAATTCCGGAACTCAGTTCAAGGAATCTGAAATCCAGCACCTGGAATCCGGAGCAGTTTACAGCTCAGTAATCCAGAATCTAAGACTATCTTAAAATACTTTACCAATAGGAGGATAAGAAATATTTCGTGCGAATGTATGATAATTGTCTCTACTTTTTAATTGCTTACCAGGTTCTAGGCAGCCTGGTTGAAGAATTCCTCCATTTGGCCAAAAGTCGGTGTGACCGCTTGCAATGGTGGTACCCAAAACCCCAGCATTGCTATGAATCACGTCAACATACAGAGCGTCGCTTTCATCAAGACGAAGGTCCGTTCGGTCTGTTATGAAATGCACACTGGCGGGATCTAAGCCTAAACAGCCAATAAAAATGCTTAATGCTTATATTTTTCAAACAAAATACATCTCCATTTCTGATTGGCTTAAAACCCCGCGGACAATTCTCCATAACCAGCTTCAATAGCTTTGACCAAATTTGGAACACGCAGCTTTTGGGGGAAATTTGTGGGCTTAACTTTCCACACTTTTTGCGAAGAGGAACCCCTGAGTAAAATCAGCAAGAAAAGCAAAAACAAAAGAGTATCTAGTGGAGTATTAACATCTCTTTATATCATGAATTTACAAAGGAACAGATAGACCAATGAAGGCAACCAGAAGTTAACAACGATTAAGGTAAGCATGTTTAAATAACACATATATATTTTATGAATATTATAACAATTATATTGGGTTCGATGTCTCTTGGTATTTCACAAACTATTGCTGTTTCGCTTTTGGTGTAAGTGCAAATTGTTTGTTGTCTTTTCAATCTTTTGTATTACGTCATTTGGTGATTACACCCGTCTGCAACACCAAGAAACAAAATTATGGAGATCGAGGAAGGTGTTATTGGCCGAATTATTGGATTCGGCTTTCGAATGATCTAAATAGCTTTGCAGATCTAGGAGAGTGATCCCCCTCTTGGCCAATAACACTATCCTCGATCTCAGTTATTTTTCATATCATACTCGGCGTCATCCAATTATGGCTAGTTATCATGACCAAGTATTAGTGTACTGACATGTTCCTTTTTTTCCAATTTTTAACACGTACTTTATTATTTACCTGTTATGCGGCCCAAGCTGAATCCACGAGCCCGCAAATAACTCCCAGCGTATCCTGCGGTCTGCGCTCCCAGGCTGTGCCCCACAATGTAAAAATTTTTAGCATCACTAGGAGGGCGAGAAAAACTTGCAATGAGGAACCTTATGAGCTCTCCGATCTGAGCCCCAACAAGCCGAGTATTGCCAGCGGCTTGACCATATGGGAAGTCAGCTCCTCTTGACCAGTCTATCAGAATCACATTACAGTTTTCACGATTCAACAGCGCGTCTTTGATTCTCATAAAATTACCACTAATGTCGCCTATTTAAAACACAAAAACTTCGATTAGTCATTTTTTTCGAAAACAACATGCACAGGCAATTCAAGTCTTTGAACCATTGAGACTCAGACCAACAGTTAAGTTAAACTGATCATAGACTGTTTGTTTTAAACCTTCCATTTCCGACAGACTACACGTCTAGTGACCACACAGTCAAAATTTGACAAAATGCTTAAATTTGATTTTGTTGATTACTAGCAAAAAAATATCGCCATATGCAAGCACTGTTCACTAGCTTTCATTTGAATGGTCACAACAGAGTATTTTGTCCATACATAGACTAAGCTAGAACTGTCCACCTCGATAGCGCTTTTATACTATGCGAACCATCCCATCTAATTTTTTTTGGCAATGTCACCTCTAGGCTATATCTCTAATCTAAGGCCACAGTTACATAGAGCGCGTCTGTCTTTTCCCGTCTTTTCATTGCCATAACATTATTGTAATGCAACAGGAGCCCATGATCTGGAACGTGCAACGGCGTTTTCACTGGTATGTTTATTTTTAGATAAGTCTTTCCCGCGAAATTCAATTGTTCCCGACGACGTCTGCATCTTAAAATATAAGATTTTATAAAATGGCGGACTACGGCGCGCGAATGGTTCACTATGTATGTAACTCTGTTCTCCAAGGGGCCCCTTAATGTACCAAATGTATACTAACAAGTCTAGTCAACTTTAAAATTATTAAGTGCTAAATCTCAACTTCTAAATCCATGAATAATAAAAATCGTTCGTCTGCAGATCTTGAAGAATGAATTCCTGAGCTTGTTTACGTCGCTGTCATCAATGATCTGAGAAGTCTGTCTGTTGTTCCTGGTATACAGGTGAAATGTTGTACCAACCCGGGAGGGTGCCTGTGGAAAAAACACCAGAAGATTTGGATGGAGGCCAAAGCAGCCGTATCTCCCATGGCAGACCTCGGGCAGCGGAAGAGATAAACCCGGAAAAAGAAAACCTGAAACGAATTTATGGTAAACCACAATTAACATATAGATATGAATTAACTGTAGCATTTGAGTAAGGAGAAGTATTCTCATTATTAAATAAATGAGTTAATGAATGAATGAATGAATGAATGAATGAATGAATGAATGAATGAATGAATGAATGAATGAATGAATGAATGAATGAATGAATGAATGAATAAACAAATAAATGAATGAATGAATGAATGAATGAATGAATGAATAAACAAGTAAATGAATGAATGAATGAAGGAAGGAATGAAGGAGAATTTTTGCTTCTCCAAACAGATATTTGGCAGAAACCACTCGTTTCGTGCTGCTGAAAATTGACCCAAAAGTCATGTCCTCGTATCGCAAAAGGAACGATAAAAAAATGACAATGCACATTCATATATTTGTTGATTTTCCAAAAAATACAGGGGCACCCAACGAGAATATAGCTCAAAACACCTAAAACATAGCATTGTTGAACGTATTTTAGTATTTAACCGGTAGATATAGGCATATTATTATCCCCTAAAAACTTTTCATCTGTTCGGATTTCCTAGCTGAACGTCTAGTGATCCGAAAATTATAGGGATCATAACTTACCATTTCGAAAATTCTAGGTGACCTTTTCAGGGTAAAAATCCGTTAAAAATGGGCAATTATACCATTTTCTAGATGTTCGAAAATCCTAGGAGAGGCAGGCAAGCAAGAAATTTTACAACAAATGTTCCGAAAATTCTAGATCTCAAATCGTCTTCCGAACAGATATTTTCCAAAAATTGCCGTTGGGTGCCCCTGAAAATAGGGGAATGTATACACTTGGTTTCTCCTTCTTACAAAAACATATCAGTTAGTTAGATTTATATCAATGTATCGCATGTAACTGCAGGCATTTTTCCGTCAGTCCTTATTCGTATCGTTAGTAAAATGTGCCTTTTATACGCATTGTGCAGCCGGCCTGACTCTAAGCGTAGACCAAGATTAGAAATTAATAAACCATGTGGTATAACCAAATAACCACATGGCAAGGCTATCTTGTTTAACTTGGTAACTCCCCCGACATCTGTATTTCTTTAAAAAAAAAGGCAAAAATGATTGATCGATCATGAAATGAATGCTGTGATCTCGAGCTCTAACCTTGACTGCATGCTATACTTCATAGTAGAAAAATTGGTCTAAACTCTTCAACTCACCGCTTGATAAATCAAAAATAACCAAACACGCCAGAGAAAACAGCATCGTCACCTATCTTTCACAAAACGTAGCAGTGAATAAATAAATTATCACGTAAAACCATTATTAACTATTGGATTAGTCATTCAAAAAAATTAGGTAAGCCAGCTGGGTAATCGAAACAAATTTTGCGTCCTTCAGGGCCCTTTTAGCATGCTAAAAAGTGTTAATGATCCATTTTATTAAACAAAGATTTAAGATTAAGCCAACGCTAATTATAATAGACTGCCTTAAGACATTTCATTTGAGCTTCTATTCTATTAGGGTGAATTGTTGACCATTTGTTTAACCTATGTTCTAATTTTGACGAGAAACAAACAAGTATATTCTGCATTCTTGAAACATTCTCACTCAAACTGACAATTTTGTTTGTTGCAATAAAAAAAAAATCCTTTTCCAAATTTAATATGGGCGATTTGAACAATCACTGTAGCAAGAACGAAACGCGTCACAAGAAAGGGGGGTAGGGAAAGGAAGCTATTTTCTTAGTACGTATTTTGTCAAAAGACCGATGCTATTCTTGGTAACTCGGCTGACTGTAGAATCAAGGTCACTCGTAGTACGTTTAATATATCATTTATGAAAAATGTTTCAGAGAAAACACGCCCAAATAGCTCTTTTACACATTTTATTTTCTTTCCTTAAAATCATACACGTCAGTTTGTATTTTTCCGGTTATGGTAAGTCATTCATTCACAGTATAAAATCATCTCCGGCTTTAGATCATTTCATTTGCCTTCTTGTCCTGCAAATATGAGAATATAATATTCTTCATTATATACACAGACAAAAAAACCTTATTTTTAACTTTTAGCAAAAAGAGGCGATCGGAAATAAGCTTACTTAGGAGACACCGTGACCGCGAGTGACAACGCGCCTCATTTTGTACTGGGTGAACTAAAATATTTCAAGCGTGGTCTTCTTCATTTTAAAATCAATGGCAGTACTCTCTTGAATATTTTAGTCCAAATTTTACGTTATAAATGCAAATAGCTAGAGGAAAGAAATGATCTTCACCCAAGATTTGCTCACCGCAAAATGGAGCTTTGCTGTTTGTTTTTAAGTAGAAAGTCCCCGTCTGTTTAGTCTCATCAGCGCGGTATCCCATTGTAGGGCATTCTCTATACACTTTCGGCAGTTACCATTCTTAAAGTCCAGAACACTTCTGCATGGATAGGCTTTCCACGGGCATTGCAATCGGTTTTCTTCTTTCACCGTTGTAATGTAGAAATATGTAGCTCTATCATGATCACAGGATACCTTTCTTATGAGATCTGAAAATAAGGAAAAGAAACGAGGGATGATTTTCATTGGGCTGTCTCTGTTGCAGGCGACTAAAAGTTTCTATAATTATAGGGAGCGCTAATGCTGAACACGAGGATTTGTGGGGCATGCACATGTATGAATGGGCTAAAAGCTCATCAAGGCAAGCTCCTTTTTACCTTTTGCTAGCTACCACCCTATATTAAAACTATAGTTTGAAGCTTACCAATAAAACCAAAATAACAACCAGGTTGTCTTGAATCTCCATTTGGATAAAAGTCAACATCCCCGACGTTTTGTGAAGTTCCAAGAAGACCTGCGTCTGTGTGAATGACGTCAACAAAACAAGCGTCGCTAGGATCGAGTCTAACCTCAGGGTCTGTGTAGCTAAAGAGTATAGTCCCTCAGGATCTAAGCCTATATAAGCCGAAAAATATTCTTGGATAAAAAGCTTCAAATTCCTTTCCGAATCATGAAATAATTTCTTGCAAAAGAGAGTTATCTATAGCTAAAAACTCCCTCCGCTCTCGCAACAGAGATAAGTTTAAAACACCTTATGCCAAATTAATTGGGTTGAGTTACAAATGGATCGGCGTATTACATTTACAAGTTCAAGCATTCGGCTGTTTAATCACTGTCATATCACTTCAACAAAATTGAAGGGTAGTTGTCAATGGAAAACTCCCTTTATTGTAGCCAAATAAACCCTTCGCGGGACAAGATCAGAAGAATAAGAGCAATGATCCGAGCTAACAAGCCAGTCCTTTTTGTTTTGTTAACTGATAGTTTTATCATCTTTTCTGAAAAAACTTTTGAGATCCCTATTTTGAATGTAAACAACAACAGCTTTCCTATCCCGTGACTTGTTATGAGCGCTTTTGACGAGATACAGGCCCATGACCATTAAGCAACGTGCGTACCCGTTATTCGACCTAGCATCATGCCATGGCCCCGCAAATTTGTCCCAGCGTATCCGGCGATTTGTGCCCCGAGACTAAACTCCACAATGTAGAATCGATCAGCCAAATCAGGAGAACCAGCATTTGTAGAAATCAGGAACTTTATAAGCATAGCTATCTGAGCCCCTACAAGTCTAGTTTTTCCAGAGGCTTGCATATAGGGGAACGAAGCCCCTCTGGACCAGTCAACCAAAATGACGTTGCAGTCTTCACGCTCAAGCATTGCGTCTTTTAGTTTTTTAAGCCAGGAGTTGCCACCGTGGCCGTCTTGACTTTCTGGAATGAATTGAAGTGGAACAATAAAAGGAAAAGATATTTTCTTAACAGTAGACACTTATAAAGTTAAGATTACGATTTGGAAGAAAAGTTCCCAGTGCCGAGAAATACGGCAGTAAGTAAAATAGATAATGGCGTCATTTCGTTGCTATGACAACTCTGATGTCATTAGCCTGATCATGACAAATTTTCATCTTTATCTAATACAGCTGCAGTGGTGATTTTTCCAAATCTTTGTTAATGGCGACGTAATTTATTCTCAAAATTTTGGAGATATTGACCCTGAAAAACCCTATCGAGCCACCTTAACGTCCAGAAATTGCCCGCTTAAATGTGCCAGACCTTGCTTATTTCTCTTATCATGTTTTTTAATTATAGTTTGATGAGGCAAACGCACTGTCCCACAATTTGATTTACAGGTATGGTGGATGTATGCCGTATTGATTATATCGTAACAAGCCACCTTTGCTGATACGTACACTGGTAACAAATGCTGAAGTAAAGTTTTTCTTCGACTATGGATAGTTAGTCTGGATACGAATTTGGTATTAAACCAACTGCATTTAAAAAGGCAGTCGGTTTATGATACGTATACGGTAAACTGAAAACGGCAGAGATTTCAGAGTTGGCCGGTTTCGTCTATGCAAAACATCTCCATTTCTTCAACCGGTTTCTGATTTTTACCCAAATAGACCTATAATTACCCCAATAACCATGAACAATCAATATAGTCCTTCTGGCTATGACAAAGTTAGAGCTCTTCGGTTTTTCTGCATCGTTGTCATCAATGACAGTTGGATCTCCTCTGCGGAGCCTCGTGTACAGGTAAAACTGTGGAAGCCATACCAACAAATTATTAAAAGGCGGTCGCTGGTCGAAACAGCCGTAATTTTCATAGCAGACTCCGTCGGCTTAAAGAATAAAAAAGCACGTTCATTTAAAATTCTTAAAAAAAGAGAAGAAAATAGCATCAACAAAACCTACCTATAAGTTTGACATTTTGAAAGTGAGTCCACATTATCAACAACACGATGACACTGTCTCTTTAGTTAATGCTTTTAGAACAAATGAAATCTTATTAATAAGGTTTCAAAAGTTAATTCGGACCTTATGAGGGGCATTTGTTGGACTGAAAGCGTAGTTAGCATCTGAGGCGTTAGATCTACTTACTGTTTGACACGCCGACCAGCAAACACACCGCAAGATAAACCAGCATCATTTTGATAAACCTAGTTTTATGAAAAGTAGAACTGATTTTGCTGCGGCACGAATCACGCACTCGATTTTATATTGAATCCTATTACTGCTTTCCAAGTAATGTTACCACCATAAAATTGTCCAAACATGATGAACAGTTGAGATGATAATAAGCTATCGACTGCACATTTCTTGAAGAAATGGAAACACACTCAACTTTGCAAACGAAGGGTATATTTTTGTTTTTCCAGTCCTGATGGAGAAAATCAAAAGTTTTGCATTTAAGTGCTTCTTTTAAGTACAAGCTTGTACAAATCATTTTATCTCAATCTGAAGTCAAAGTTAAGAGTGTAAGCTACATTGATTTCTCGTTAAGTCGGTTCTTCTCCTTCCGAAACGACAGTCGCCAAGTAGAAATTTCATTCTACATCATTGCTTGATTTAAGCGCTAATTTGACTAATTTAACTTCGATTGTTCAGCCCCCTTCCCCCCCACCCCACCCCTCATCAAAATTAATAGTGAACTGTGACTGCACTAGAAGGTCTTCAAAACAACCACTTGAGACTTGGAAGTGCGTCATAGTCGTTAGTGAGGCTACTTCTTTCAAACTCGTCGGCGTCTAAGCTTTTAGCCACACGTCCGCGTCATTTCTCTTTCATGATGTCCATGCAACTATCATATGTTAAAACAAACTTTTTCAAACTGTCAGATATTGACTAAGAAACCACTAATTAACCTCCTACACACTACCATGTTCTTGATTATGTTCATCTACTATGACTACACACGCAATTATTCGCCTTGAAGACTTGATGCCAACTTGATGGTTCTGTTTTTTTTTTTTTCAACTGACAAGTAATGACTGCTGTTTTGTTCTTCCTTCTATGGTTGATAGGACCTTCTATTAATCCCATTAGGCAAGGGATCCAATGCAGTCTTGTATTCTGGATTCCACTTCGTGGATTCCGAGTTCCAGGTACTCTGTACTGGATTCTAGATCTTTGTCAGTGGAACTTGGATTCCGGATTTCAATCTTCCGTGGGATTTTGGATTCCAAATCCAGGATTCCGGGATTCCTCCCCCCCCCCCCCCCCCCCCCCCCCCCCCCCCCCAAAACACAACCACCAGGCTCCCCCACACAGGGACAGAATAGTACGACAAGATGATAGAAAAAATTTTCAGCGATTTTTTTATAATAAAAAAAAAAAAAAAAATATATTTTTTTTTTATATAAAAAAAAATAAAAAAATAATAAATTAAAAAAATAAAAAATATTTTTTTTTTTAAAAAAAAAAAAAAAAAAAATTTTTTTTTTTTTTTGGTTGTAAAAAATTAAAAAAATTTTTTGGTTTTTTTTTTTTTTTTTTTTTATTTTTTTTTTTTTTTTTTTTTTTTTTTTTTTTTTTTTTTTTTTTTTTTTTTTTTTTTTTTTTTTATTTGCTTTACTTAACCCAATAATTACAATATTGAACACTGCTTACACTGCTTACATTATTTACAACATTCATACCATACTTACAATACTGACAATACTTATTGCTTACATTGCTAACAATACTACTGTTTTCAAACATTATTACATTTCGTATGCTTCAAGTACACAGTTGCATCGGAAGAAACTTATTTAAGGATAGTTGGCGTTATTGAGGCAGGATAAGCTACGGATGAAAGACATAGAGAATATCAGGGGGCGTTGGGAATAGCGCCATGGTAGAAACGATAGTTTCTACGTGATGTCGTGTAGGAATGACCATTGTTTGGGCAGAACATTGTTTGCTTCTGCTTGTGCTTGTATGTTGTAAATTGTCTTTAGGTGTTTGAGAAATCCTTGCAATAGAGGTATAGCTTCTTTTGTTTTGCAGAGCCAGATATAGTGCCTGGCAATAAGAAAACAAAAGTTGATCTGGCGTTGAAGTTTAGAAGAGTCTGATCTCAGGCCTAGTGAAACAGTCATGTCTGCAGAGTAACTATCGGGAATAATTTGGCAAAGTTTTAATCGCGTTATGATGCTCTCCCAGAAGAGCGCCGTTTTGGGGCAGGACCAGAAAAGGTGTACGAGTTTTTCTGGTTCTTTTTTACAAAAGGAGCAGTTGGAGTTTTCTTTTACTCTTATCTTAGTTAAGAAAGCGTTTGTTGGTATTCTTCTGTGCAGCAATTTAAATTGAAATTCCCTGAGTTTTATGCTTTTTGTGATTTTATGAGCTAGCTGGTAGGTCGCACCCCACGTTATTTCGTTTTGACCTAAGTTGCAGTCTTGATTCCATTTTTGCTGGCTTGTAGTAGGGGGGGCACTTTTCTTTGTAATTAATTTGTCATACACCAACTTGCTTGCTTTTTGGGCTTTCATTAGTTTTGTCGAAAAGCTTTCGTAACTATTACCTTCGTTTGTGTGGTCACCTTGGTTGAATGTGTTGCATAGCTTTTTAAGAGCAGAAATTATTCCACAGTATGCCAAGGGTTGGACCTTGATGTCGTATTTGTTTAAAAGTTCTGGTGGAGTGAGGAATTTTCCTTCTCTGTTCCTTAAGTGCTTAACTTTTGTGATGCCTTTACGATACCATTCTTTAAAGAAAATAGGGCTGTCGTTAATCCTTACAAGTGAGTTGTACCATATGCCTTGTTCTGAAAGCTGGCTCTCTGATGTTATCCTCTCTTCAAAATTGATTTCTGACCAGATTAGGAGAATTTCCTTTAAGAAACTGTCTTGCGTTTTGAAGATATTAGCTATGTCTATCTTATTAAGGTTGCTTGTGAACGGTAGGGTACACTCAAACTTTTTCAGTTCAAGATCTAGAAAAAGTTTCCATTTACCCTGATTATCTGTATCCAGGTACTTTTTTATCCAAGTGGTTTTTAGCGCTTTATTGAAAGATAGTATGTCAATCATTTTGAGGCCACCTGCTGGGTAATTGTTAATCATAATATCTCGCTTTATTTTATCGCCCTTTCCGTTCCAAAGGAACAAGTAAAAGAGCTTGTTAATCTCGCTAATTATTTTTTTGTTTGTGCACAAGGGTGCCAAGACGTACACAATTTGAGAAGCTACTAAGCTTTTCAGAACAGTGATCTTCCCACTTAAGGTTAATCTACGGTATTTCCAGTTGCTTAGAATATTGTTAATTTTTTCCAGTTTTTCCTTATAATTTAGAAGTACAGTGTTTTCAGGGTCTGTCGTAAACCAAACGCCTAAAGATTTTACTTTGTTTGTTTGCCATCTGAAATTTCTTTCTGGAAGAAGAATTTCTGTTTTTCCACTATATGTTCCGATCCAAATTGCTTCTGTTTTTTTACTGTTGAGTTTGAGACCCGAGGCTTCTCCAAAATCGTCAAGTGTGTTGAGAGCAGCTGAGAGCGACGTTTGTGAACCATTCAATATTAAGGTTGTATCGTCTGCGTATTGACTTATTTTAATTTCCTCTTGGTTAACGTGTATTCCTCTGATATTGCTGTTTCTTTTAAAAGCCTTGGCTAAGACTTCGACTGAAAGAACAAATAGATATGGAGACAACGGGCACCCCTGCCTGACCCCTCTTTCAATTTTAAAGAAATTGCTTGTCCAGCCGTTGTTTAAGAAGCAGCTCTCTATGTTGCTGTAAAGGCATTTGACCCAGTTTACAACACTTGGGCCGAAACCGAAGTATTGAAGAGAATTTATGATAAAAGGCCATTCAATCGTGTCAAACGCCTTTTCGAAATCAAGAAATAATAATAGCCCTGGGATATTTTTTTCTTTGGTAAAACGAATAACA